TGTTGATTAGTGAACTTCCAGATGATTGTTTGCTCACCATTTTTGATTATTTGAATAATTTGGATGATTTAATAAACTGCTATAAAGGTAATTACAAATCATGTTTTTTCTTTATCATAAAAATCATATAATCCATTGAAATTTTCCATACCTTCAGCGATTATCAAAATTTGCTAGATTAATCTAGTCAAATATTTGATATTTCAGCTTTATTGACCAAATAAACTCTTATATGAGTCAACTAGCTTCTGACTCTGACAAGTGTTATCATTAATGTAAAAATATTATTAAACTTTCATTTGACTTGCATGTGAATATAACATCTATTTTTATCTTATGATCATCTTATTATCTTAAGATTATCTTACTTTTGAAGCGCAGTATTTAAATATTTTTACAAATTTTAATTTAGATTGAATGAATTATGAAGCCAATTGAATGATAATTAAGAAAATTAACAAGCTAAAAATTTAATAATTCCATAACATTTCTATTGCAGTGTGTATCAAGTGGAGTCACTTAATTGCTAAGCGAACCAAAAAAGTTAAATATTTGATTGGTAAGATTCAAAGTTTTGATATATTCTTGGTACTAAAAAGTACCCGGTTAAGGCAATGTGTGTTTCTCGGTCTCCATGATGCGAATGGCTTTACCAAACTTGCAGCGCTCAAGATTCAGAAAATGAAACGAATCTATAAATTATAAAAGAATGTAAAATTTCAAAATATAGATTGCGACTGTGAAAATTGCTTTAACCGGGTATATTACTCATTCTAATTGTAATCGATCTCCTAATTGTACAAATTCATATTTTTAGCAGGCTATATGGAGAATGATAATTGTGTTTATTATGTTAAAAGTCGAACAACGGAAATGTTTGATGGAACCTGTTTAAGCACATTATTTCAGAATTTGATGGTAAGTTGATATGATTACAGTCAAAGTGCGTATATTTTGATTTTTTGAATTTATATTCATAAACTTGTTTAATACAAAAAAATGGATTCATAATTACCTTTAAAGCAGTTTGTTAAATCGCCCAAGTGATTGATATGATCAAAAATGGCGAGTAAGCAATCATCTGGAAGTTGATTGATATTCATTGTAAAATCAAATTATGAGCAATAATTACTTTCGATTTCAACAAAAGTTACAATAAAGCTTATCACAAAATTGAAACTATAAATTCAAGTAGCGATTGAGATCGAGTATCGGTAAACTATTTTTGAAGAGACAAGAATTGATCTAGTCTAATGACTCCCCCTGAAAGGAAAAGGGTAGAAAGGCTAACGGGAATCATTAGATTGTTTAAACTGTAAAATTCAATTATTTCCCCCTGTAGTTCACATAGATGTCAGCAATCCAAAAAATCAAAATATACGGACTTTGACTGTAATTCATTTCCATTGTTCATTTTGTATTCATTTTGTTATTCTTTTTTATCCATTTCATTAACTTAGATTATTGAAATGACGTCTTATAATTTTGGTAGAAAAGTAAAACGCAAAGATATTGTCGCATTGGTCAAAAATCAAAAATCTTTGAGAGGATTAACTGGAGAATATCTAGAATGCCTATCCGAATATTGCGATAACCTCGAAATGATTCACTGCGATTTCTTTGAGGCAAGCATTCAACATAATGGTTCCAGTATAAAACAATTGTATGATTTCGCTTACTTCCAAAAAGGCGCACATTATGTCCCAAATCTTGAAAGATTAAATTTCGAAGGTTCATCCCAATGCTACGATGGTCCAGTACTGGAAAAGCTTAAAATAGTTGAATTGTGGACAACAGGGGGAAGTTGGGGCTCAAAGATAGATTACAGCTCCAAGTTCATGGATTTCTGTCCAAATTTACAAAGTGCACATCTTTTAGTGGGTTCTAATCGCTTTTTTGTTGATGAAACCATAAAAAACGAATGTTTGCAAGATTTAGTTTTAGATGCTGTGAGTATCAATTCGACTTTAAATTTAATTGCTTTTCGGAAAACATTTTCTGAATATTCAAATTCATTTAATCTTCATGTATTTCAGATTGATAGCAACAAACTTAGGTTACAACATGGAAGTGTAATCTATCTAAAATTTGTCAATTTAAACTAATTAATTTTATATTTACAGGTACATGTTGGCCTAAAGAACTTGAATGATTTGAGAAGGTTGCTCATGAAATATCCAAATCTCAAACATCTTTCGTTGAGGAGAGTAAGTAAATTAAAAGATGAACATATCGAGAAAATAGTTTACATTTTACCTAATTTGGTTCTATTTGATGTTAATGAATGTATAAGAGTGACGCAAAGGGCTGCTGATTATGTTCAAAATCATTGCAAACGACATGGAAGATCAATTAAGTTTTACTTCTACGAGAATCGCCATGAAATCGAATCAGATTGGCCTCAGCTATCCACTAAAAGCGAAAAAATTTGTCGAGGCTTTGATTTTATGAAACATTGCTTTCTGAAAAATTTTAGTAACCTTCCGCATTTCTTGATTCCTATTGATTATTAAGTATCACATACTTATGAATCTATTTGTTATTTTTCACCTCGGATGCCCATTCGAAGATCTTGAGATCAATCTTAAATACTGATGGCTTGAAGAGCAAATATTGATTGAATATTTAAGGCCAAATCGGAAAAATCGAATGAATTTCACTATTTTAATTAATCATTTGAATTCAATAATATCAAAACTGTCAAACACTTTTGGGTTTGCTTAAAATATTCAGAATATTAAAAACTTTCCGATACATCGAAATCCTATTATATGATTACAAAGTTGCGGCAAAACTTGGTCCGTGTTAAGACAATCAATAGCAAATAGAGAAAAAACAAAAACAAACCAACTGTTTTGTCATGTGATTTTTAGATATCATTTTTTTATTGAATAACCAGTAGTGTCTTTACTGTTCATTTTTTCATATTAAATACGAATTTTGATTGAATAGTGATTAATTTAGAATAAAGCTCAGCAAAGAAACATCTGAGCTCAAAGAAAATAATTTTAGATTTCAACATTGATCTTCAAATATTTGTGTCAAATCACGCGCGTCGGAGTATCTCATTCTTTTTGCTGTTTTGCTGGTTTTGTGTTTTACTGTTCGCACAAACGTTGTTTTACTGTTCTTGTTTAATGGACCACAAACTTATGCCACAAAAGTTTTAATTCCACGTGTTTAGTTCAATATTTTTATTTAACGTAAATTTTTCTTGTTAAATTTAATTATCTATTTATCTACATACTTTTCGAGTAATGTCTGTTCAAGCCATCAGATTGTGTTCTTTATTACTTAAAGAATACTTTGGTGAGATTATTTCCAATGTTGGTAAAACTGTGATGGATCTCGAACAAGCGCCATTGAAATTGATATGGACTGAGTCGAAGGAGAAATTGAAAAATTGTAAAAAGGCTTTGACTGTCCTCATCAAACATTGTTTAGTAACTATTCATAAAAATTCTGATGGATTAACAGAATACAAAGCTGAACCACAGAGAATTTTGTACCTATTGAGGTATCCCAAGTATATTTATATTGCCAAGAGAGAGTAAGTATCAAATGTTTCTCGTATACCATTGCCTGTTTTGTTTGAATTGATTTTAATTTTATATTTTCAAACAGATTCGGTTAAATTGGTGAGCAAATAAACAATTTGAAATTTTAATGGAAGGAATTTTGACTGCCGGTGATATAATCGAAAAAGTGTACATCCGGATGAAGGAGTCAAGTGAAAATAAAGATAATGATGTAAATAAAAAGAAGAATTACTTCCATCCAACTGAAATTATCGAAGTTTTAGTTGAAATGATTAAAGCCAAATACATTACAAGAGCTTGCGTTATACCCAATGAAACCAATGAAGCCATTTGGTTTCCAAGTAACATGGAAGGAGATGAAGATGTCGAGTATATCCAACGAATTGCACTCAAAATTTCATTAAAGTTAGAAGACAATGAATCCTTGGAACCTGTATCCAAAAGACGTAAAGAAGATCCAGTGAAATCAAAAGAAGACGTTTATTACGTGGTCAACTCTGATCAATTTCATATTTATTTGCGTGATATGACAATTCTGGAGGGTTTGAAAACTCATTATGATGATGAAAAAGCAGCTCAGCTGGTTCTGGTAATGCTTCGATTAAGTGAAGCCCACTTGTGGGCTAAAGAAACAGTGGTATTAACTAAAACTGATATCGTTGAACGTGCCTTGCGCTCCACATTATTTTCCACGGAGAAAGATATCGAAGAATATCTTACATTTGTCAATGAGGATAACAGTCGTTTTGTTGTGAAAGTTGATGAAAGATCTGGCGTAGGAATGTACCGAGTAAACATCATGAAAATTTATGAAGAATTGATCCATTCATCTTTGACATCTATTGTAAGTGATCGTTTTGGATCTCAATTTGGTCGAATTTTCCGGTTATTGTTAACCAAAAAATATCTTCATCAAGAACAAATTGAAGACTTTGCTCTGGTCTCTGCTAAAGATGGTAAAGAATTTACACAAAATCTGATGACCAATAATTTTATACGACTGTTGCGATACCCAAAGAGACTGAATATATTCCTGCCCATACTAATTTTATTTTTAACGTTGACTTGGAAGAAATCGTACGTAGCACGATCGAACGCTGATATCAGGCCATTTTTAATTGTATTAAGACAATTTAAGACAATTTTATTGTAAATTAAGACAAGATAATAATGTTGTAATAGATTGATGTAAGAGAAGAGATCAATGACGATTGCTACGACAAAGTTCACGACCAAATGAACTATAATTAACATTACGATTATGTAAAATTTTACCCCAGGCTCCGAAGGGTATAACAATTGTACTAGCATTATCATCACAAGCATAATGTAATGCTTGTTCAGCAATGAAGTTTGCTGCTTCAGCAGGACTAGTACATCGACCACCAGCGTCAACAATTTCTTGATCATTCATCACAAAACTGACACCATCAGTAGTCATAACTAAAAAAGCATCTTTTCCGTGTTCAATCTAGAATAAAAAAGATAAAATTAGTTGACTTTAATAATTTGCCATCAAGATCCAACCAAGTTCGATAGCGAATATGTTTACCTTGAGAGATCTAGTGTAAGGTAATGCAATCACACCGTAAGGTTTAAGATCCAAGTCACCAATACTTCGGGTCATAGCAAGACGACCATTGACAAGTCCTATTCCATGGCTATTCGCAATTATTGTCCCTCCTGATTTGATTATCCGCTCCTGTTATTGAACATGAAAAATGCGAATGTATGTTATAAACTTGATTTTACAAAGGGTTTGTCCCAATTCTTTTCGATAGAAAAAGACCTTATCTACTGCAAATACTGTAAGTATTATATAACTAACTGCTACAATAAGTTATACGATTTACTATCGAGGGCCAAGCCCGAGATTGATATGAGATTTAATACTTTCGGGGCTTGCCATAGTGCCTTAAATCTCATACCAACTCAATGTATTTGTTAACTAACTAAATCGTAACCTTTTCAGACTTGAGAGATGGACTATGGTCGATAGTTAGTTTACGTGCATCCCCATTGCGACAAAGTAAGGCACGACTATCACCAACATTAGCTATGGTCAATTCAATTGAATCCTTGAGAAGACAAACGGTTGCTGTGGTACCAGAAAACATAGAATCTTTGTCTTTAACTTTTAGTGAAATATATCTTGCCAGAGCATTGTTTACTTCTATGAATGCGTTCTGGAGAACAGCTTCCAAGTCAGTTTCTCCTCTTCGCAACCAATAACTTATATAGAGTTCCATTTGTTGTGAGCAAAAATCAGCAGCCAGTGATCCTCCATGACCATCGAAAATGGCTAAATAAATAAGATCAGGTCTTAACTCTTTGATTCTGGGGAAATTGGATGATTTCACAGGATTAATAAAACTGTAGATGTGTATAGAGACTACATAAAAATTTAACTGGAATAAAAAACAAACCTGATACGATCTTCATTAGTTGTACGACGACCAATGACAGATGCTGAGCCTGCCATATCACAGGTTATCTTTGGAATAGGTTTACCATAATTTATTGACTGTTGTAGCAGTATATTAAAGTCGATTCGATTATCCCAAGAGCCCCAATTATGACGACTACAAGATTGAATAGATGGTGATAAGGATGGTGAAGAATGAGTATTTATGAACACCGGGTTAACCCTTAATATTTTTGTACACCGAGATAAACTTTTATATATCATCTTACAGAATAATTTGAGATTATAGACATCAACATGTTTAAAATGATTTTAAATCAAATAGATGCCATCAACAACAACAAAGAATGAAAGAAGGTAACACAATAACACAATAACACGATTCAACAAGGGTTAAGTAAACAAGTAACCAAATTTCATCATCTTTTTACTTTCTGGTTTCTCCAGCACTGAAATGAATGTTAGTAGTATGATAAAACACAATAATAAAACAATATATTAACAAGTTTATATTGTTTATCCAGATAATTTAATTAAGATGGTTTAATAACTTAAATTTTGTAATTTTAATCACAAGGTCAACAGTAACTCAATGACAATGAATGACAATGATTGATGGGGATATAGGGGTTTTCCTTCACCTTCTCACAGTAAACAACAAGTGTTTTGCTGCTGACGCAACTGGTGGTAGTGACGTCTAGCATTAAAGTTACGTCCCAGGCACATAAATTACAAATGATACATTTTATTAACAAACTTCAAGTCGATGATACTTCATTCTTATTTCAAAGTTGGATCAATCAGTTTACAGTTGAACAAAATCGCCAAAAATTAACTATAAAATTGATAATATGGATTTTGGAGAGCAATTTTATGCGGGACCAGCTTTTTCCCACCACTTTATCCACCACATTTTCAAACAATTTTTTAAGAGATTGTCCACCACCCGAATCTAACACATCCACTATTAATCGTCATCATATCCCAAAAGTGGTCAACAATTTGGTGGATTTGGGTGGTGGAAAATCTTATAGAAAGAATTGTTTGAAATGTGGTGGATGTGGTGGAAAAAAGCCGGTCCCACTTTATACTGATTTTCAACCCAATTCGAATTAAAACCCTCGCGAACAAAAAGAAGTTCTGATTTTATTTTATTTTGTTTATTTTTATTCAATTCAAGTAAATCAGAAAACTGCAAGAATAAATAATTGCTATATACATGTACTTATTTAACTTATCAATTTACTAATCTTCAGATGAGAATCTAGCAGAATAAGAGGTTTATTATACATGCATAATGTAAACAAATATTTACATTTAAATTGTGAAAGTGACAAGTATAGTGAGTTAAAATAAATTAGATGGAAATTTAATTATTCTGATTTTATATTAGAATCTGGTAAATCCAGCGAAGATTCATTGCTAAATAATTCAACTGGAACAGTCAGTGGTGTTTTTTCGGGCAGTAAAAGAGATGGCCTCGACTCGAAATGCCTCTCAATCTCTTCAGAAGTAAGATGTCCCCCGTTAACTCTTCCTAATGATAAAATAGATAAAGGTTCAGATTTTATTGTTCGAATAGGAAATTCACTCTTGATTTGCTGACTTAAAGATGAACAATTGAATATTGGATCCGTTAATGAATTGGCAGTGAACGTTGATGAATATGACGATATTGTTGATGCTCCTGAAGCAATAGTCGATAATGTTGATTGAGGTACCATGGAAGATGCTAAAGATAGAGACAAGTGTGGTTGAGGTGGTGGAGTTATCGATTTTGAAATCGATGTAGAAGAAAATGTTAAATCAGAAGTTGAAGATGCGTTAGATGGGTAAGATGAAGGTGTCGATATCAATGAAGAAGCAATAGATGATGATGACAGAGAGGAAGATGAAGATGAATTCAAAGATGATGTTGGCGCTGATGTTAGATAGGGAATTGGAAGAGCAGCATTATTTTTCGATGAATTTGAGTTGAATCCATTAGACAACACTGGAGCAATTGAAGAGAAAGTTGATGAGAATGCTGGAGTCGGTGTCCCAGATGTTAATGAAGGGATTGGTAGAGACTTTGGCATTATTTTGGTCGCAGAAGTGATCGAGGATGATGGAGATGATGATATAGTAAATGTTGATGCCGACAAATTTGATAAAGACTTGAATCCTTTTTTACCTGCATTTAGATTTTTGTTTCGATTTGGAGCAGCATATGTATTCAAAGATGAATGAGGGGATGTAGGAGCAGCCCCATTGCTATTAATTCGTTTTCTTTTAACTTTTGGCTTCGTGGCAGCTGTCTCACTATTGGAACTAGTTAATCTACGCCTAATTTCGCAAAAAAAAAATAATCAGTAATAGTAATTGTTTGATTCTCATGCTGAAAAATTGGATGAAATAAAAATAACGAGCATCAACAAACCTTCGATTTGCAGATGATGATGAGCGTTCCAATCTCAGTTCTATTCCAGATTCGGAAGAATCTGTATCGTCAGAGTCAGAGGAAGAAGTACTGATGTTTTCATACTGCAGTAATTTGTCCATCAAAAAATTTTTATCCCGATTAATGATGAGAAGTTCTTTTTGATATTTCCTTAGTTCTTCTTGATAATATTCATTTTCCTGTAGAAAGAATAGGTATCGTTAGAATTCGTTTGCATTACAACCACTAGTGCCGAAACGCAAGGAAGGTGATTGAAAGATGATTGATCATAACAATGAAACTACCTAAAAGAAGTCGATTAAAAAATGTTAGATTAGAGAGACTTACATAAATCAAAAGCTTGAGTTTTCTTTTCAAGTCGCGGTACACCTGCTTTTGTTCATGGGATGATTTAGATTCCGATTCTTCTGACATTAGTGACATGTTTCCAATCGGATGAATAAATTGACAGATAAAAACTGGAAACAATTACAATAAATAAATAAATAAAATATTTAAAATTATTATTTTTGAATGTTTTCAAATTTTAGCTTTATTCGGCGTTTGCGTTGAAGACAAAAGAAAAGGCGCCAACTCCAATTTTATCTTTTCTATCGTCAAAAGATTCATTGAACCTTTTCTATTTCTGACATTTTAATTTCATTTGACAATTAATTGATTTGGTCCGTTTGTTGATTTATTCATTAATTCTGAACTTAAAATTTTAACTTTTAACTTCCGAATTTCTTTCATTCAAATAAGGCGCGGAAAAGGTAGCTATTGGCAACTTGTTGCGGCAAATACGCGGGAATTTAAGCTTTGTTTTTGTTTTCCTGCTCCCAAAGAATCATCTTTTTTTAAATAACTTCTTCATCGGTAGCAACCACTTGTTTTTCAATTTTTATTCTAATTTTATTTTCGTCATTTTTATTCAGTAATTTCAAAGATGGACGATGAAATGATCTGGGATGATGAAGTGGCAGAAGAGATGGAAGAAGACGCTATCACTGATGCGGTCCAAGAAGTGCCAATTGAGGTCGAGGAAGATACCTCGTATGTTAAATGGTGTCGTAACGATGCTCCACCACTAGATCCAGCAACTACCTGTTTGATATTCCAGCAAATCGAGATAGATCATTATATTGGTGACCACAAAGAGGGAATGCCTGGGGCTGGTAACTCAATCGGTGCCATCATGCGTATTTACGGTGTCACTGTGGAAGGTCATTCTGTGATGGCCCACGTTCATGGTTTCACACCATATTTCTACATAATGGCTCCAACAGGTTTCAAAGAAGAGCAATTACCAAGCTTCCAGAAGAAATTGAAGGCCTTGGCCTTAACTGACAAAAGAAATGATGCGATAACTGAACCTGTTCTGCAAATCGAGCTGGTTGAAAAGGCAAACATGTATGGTTTTAATAACAACGAGAAAGTGCCTTTTCTCAAAATAACAGTGGCCCTCCCTACATTGGTGAGCTCTTTAGCACGATCATTAGAACGAAGTGGTTCCGTTTTCGGCTTTCCATCAGATTCTATTCAATGCTTTGAAAGCAACATTGATTTTGTCATTCGTTTCATGGTTGACACCAAAGTTGTTGGATGCAATTGGATCGAGCTTCCAGCTGGCAAATACACAGTCAGAGCAGATAAGATTGAAAAATTTTCTCGTTGTCAATATGAAGTTGACATTGCTTGGAACGAGTTTGTATCTTACGCACCTGAAGATGAATGGGCAAAAGTTGCACCTTTCAGAATTTTATCTTTCGATATTGAATGTGCTGGCAGAAAAGGTATATTCCCAGAGCCTGAAAAAGATCCAGTTATTCAAATAGCAAATATGGTTATTCGCCAAGGAGAGAAAGAACCATTTTTAAGAGTGATTTTCACATTAGGCACATGTGCTCCAATTGTTGGAACTGCTGTCATGTCTTATAAAAAAGAGGAAGATTTGCTGAAAGCCTGGGCTGATTTTATTAGAACTGTTGATCCCGACATTTTAACTGGCTATAACATACAAAATTTCGATCTTTACTATTTAATCAATAGAGCAGCAGCTTTGAAAGTTAAAACATTTCCTTATCTTGGTCGTGTTAAAACTGCAATTTCAAGAGTAAAGAAAAAAATTTTACAATCAAAGCAGCTTGGTAAAAGAGAAAACAAAGATATCAACATTGAAGGTCGAGTCCAATTTGATTTATTGCTGGTTCTCTTGAGAGAATATAAACTTCGATCTTATACGTTGAATGCTGTTTCATATCATTTCTTATGTGAACAAAAAGAAGATGTTCACCATTCTATCATTACTGAACTTCAAAATGGTGATGAATTGACCCGTCGTCGTTTAGCTGTTTATTGTTGTAAAGATGCCCTTCTTCCTTTACGTCTTCTTGACAAACTTATGTGTATCATCAATCACATGGAGATGGCTCGTGTAACTGGTGTGCCTTTGAGTTTTCTCTTGGTTCGTGGGCAACAGATCAAAGTTGTCTCTCAATTACTTCGACAAGCAGTTGATGAAGATCTTTTGATGCCGGCAATGAAACCAGAACAAGGGGATGATTTTGCTGGTGCTTTGGTTATCGAGCCTATTCGGGGTTATTATGATGTTCCTATTGCAACTCTCGACTTTTCATCTCTGTATCCTTCTATCATGATGGCTCATAATTTATGTTACACAACTCTCCTAAGGCACTCTCAACTTTCTATGATGAAATCTGATCAGTATATAAAAACACCGGCAGGAGCTTATTTTGTGAAAAATACGATGCGTAAAGGTTTATTGCCTCGAATTTTGGAACAACTGTTGAGTGCTCGTAAAAAGGCCAAAGACGATTTGAAAAAAGAAACCGACCCATTCAAGAAAAAAGTCTTGGACGGTCGTCAATTGGCTCTGAAAATTAGTGCTAATTCTGTATATGGTTTTACTGGAGCACAAGTTGGTAAACTTCCTTGTCTTGAGATCTCTCAATCAGTTACAGCTTTTGGTCGTCAAATGATTGACCAAACTAAAAATGTAGTCGAGAAGCATTTTAATCTAGCAAATGGGTATCCTGCTGATTCTCTAGTCATCTATGGTGATACTGATTCGGTCATGGTAAAATTTGGTGTGTCAACTGTCGAAGAAGCGATGAAACTTGGTAAAGAAGCAGCTGACTTTGTTACGCAGCAATTCGTCAAACCGATCAAATTAGAATTCGAGAAAGTCTATTATCCATATTTATTAATCAACAAGAAAAGATATGCCGGTCTCTATTATACTAGACCTGATAAATTCGACAAAATGGACTGCAAAGGAATTGAAACTGTTCGGCGAGATAATTGTCGATTAGCTGCTAGCTTAATAAATACATGTCTTCAAAAGATTTTAATTGATCGTGATCCTAATGGAGCTGTTGCTTATGCTCAACAGGTAATTTCTGATCTTTTATGCAACAAAGTAGATATTTCGAATCTTGTGATAACTAAAGAATTGACAAAAACCGATAAAGAATATGCGGCAAAACAAGCTCATGTTGAATTAGCTCATCGAATGGCTAAACGTGATGCTGGATCAGCCCCTAAATTAGGTGATCGTGTTCCTTATGTGATTATTAATGCTCCAAAAGGAACTGCTGCTTACATGAAATCCGAAGATCCATTGTATGTACTGGAAAACAACATTCCTATTGATACTCAATATTATTTAGACAATCAAATCTCAAAACCATTATTGAGAATATTCGAACCGATTCTTGGCGAAAAGGCTGAATCTGTGTTGCTTAGAGGCGACCATACTCGAACCAAAACTGTTGTCACCTCAAAAGTTGGCGCTTTAGCAATGTTTACTCAAAAACGAAACAATTGTCTTGGATGTCGAACAATGTTGCGACCTGAAGATGAAAAGGAGTCAAAAGTTGTCTGTAAACATTGCAGAAATCGAGAAGGAGAATTATTCCAAGGTGAAATCATGAAAATGAATGAATTGGAAATAAAGTTCAACAAGTTGTGGACCCAATGTCAAAGATGCCAAGGAAGTTTATTGGAAGAGGTGATTTGCACAGCTAATGATTGCCCAATATTTTATATGAGGAAGAAAATTCAAAAGGAAGCAACAGACCAAGACAACATAATTCAAAGATTTGGTTATTATAAGTGGTGATTAACAAATTAACAATTTAGTGATGGAAACATCAAGATTCCTATCTACCCTTAAAACTCGATACTTTTTTAACGCTCATAAACTCAATAAAATTTTGTAATGCATTCATTTCTTGAAATTTATTAAAACGTTTTTTCATAGTAATCATCTATTTCAAGTCAATATCGCGATGCTTACCTCAAATTAAAGCTAAGTTGTTGGTGAATTTCAATATAATAATTTCAATCTGTGCCAATCAGTATAACTGGAATAAGTTTCAGTGTAATTACGCGAATAGATAAAAACATAAGACAATTAAATTTGTTTAGGAATTATTTAATGGATGTGAAGATTCTAAATAAGCTTATATACATTTTAAAACAAATCCAAATGATAATTATAAGAGATCTTTTCTCAGACATGTATTGGCCCTGAAAAGGACCGTTTTTGGTGGGTGAAGATGAGTTATCGATTATACATGAGAAATGGATGGAAAGCTGGGAAGCTTATTTGGATGAAGTGTATTTGGTGACAGCCTTGGTTCCTTCAGAAACGGCGTGCTTAGCCAATTCACCGGGAAGGAGAAGTCGAACAGCGGTTTGGATCTCCCTGGATGTGATGGTTGATCGCTTGTTATAGTGGGCCAATCGAGAAGCCTCAGCAGCAATTCTTTCGAAAATATCGTTAACAAAGGAATTCATGATGGACATGGCTTTGGATGAGATACCAGTGTCGGGATGAACTTGTTTCAACACTTTGTAGATGTAGATAGAGAAGGATTCCTTTCGTCGCTTCTTCTTCTTCTTCTTGTCGGTAGCACGAACAGCTTTTTGGGCCTTACCAGCCTTCTTAACAGCTTTACCGGATGGTTGAGGAGGCATGATTATCAATCAAAAAAGAACTGAAAACTAGAAGTACACAAAATAAAGTAATCAGAATTGGTTTAAGTTTAACTGTGAATGACTTTCCTAAATCTCACTTGGGTTTTATACTTGGAAAAAAGGTGTTTAGCCATAAACGTTACTCAACGAGGACTCACTCAAGTTTTCATTGGTTCTCACTAGGGTTTAGTGTAACACTCTTACCAGAGGAGTAATATTTAAGCGCCTAACATTCAAAGTTGAAGTTCATTCGCAATTGTTTATTGTATCTCATCATTTGACTAATTCTACTTGTTTAATTCAAACTCCTCTTTCTTTCTGTGACAATGGCACGAACCAAGCAAACCGCTCGAAAATCTACCGGAGGTAAAGCTCCTCGAAAACAATTGGCCACCAAGGCTGCTCGTAAATCTGCCCCTGCTACTGGTGGTGTTAAGAAGCCCCATCGATACCGACCTGGTACCGTCGCTTTGAGAGAAATCCGTCGATACCAAAAATCTACTGAATTGTTGATCCGAAAGTTACCTTTCCAACGTTTGGTGAGAGAAATCGCTCAAGATTTCAAAACTGATCTTCGATTCCAGTCTTCTGCAGTTATGGCTTTACAAGAAGCTTCCGAAGCTTATTTGGTCGGTCTTTTCGAAGATACCAACTTGTGCGCTATTCATGCTAAGCGAGTCACCATCATGCCAAAGGACATCCAATTGGCTAGACGTATCCGAGGAGAACGTGCTTAAGCTTTCTTTTTGTGAAATTCTACCATTTGCTTTTTCATCCATCCTATTTATCCTATCCTTTCACTACACCTTTTACCCCTTATCCTCATGATCCTGAAACCTCTATATTAGCCCGCTTAAACAAAAAAACGGCCCTTTTCAGGGCCAATTACATATCTGAGAAAGAGGTTGTTATAATTTTCATTGTGTAATTTATTCTCATTAGACTTTTATTTGTAAAGCTCTTAATTATGCCATAACTGCTATTCTATTCATTAAACATTCTAATTTGATTGGATCTGACCTCTTAGCTATTTTGAAATTATTTCATTCTATCAAAATGAGACATCTTTCAAATTTTGAATTGTTTTCATGATTCTCCCGCCTTTTGGCTGTCATGACAACACCCGGGAGATAAACAGGTTTGCATTGAGGTTATTTCAGTTATTCAGGATGTTTTGGATCAGTGTTCAATATTTGTTTATAACTTACATGTAACCTAAAAATATCTTGACGTTTCAACCGGTTATCCATCCTGTTGGCATCACTTAGTTGACCATCTTTACTCAACGTTCTGTTACATTCGTCTTGTGTTGATAATGTCTCATCCGTTGAGCAAAGCTAATTTGATTCTATCCGTAAGCTCATATGTATTGAGAAGAATCTCCTGTGATCAATGTCGAAACTACAACTGTTTTCTTGGCGCTCAAAACTATGGATCTTTTGTGAAAATGGCGAAAAATAATTTTACCTCAAAGTACCGACATCTGTACACATCGACGTGTTTACCTCAAGCAACATCCGCTCACCAAGTTTCCCCATCAACATCGCAACAACCCTCTAAAGATACTGTGGTGGAGGTTGATCCATTCAAATTGGTTGAGAAAGATTTGTCTAACCTTTATGAGAATATCCGTAAGGAATTGTGGACCGAAAAACCTGAATTGGAAGAGATTGCTAGTTACTATTTCGATGGCCAAGGTAAGGCTTTTCGCCCAATGATCGTGGTCTTGGTGGCTCGTGCTTTGAACCACCATTTCTATCGTAGATCTGACCTAACTGAATCTCAAAAAAATGTTGCAATGGCCACTGAAATGATTCACACTGCATCATTGGTACATGATGATGTTATTGACACGGCCGATATACGGCGAGGTAAACCTTCGGTCAATGTTCTTTGGGGTCAAAAGAAAGCTATCCTTGCTGGCGATTACATTTTATCTAGAGCATCCCAAATGTTGGCTCGCCTTAGGAATGAAGAAGTCATCTTTGTTTTATCTCAAGTATTACTCGACCTGGTTCAAGGTGAATTCATGCAATTGGGATCAAAAGAGGATGACAGTGAAAGATTCAGTAATTATATTCACAAAAGCTTCAAAAAGACTGCTTCACTCATTGCTTATACCTGTAAAGCAGTTGCTCTGCTCTCAGGAGCAGATAAAAATTTTCAGGAAGCTGCTTTTCAATACGGAAGAAATCTTGGAATAGCCTTTCAATTGGTTGACGATCTTTTAGATTTTGTTTCAAGCCAATCGGAACTGGGCAAACCAGCAACTGCTGATCTTAAACTCGGTCTTGCCACAGCTCCAGTTTTATTCGCGAGTGAAAAATTTCCTGAATTAAATGTGATGATTAAAAGACGATTCTCGGAGCCGAATGACGTTGAAAAGGCTTATGCTGCTGTGATGGAATCTGATGGGCTTCAGCATACTCGAATGTTAGCCAGACAACATGCTGATGAAGCTCTTAAATTTATTGAACCATTTGCAGATTCACCTGAGAAACAAGCCTTAATTGTGTTAGCTGAAATGACGCTTGCTCGAAAGAAATAATTTATAAATATCTACATTGTGCCAAATAAATCCCCAAAATGCCCATCTGATGGTAATATTTCAATATTCAAGCAAAGGAAAGATTACGATAATTTACTCTTGATTTATGAATCAATTGCACAATTTACTAATAAGCAATCTTCATAAGAATGAAAAGTATCTTTGACTATCTCGAATAATTTAAACAATTACTATTTTTTATATTTAGAGTTTAATTTTAACTGTTGTTTCATTTGTTAATGTACAATTACTCCTGTGCAATTTAATCAATAAATATTGTGAGCAACCAGTAGCTGAAATTCAAATAAATTTCTAGTTCAATTCACATTCAATTGATCAGTTAACTTTTTCATTTTCCCCTGATTTAGTTAGCATATTTTTAGCGATGAATGTTTTATTGATGATGATTGCGACTCGCAAAACAAATGGGGGTCAACTCATTCAGGTTCAAGTTAATCAGTTGAAATACTGGTTTGATAAAATTTATATGAATGTGATAACAAGTTTACTTGCCGTTATTTCTTATCAACAATTATTAACTCTGACTTATTTATATTCAAACTATTAGAGGGACTCAAAACCGAACGTTATTGACTCCAACATTGACTCTCTATTGATGAGTCAAAATATCAAATTTAATGAGAATTGTATTTTAAATCAAGTTTTCACACTTAATTATAGTTTAAGTCAAAATGAGCGAAACGAGGAAATGAAATGAAATATCTGCAGGGACTAGGAATTTGATTTACCGTTTGATGGGAGTTGAGATAAGATCTAACATTGAAATTGATGAAAAACTAACTCAACGTGTTTGACTTGTTTGTATGAAGATGCCCTCAGAAAGCTTGACTTGATCAGCTGTTTTATGTTTAGCCGATTTCATCAACTCGTGTTGTGATTGTTGAAATAAAACATTCATCAGATTTATTTATTATTTTATTTAATATTGATTTTGAAACTAACATAAAATGGCTGAATTGCCTGATTTAGGCCAACAGTGCTCAAGCTGTAGACGATTGGGTAAGTATTTCTGTTCCAATGAGACCTTAATTTTTAGTTAATGTTGATAAATTTTCAACTCTTTGTATTTCTCTTTTATTTACAGATTTTTTGCCGATTGTTTGCGTTTATTGTAAATCAGTTTTTTGGTAAGTCACAATTCAACCTATTTAATTCAAAGAATTGATTCAAGAATTTTTTTCTTTTTTTGTAGCAAAGATCATCTGTCTACTGAAATCCACAAATGTCCTGATTTCATCGCATCTGATAGGATTATAAAGGAAACTCCTGAAAAACTTGAACATGAAAGATGTGACTTTTGTTCAGAGATTGTCAAAAATCGACTTGAGATGGTTAAATGTGATCACTGTCAATCAATTTTCTGCCTTGCTCACCGTCATCCTGAAGGGCATAATTGTTCACCTCGTGTTGTTGGAGAAAGTAAAACACCTTCAGCTCACCAACTCATTTTAGCCGCTAATTCATCCTACAAACCTTCATTGGTACCAAAAGGCCAGAAAGGAGCCAAAAATGAAGCTCTCGCGAGGAAGGTTGCGTTAATGAAATTGAAACAAACCGCGACGGGATCCCAATCAATTCCTCAAAGTGAAAGGCTTTATTTTAATTTAAATTTAAATGATAAAGCAACAAAACAAATATTTCTTTCATCTTTTTGGTCTGTTGGAAAAGCAGTTGATTTCATATCATCGAAATTTAATTTAGTCAATAATAATAACAAGGCCGGTCATCCAAAGCTTGTTATAGTAACAGAATCGGAATCTTTATTACCCTTTGATCTATCACTGAGTAAAGCAGTTGAACAAGGTGACATTGAAAGTGGACAAACGTTATACATGAAGTATATTGATACAAATCAAAGTTGAATTCAAACTTCAATCAAATTTATTTATTTATTTATATTAATACATTTTTACGGTCATTAAATTGATTCACATTTGAGTCATTGGACTTTGGCCGACTCCTTATTTCGATCCTTTAATTCCTCTGGAAACTTCTGGAGGTCGACTGTCTTGATTCCACCTCATCTCCTGTTGTTAAATTATAAAACAACGATAGCAGAACTCTGGATCAAATTCATTCTGTTTTGACATAAGAGAGCATTGCTTCAAATCAGTCAGCGTAATTACGAATTTAGAGTTTTAATGAAATTTAGATTGCTGTTAGTATATTAGATTGGTATTAACAAATTATTATTAGCATTCTCTATTAGTAAAAACGTGTTTCATTCACTATTTAATCACATGTTTAATTTAAACTGATTGATTCAAATTTTTGTTTTAATGACAAGTTTGAATTTGCCGCTTTTACATTTGACAACCATATGACTTTTTTGAAAATGGAGAGAACCAATTTTTAGTGTAAATTTCAAATCCGAGTTTTGATTGTAATTTGTTTTCATGTTTTTATTGTAATTAGTTTAGATAATTTTTAGTATTTCTTGTCTAATTTTACAATGGATGTGCAAGATCAAATCAATTCACAAATACAAACCACATTACCATGGATTATTTCCAATTACAATTCAAACGAGGAGTCGACAGTGAAAAGTAAAAAGCTGCTCCATGAAATAATTAATCAGCTAGAGGATCCTAAGTTATCAATCCAGCGGTTATATTTAATTTACAATATTTGTGACAAATTGTCGGATGATGAGGAGAAGGCTGTAAGCTTTTTCAACACATTGTTTCCTGTTCCTTTGCGGAAGAACCTCGCTAGTTTTATTGGACAATTAGTTTCATTGGCCATTGGATTGAACAGTAAAGCAATCCTCACGGCTTCAACTATTTATCTAGATACGGAACAAATTAAATTAACTGAAGATGATATCAAACAATTACCATTAAACCTTGCTGATAGTAGTCCATCATTTGCTGCTGTATTAATTGACAAAGGTTTCTTTAACTTGGTCGCGAGCACCAGTTCGAACTCTCCGGAAAAGAAGATAATTTCAGCTAATTTAATTACACGGTGGTTAATGAGTTTGAATGAAAGTGTAAATCAAAAGATAACTTTCAATGGACAAGCTTTAATACGATATTCACTATTGGGACAAGGTCAAGGAAATTCAGATTTGCATTTCTACATACTGGAATCAATACAGAATAAAAGATTACAACAGTTATCAAACCAATTTGTTATTGATATGGCAACACAGTTATCACAACGAGGCGATGATGACCTTATTTCAAAATTTGCTCATGTATTAATAATCGGCGTTAAAAATGGGATCTGTAATACTCTTGTTTCCTCCAATCAAATGCGCAACAGTCTAATTACACAATTTCCTAACAATTTACTCATAAAAGCTCTTGTCAATATGAAAACAAAGTGAAAATTGGATTGTAAAACAACAGTATATTTTTCATTTATTGTAAATATATTGAATCATTTTTAAACACTTGAAGAAATCAAAGCTTGCTCTAGTAATTACAGATCAAAATAAAGCTCCAAATATAGATATTTATTCATCACAATACTGGAGTACTAATTATGAAACAATCGTTCATTTTGAATTCTGTGGCTAGTCAAAATGCCTGTAATCAATATTATCTAGTGTAAATGATCTCATATTTCTATTGATGCTTGAAACTATTGATGTACGTGAAGGGAATATTTGATAATGAAAATAAGATTTGATCAAATTTAACTTACCTTACTTCATGAGTCGGCTGAGCAGAAAACACTAATGAAAAATAAAATTTGACTTGAAAGACATAAATAAATAAAAAAAACAAATGTTATTAATTTACTAATTTACCCTGCACCGTCCCATAGTAAGCACCAAGGCTGCAGGAGTGAATTTAATATACCAAAAGAGATGTAAACACTCCTGCGGCGCTAGTACTTAGAACAGGAAGGTGGTGGTCATTCAGTCGATTCCGATGGATCTAATGGATACTGGGCATTGATGTTGATGAGATGAGATTCAGCGTTGAATAAAATTCCGTTTGAAACTGATAAACTGATAATTGAAAAATGGCAAAACAAATGTAAGTAAATGTTTAACTGGGAAGAAGCAACAGAGACTGTAACCTTGTACTGTTTTTCATTTTATAGTCAATTGTTAGTGTCGATTTGTCTTCTTGCTCACACTCGCACAAAGCTTGATTGAGCTAAATTAACGGGACGAGATTCAATTGGTCATCTCTAATCATTGAGCCATTAAAAAAACGGAAAAGAGGAATAAATTTTATTGAATAAAAAGCATAGAGGAGCAAGAATAAGACGATATACATGAGGAAAAGTATCTTGAAAAAGGAATGACTGATTGTAATCAAAGTTGATGGAGATAATCGAATTGACAGTAATGAGGAAGTTGACAATTGGCAAGGTTGATTTGTTAATAGATTATTAACTCGACTCTTTATCTTCATCTTCTGTCTTTTCTCACTTTCCTCTTCCTATTAACCTTATTCATGCAATTAATTTATCCGTTTCCAGTTTTCCCTGTAACAATTTTCATGATAACTTTATTGATTATCACAATGAAATTAAATTGGGCGTCAAAATAAACTATTAAACAATTATGTATACACATGTAGCTCAATAAACAACAGTTAATCAATTAAAATATACGCATCCACTTATCACTTCATCTATTTTTTTAATTCCATACAAAGTTTCAATTTTATCAAGTAAAATCAATCTATTATTCATGATAGACTGAAAAACTGATATTTACACTTTAATTGAAATGGCTTCTTCTTTTCAATTGCGATTGCTTTCTTTCCTTCATATTTATGCTGATGGAATGGACAAAATTCAAAGAAATTGTGAATTTGAAAATCGATAGATACCAAGATTTAATTTAATATATTACATTAGTTAAAAATAATAAGTAATAGTTGCGTTGTGGTAATTTAAGTTGATAAGAGATGAAGAGCATTGAAATTCCAGAGTTTTTGACCAGATACATAATACATTTAAATAATGATATACATACAATTTTATGGTGTTTTTTGGTTACTGTTTAGTATGATAGTAGTTGATAGTACTAAATTGATAAATTGTTGTATACTGTTAACCAACAGTAAAGCAAACAGTTACAATCATTAAGTAATATTGGAATGAATTCTCATGTGTCTATTGAGATTACCAGACTGAGAAAATCGGAGTAAACATAATTTACATTGATATGGTTTCTCACCACTGTGAATACGAAGGTGTTTAGTTAATGTTGAGGAATCGGAAAAGGCTTTTTTACACATACAACATCGATATGGCCTTTCACCTGAGTGGGTTCTCATATGAGTGGTTACAGATGAACTTTGAGAGAATCGACGATCACAAACAGGACAACGGAATGGCTTCTCTCCACTGTGCGTTCGTATATGAGCCGTTAAGTTAGCAGCCTGAGAAAACGATTTATTACATGTGCTACACCTAAAAATAAGATATCGAAAAAAAAATAAAGAAAAGTAAATTAGAATCAGTTAAATGGGTAAAAATACACAAAATTAATTTAGATTTACATAAATGGTGACCAAAATCTTTTAGAAATTGAATTAACAAAGAAATATTAGAACATAAAAACCGGTTAATTTATATATCTAACCAAACATATTGATTGAAACTTAATTCAGCCTTGATTATATCAGCTTTAATCAAATCAACTAATTGTATATAAAAAGGTAGAGCTGAAAAAATCAAATTAAAAAAGAGTTATTAATCGATTCAAATTTAAACCTTGAAAATTGATACTATTTTGGCTAAATTTTTTCTCACATTTACTGATATTAGGAATGATCAACCTCAACAGTTTGAACTTTATTTTGATTCTTTAATTTGGTCCTATAAGAAACAAATAAATGTAACTAAAAACTGATCAACTCGAGTCCTATAACAAAATGATGGAGATGATTGAAACCTATAAAAGTAGTAATGATGAGGAAAATAAAGATAAAATGATTTTAATCAGATTCATTTGATTACCTGTAAGGTCTTTCTCCCGAATGGGTTCGCAGATGTGTTTTAAGGGTTGAAGGACGAGCATACGTTTTACCGCAAATGCGACACAAGTTAGGCGATGAAGAACCTGAATTGATATTGTTGTTCGATGACGATGATGATGAAGCTGAACCTTTACCGTAAATGGTTTCATCAGATTCTTGAGATATCTCTTGAAGAGCTGCCAATTCTTGAGCAATTTTACCTTTACGTTGGTAAGAGTTGTACCTATGGTGAGAATGATGAGGATGGCCATGGTGGTGGTGATGATGACTATCTGCCATTTCATTTTGAGATCGCTCACTTAAGGGTGAAATTGAACGCATATTGTTACTGGTGTTGGTTAAAATTGTTACATTTCGCAAATTGTCTCCATCGATATCATCTTCATCTTCGTCTTCTTCGTCATCGTCAATATTGTCCTCCATTTGATCATCATTGTTACCGTTAACGTTAAGATTGTTGTTGTTGATTAGTTCATCGTCGTCATAATGTTTACCAACTGCTGAGAGCTGTTGGTTTATAGATGATGGTGTGACTTGGTGGTGTGAAGTCAAATGATGATGATTTGAATGATGAGACTCTTGAGATGTTTGGTGGTGATGATGGTGATGGTTGTGTGGATGATGAATTTGATGGTTTAGATTGTGCAGTTGCTGATGTCCTTGCTGGTTTGGATGATTTGATAAAATTAAATTATCTAGATGAGAACGAGATTCATTAGGAGGATATTGATGGTGATTAGAATAGACTTGATGTTGACTTGGATGAGTGTGGTGATGGTGATGATGATGATGATGGAGAGAAGCTTCGAATGAGTTTGGCGACAAAGCGACTGGATAAGGTGGACTGTATGGACTAGCATCATAGAAACCGGTCGATGGGAAAACAGTTAAATTGTTGATGGCATTAGGTGTGATAATAGGTGAACCCGTGACAGGACAATGAGTTGGTAATGATGAAAAACCTGGACGAGCTTGATTAGGCGATGGAGACAAGTTCAAGTTAACAGCAGTTCCACCACCACCAGAAGTATTACCAGATACTCCATTAATGACACCATTAGGAACTCCATTAGTGATTCCATTCGTAAGTCCATTGGCGATTCCGTAGCTTTGAGGTGTTGAAACAATAGACGGTGAAGATGGCGATGAAGAAGGTGTATTTGACCATATGATTGGTTGATTAGAAGCTGCTGCTGCCGCTGCGGCTGCAGCTGCGGCGGCTGAAGCTGAAGTTGCAAAACCCATTGTCATGTTCATTGATAAATTGACACTCATTGAGGTTGGAAATAGTCCCGTTGATTGGGCAACGGAAAAACTAGGGCCATGATTATTATAGCCGCTATTAGAGTTTGTATTGACAAGAGCTGTATTACCGTTATTTGAGTGATTTATTGGTGAATTGTTATGCGTTAAATAGTTTTGATCAGTGATGGAAACGGCTGAATTATGTTGCTGTGGTGGGGCCTGTGATTGTTGCTGTTGATAATTATGAGAATTAAGATGATGATGTGAATGAGTATAAGCACTGTGAATATTGGATGTATTAGTAATTGGATGATTTGGGTGAATATCCATCGACCCATTGCGATGAAATGAGTATGATATTGAATTGATTGAGCTTTGGTTATTTAAATTATTGTGAGTTGTTGGTGAATTGATTCCTTCATTTACAAGTGAAGGTGGTAATGTTGTTATTGAACTTGTCACCGTTGTTGTTGACGGTGATACCGATGAGGCTGTTGTTACAGACGGAGATGGGGAAGATGTTTGTTCAATTGTGGTTGGTGTTGAGGTTGGACTCGGTGATGGAGTGGTCGGTGAAGTTGATGAAGATATGATCACTTTGGACACCGTAAAACCATTACATTGATTAGGAAAGTAATTAGATTCAACTCCAGGTGATGATCCACTCATATAGACACTTCCATTTGGACAAACTAACGATGGTTGTTGAATTTGATGGTGATGAGAGTGATTTGATTGTGACAAAATTGGCTCAGGTAACATTTCACTAGATTCAATTGGAACCAATTTTCCAGTTGTTATTTCATTCAGTTCATTTGATTTGAACAGATCCATTCTTTATTCATTTCAATGTTCATTTTTCATTTAATATCAATTTCCAATTAAATGGTAAAGAAGGGAATAAAAAGCAATAATATTTGACAATTAAATTAGCATTTGATTGAAAAAATTTAATTTTGTTAAATGTGTTTATTGAGTTGACAAAAAACAACAAACTAAAGCTTCCTCAATTCAACCATCTTTACCCATTGACCAAATGTAATTAATTGTATAATTTTTTAATAACTTGAAATGTTTACCACAAGATCAACGTGCTTTCATTAAAATTATAATTACTAATTATCAAATTAGACAATAAATGATACAGTAAATATATAATACAAAAAGTCTGCATGTTTGATAACTTTTGGATCAAATTGATTGATTGAAATGGAATCGGAATGAAGGCTTTAAATGATTGTAATCGGAATGAAGGCTTTAAATGATTGTAATTACCTTTGTAATGTACTTAAATTAGTAGCACAATTAAGTGACCAAAGATCAAGCTCCAGGCGTACAAGTATCATTTAGATTATATCCAAGGCACGAAAGGAAATCTTCGTCATTCATTTTGATTGTTTTTTATTTATTGATGGTTGTTATTAATTGTTGATAATCACATAACAAGAGAAAGAGAAAAGGTTTCAACAATTAGTGATCAATTTGATTGGAAACTTGAAATACACAGAGTTGAACTTTTTGAAGGTGAATAATCCGAATAGGTTTATGTTTTGTTTTTACAACAAGAGTAAACATTTAACAGTAACAAACAAGAAACATATAAATTTACGATGAAATGGTTTTCCAAAAGAGTTACAATTGAGACAATTCTGTAATTATAATCATGCAATTGCAAATGGAAGAGACAGAGAAATTAATTTTCAAGATTAATCAACAGTTAAATGGTTATTTAGGGGCAGACGCGAGTAAAATTAAAAACAAAGGGTAAAGAGATGCAAATTTAGAAGCAAAATTTGAACACAAAAGGTTGAGATTGTTTTGAAATGGCAAGATAATTGGTAATTGATGAAGTCGAAGATGATTTTTATGCTGATGTTGATGATGAAAGATAAAGACATTTTATGAACTGTTCAAAAGAGTTCAAAACTAAGGTAATTGCTAGTAAATTTGTATTTTTTTGTGTTAAAATGTCAATGGCTTATGTCAATTATACGTCGATTTGGATGAGAGATGATGCAGGATGACAAGATCTCTCTCTTTCTCTCTTTCTAACTTGTGACTGGTCTTTATCTCGATGATGAGAAAGGATGAAGATATGATGGGATCGGATGTCGGCGGATAAAAACTGATCTTAGGCCTGGGATGCTTAACTGATGGACCAAAAGGAGATGAACATGAACTGTAAGCCGTCAATAGTGTCAACGATTAGATCAGCTTTTCTTCATCGGAAGTGGTCAAAGTTACGACACGAGGTTCTTTTGTTTTAACCAGCTTTTACCGATCATGAGAAGAGGACGGAGAAAGGGAACGGAAGAGGACATTTAATGGTGACTCGAGAAGTAGATAAAGTGCCAATAAGACTAAAGGTAAAATGATATCTTCTTCTTGGTTCACTATTTTTCTGTTACTTTCACAGTCAGTATCATTTTCAACATCCGATCATAAACATCATCATTTCCGATCAACAATCAGCTGAACATGAAACAGAAACATTAACATTGAAAAAGGCAATCAAAAGGAATCAAAAATAGATGAAAATTGAAAGGAAAAAAAAGATTGATGCAAAATAATGAAAAAGGTAAAGCATACAAAATGATTGAAAAACATTGAATTGTTTTACCTAAAAAATTGTTGTCTTATTGATGGTTTACACTGAATAATGACACAATGTTAACATTTGATTGTTGTTAAATGAATGGATTGATTGAAATGAATGATTAACAAGTTTTGATTTTAATGAAAAGGTTTGAGTTTGCCTTTACTTGAATGGTTCAACGTTTTGCTTGAAAGGTGGAGTTTACCTGTAAGCTTAACAGTTTGTATACAAAGCTTGAAAGGTGGAGCCTTGCTTTGCCATTACTTTGAATATAGTCCAATAAGGATTTTTATCATCTTGCGATTGGCTTATTTTACCATAAAATTGTATAAATATAATAATATAAATGATAATGATGATGATAATAATAATATGATAATAGCAACATGAAACTTACTTACCTAATAACATTTACTCCATGAGTTTCACTGTACATCAGTTTATATGTATATATCTATGAGTCTGTGTGTTATATTGAACAACGGGTAAAAAGTAATTTTGATTTACTAAGGTTTCTTTAATTGACAAGAAAAAATTACATTAATATGGATTCATTTTTCTTCTGAACTTTTCTTTTATCATTTTTCTTCTTGTTATCGCTCTTGATATTTTACCTTTTCAATGGTATTTTGGATACAGTGTTGATATTGTATTGATATAAGTAGTATATTATATATTGCTTTTTATCAAAAGGTTTGCCAGATTAGCTTAAGAATTGGTAATAATTTTGATTGAACAAAATTATTTAATTAGAAATGATAATATTAATAATCATTAACGTTCTTTATGGTTCTCCATCTCAGGTTAACTTGTTGTGTTTAGCCTTTCAATTCAGATTATTAACTTTAAGCTTATATTAATATCCTTTTCTGTTCGCCATATTTTAATTAGAAAAGGTTAATTATTATTTAATTTGTTTTTGTTGGCTTGTAAATTGGTGTATTTCAATCTTCAATAGACATTGATTTGGTCTCAATGGTTCCCCTGGTTTCTCTGTGTTTCATCTTTGGGTTGACTTTGGGTATTGCCTTTGTTTTTGGGTTTGGGTTGAGTTTGGTTCAGCTTTTGGTTTGCCCTTTATTTCATGTCCTTTTGTCTTTGTCTCAGCTTTATCATTGATCAGCTTGAATTGCAGGGAAATATGGTTTGTTAATTAACCTTAGAGTCTTGATGATTGGTTGAATTGTTGTTGAATCAGACAGTTGTTGGTAAATTGAAAGGAGAGCGACGAAACCATAGAAATCAAAAAATATTATTGTCTGGAATCAATTTGTGAATCATTTTATCCATATTTTAGTTTCATCATTTTTTTGCAACTCTCATGCTTTAAGCTTAATCCTAATCAATCTCCTTCCCAAATAGTTTACAATCCATATTTAAGGCGATTTTAACACAGCTAATTGTTATTCAGAAGACGTCATGTTTACCAATTCACTGGGCAATTATCAGTTAGTTGTTAATTTATCTCCAATGTTTGAACAGCAGTATCTAAGAATGAAATCTTCAGTTTTAGTCCATTCTATCGCCTCCATCATAAAATTGACCATTTCCATCATATCGACAAAACTATTGAAAAACAGCAATTTCAAGTAGTAAACCAATTGTTATTGATATTATCAGCTTGTCAACGAATGATTATACTATTAGGATCTGAAAAGATAAGCAAAATTGATAAATAAAAAGGCCCGATAGACACTTAAAGGCAAAAAAGGATGAATGTAATTCAATACTCTATAAAAGTACTTACAGAGGGTAAAGGTGAGTTAGGTCAAGGTTCCAGTTATCTAGATGTCACTAAATGAGCTTGTATTTGATACATTACTTTAAGGTTATCATGTTATGGATGTAAGCTTATAGCAACAAAAAAGAGGATCAAAAAGAGGAAAAAAGGCACAAAAAGATGATGATATTTACATCGGTTGATTGACTATTAGAAGTAAATTCATCTAATTAAATAACTAGAAGTAGATGAAAGGTTGATGAAAGTTTCCTTATTGATACACAATTGTTAAAGAAAAGGCTAATCACAATAAAATGAGTTAATTCAATTTCGAGATTTAAAATAAAAACGATTACAAAAAATGATAGGCACTTTGATCAGGTGATTGTTATCTTTGGCTCTTTTGGCGCAATTTTTACACTTATTTTACTTATTTTCACTTATTTTCACTGATTTTAGCCGATTTTAGCCCATTTTGATATTAATATTGAAATCACTTGCTGTGATTGATACTGGTATTGATATCAATGAATTAATAAACCCAATAGTAACATCATAATGCAACTAAATGGAGCCACTCGCCTCCATTTACATTCAATGTAATGGCTGCACACTTTTCCTGTTTACACGCGTTGTTTGGACAAAACCCATTTTTGATTTGACCTACAATTATTACTGTTGATCAGTGTGGATACATGAATCTTGGGAATCATGAACTTCTAAAGGGTTTTATTAAGTTCTTTGTTCCTAGCTGATTGAACTAACAGATTTTTTCCATTCAAATATTGAAAGGATAATTAAATCTAACCAACAGTTGTGATTAAAACAGCACAATTCAAAGACCAGCTTGTCAAGTTAAGGTTGAGTAATTTAAGAACCTTAAATATAATAAAGTCCAGTTTTTAATTGAATGAGCAAACTGAAGTGAAAACTCAAGAGATATTATTGACAAATGTTCAGTAAAATTCAACCATTGGTGACACTTGATCACATTCAAGATTGACATGATGCTGTTAGACAATTACTTCCAATAGTTAAAACGCTAGATTTATCTGATAAAGATTTACTTAAAAGTCAAATGCAAAAATGATTTATACATACAATCAAAGAGTAAATCTTGTTTAAGGAAAACTTGAAAACCTTGGATAAGTTCATCATTTTTAATCTCATGATTAGTTGAAAACAGTTGACTCCATTGTAGAGCCAAAAGTCGGATATAATAAACACTGTTTAGTCATTCTGATAATGACAATTAGTTTGTAATTTGAAGCTTCTAACTATTACAAAAACAATCAACAGTTAAGAGGAAGAAATGGGTCGAGAATCATGACCACAAGACAAAGACAAGCCATTTCGAAGGATAAGAAACAAGTTGTTTTGGATTTCGGTTGAATAACGGTTTCCTTCCAATTCAGCATCCAAAAGTAAAACAAAAATCAATTCTTCAAGTTTTAATCCTTTAACAAACTCTCTCTAATTTTATCTTAATTACAATTGTTAAAATAACAATTAAATAAGCCTTTTAGAGATATTTAGATTAGTAAATTAACATTAATAATAATGGAATGTCTTCCAAACAAAAGAAACAATGGAAATTTTTGTTTGCTTAAGGATTGTATTCGTAAATAACTCGTTAGATGGAAGCACTTTTTTCTTCTTAGGTGGCGCATGCAGCGTTTAAAAATAAAAATAGATGAACACCTTTAACGCGATAATTGTTAAAGCAATTTTTAAATTTTAATAAACCGATCTCTTGGCCTCCGTTTTTTTATTTCAGTTCAATTGTTAATCACAGTATCGTACATCTCCTTAAACATCATGCCTAACATCAAATTACAAAGCAGTGATGGTGAAACCTTCGTTGTTGATGTAGAAATTGCCAAAGCATCAGTTACAATAAAGACTATGCTTGAAGATTTGGGTATGGAGGATGAAGATGATGATGTTGTTCCTCTGCACAACGTTAATTCTACCATCTTGAAGAAAGTAATTCAATGGGCTACCTACCATAAAGATGACCCTCCACCACCAGAAGAAGACGATAATCGGGAAAAGCGTACTGATGATATTGGTACCTGGGATGCCGATTTCCTCAAGGTCGATCAAGGAACACTTTTTGAATTGATTCTTGTAAGTGCAATTTTCAACTCCTACTATATCTTGCTCATTTGCTATCACTTTTCAACCAACCCATTTTCATCTATTGTTTGACTTCAATTTATTATTCTATCGTCTGACTCTCGTCTGTCTAATCCTATTTTGATATTTCATTATAATCTTTTTTCTTCCATTTCAGGCGGCTAATTACTTGGATATTAAAGGTCTTCTCGACGTCACCTGTAAAACCGTCGCTAATATGATCAAAGGTAAAACTCCAGAAGAAATTCGCAAAACATTCAACATCAAGAATGATTTTACTCCTGCTGAAGAGGATCAGATTCGGAAAGAAAACGAATGGTGTGAGGAGCGATGAAAGAGATAAATGGCCGTCAACCCATTCTTCTATTCATTGTAAACTTCATTGACAGAAATAAAAACCGCTCTTAATTCACAATCATTAACTCATTTTGCTTTGATTTATTTTTTATAATTTTGTACACATGACTCGCGCTGAAAATACTATAAATGAGCAATATTTAGGTTACAACAAAAGATTTCCTCCATTATATGGTAAATCTAACAGCTATGATTTTGTATCATCATCGTCATCAAACAGCTTCTCCTGTTTAATCGCATGGATAGTATAGCCATCTGAAATAGAAATAAAAAGATGATGAAATAACAGTTGAATAAAAAACACCATTGCAAAGTACTGGCAAAGATGAAGGGACAAAAAATGAAAAGTGTATCAAAGGGTAGTTGAAATCTTTTGAATTAGGCTTAAGGGACGGGCCAGTAGCGTAATTAAATCAAAAATTGACCATTGAGATGGCGATTATCTTTTTTCCATTTCTTAAATATTAGTGAAAAATGGGAAATGACAAATTATGTAAAGGTTACTTACAAATGCCGACGGTAATCAAGGATAACACAGCTCCAGCAATTCTAGCGCGCTTCCTTTGCATCATGAAAGCTTGGGCACGAGCCGCACTTTGCCGATACTTTGCCGATTCATTCTAGAGCGAATTAATTGCTCTAATTTATCCAATTCATTCACATTAGAAGCCATACTTTCAGTTTCAGTGTTTATCGTGAGAAGAGGGATCGTTTATAAATAATTAAAGTTCTTCCATTCTGTCTGTCTGTCTGTCTGTCTTTCTGCCTCTCTATCTCTCCCCTCTCTCTCTCTCTCTTTATCATGTTTTCACTTGAATTCAAAATTCAAATCTTGGTGATTGTTAAAACCTTTAATATAATTTTTTGTCCTTTCTCCTATTTATAATGAACATTTTGTCATTATTAGCAACTTTTATTTCAGTGTAAGAAAAATTGCATTTAATATTAAACAATGTATTCATTAATCATGTCAATAGTTCACCTTGTTATGGATTAAATAAAAATTATTCGCTCAAAAATGCTCAAGTACAGTTTATTACCTTGAATGAAAAGATTTTTGACATTTCATTTGGGCTTTATAAAGCATGCAAATCTCAAAATGGTCTTTTAAAAGCAAACCACGATATCTTGATTCATCAAACAGGTAGGATAAATGAAATTTTTAATGAAAAATTAAACAGTGATAGTGATCCGAAATTTTATTCTAACAATCAAAAATCTTCAACGAGTTGTAAAATGCGTTCTTTCTCTTCTTTTTCAGCGTCTTCAGCCATTTCTTTCATTACACTTTTTATCATTTTATAATGGTTCACAGAAGAATGAATACGTGCATGAGTGTGCAGTGATTTCATGATTGTTCCTTTGATTGTATCCTTTGGAGGTTGAAGGGGACTGGTACTAGTTGAAGGTCCATGGTTCTCGACTTTACTGATTGGTTCTTTACTAATGATTAATATTATCTGGTCAATAATTTGTAATGTAAAAAGACCTCCTTCGGTTAATCGTCGAGCGAATATTTGGTCTTCATCAATACTTTCGTCATTGGCCATTTTCTGTGCTCTTTCCTTCCTGATTAGAGCGTCACATTTCATTAAACGCTCAGAATATTTGAAATGTAATTCAACTATCCTCTCAGTTTTTTCCATATTATTTTCCAAAAATTTATTTATAACTCTTTTTCTATTTTCTGGCTTTGAATGTTTCAAGAGAGCTAATATAATTGAACAGCAGTGCTCCTCAACATCATCGATAACAACATTAGCTTCTTTTTTCTTCTGTCCGATTGTTATGGATTTAGGTTTGAGAAAGATAGGGAAGATAGAAGAAAGTCCGAAGATCTCAATAAATTTGTTGCAACAATCTTCCAATACAGAATCACGTCCCTTGTCCTCACTAAGAAGGTGATTGATTACTTTAACAGCACCCATCCTCATAGAGCTTATATTTCCTTTTTTCTTTTCCTTTAAAATTAAGTTCATTAATTCAATACCTTCACCATCGAAAAACAGTTTCCTGTTAACGGAACAACAGAGTAGTGCTGAGCATAAACAGTCATAAATATTTTCAAGATATTCTCGCTCATCTCCAGTGGAAATATCATGCCTTTTAAAATACTAATCAAAATAGAAAAATAAAAAACACAGTTAGTATCAGTAGTTAAAAGTACAATAAATCTGAATGAGTAAAACTTACAGCTATTTGCTGCAATAGAGTATCTATTCCACCAACAGAGCCTAATTGTTTGCGATTATCATCGTTGTTTTGTAGAAGAATACACAATATTTCTGATGCATAAAGTTTGTTACCATCGAATGGAAGTTTGGCTTTTAACCGTTGTAGCAGCCAAGTTAACAGGGCTTGACAATCTTTAGAAATTTCAGGCTTGTAATCCAGAAGATTTTCAATGATGGCTGTAAGAAAGAAAAAAATTAATGATCGCATTATAATCCATAGAAAAATGGTGGTCAATAAATAACGTACATAAAGAATTAAACACTCCTTCAGACTCTTCTTTGACAGTTTCATCGAGTCGTTGCATGTTAGAGACTAGTAGATGTACTAATTGTGATTCAATGAGAAAATCTAAGAGCGGAGAAATCTTGTCATAATCATCGTCATCGTCAATTTCACACACTTCTTGGAGAAGAGAAACGACAGCACAAGCAATGTCGGTATTTTCATGAACCAAGAGTCCAAGTAAGGTTGTCAAAACATTCAATTCGAGAAGAACATGGTAAAGTTCCGGTTGAGTACTAATAACTTGCATTTGCTGGATAATCTCGAACAGCTCAACTTCAGTTTCCATGAATTTCAATGCATCATCCGCATATTTGATACGATACTCTTGATTTTTTAAAACTTTCCTTTCAAATTGTAAAATCATTCTCTTCAAAGATACATCATCAAGTGGTGCAGGAGCTTCAGCAGAGGTGTCCATAACTACATCAGTATCCATTTTGTTATAACCACGATACTCAAGAAAAAACAAATATACAGATAATAAGATTAATCAACTTAAAGCTGATAGATGACAATTATGAGAATTAACTTTATAGATGATTTGTAAACAGAGAAAATCTAATTGAAACCGTCTTTACATTTGAAAAATATCGACCTTTCGATATATCGAAATCTTGCCATATGATTACTAAGGTGATGTTAACAATAATTGTTGAGGCACATGTGTAGCTCAATCTTGTTTATTTGTTTTGATTCAATGTAAATTTTTCTTGTTAAATTTAATTATCTATTTATCTACATATTTTTTCGAGTTATGTCTGTCCAAACCATCAGATTGTGTTCTTTATTACTTAAAGAATACTTTGGTGAGATTATTTCCAATGTTGGTAAGACTGTGATGAATCTCGGACAAGCGCCATTGAAATTGATATGGCTTGAGTCGAAGGAGAAATTAAAAAATTGTAAAAAGGCTTTGACTGTCCTCATCAAACATTGTTTAGTAACCATTCATAAAAATTCTGGTGGATTAACAGAGTACAAAGCTGAACCACAGAGGATTTTGTACCTATTGAGGTATCCCAAGTATATTTATATTGCCAAAAGAGAGTAAGTATTGAATTTTTTTCGGTGACCATTGCATATTTTGTTAGATCTTATTTTAATTTGCATTTAATTTTTTATTTTGAAAAAGGTTTGGTGACTTTGGTGAGCAAATAATTGAGGAAATTTTAATGGAAGGAATCTTGACTGCCGATGATATAATCGAAAAAGTGTATAACCGGATGAAGAACTCTAGTGAAAATAGAGTGGCTGATGATAACTTTCGAACTTTGACTAACATTAGCGAAGTTCTAGTCGAAATGATTAAAGCAAAATATATTATAAGGGCTTGTGTAATATCCAATGAAAGCAATGAATCCATTTGGTTTCCAAGTAACATAGAAGAAGATGAAGATGTCAAGGATATTCAACAAATTGCAACCAAATTTTCAGTAAAGTTAGAAGACAATGAATCTTTGGAACCTGTATCCAAAAGACGTAAAAAAGATCCAGTGAAATCAAAAGAAGACGTTTATTACGTGGTTAACTCTGATCAATTTCATCTTTATTTGCGTGATATGACAATTCTGGAGGGTTTGAAAACTCATTATGATGATGAAAAAGCAGCTCAGCTGGTTCTTGTAATGCTTCGATTAAGTCAAGCCCACTTGTGGGCTAAAGAAACAGTGGTAATAACTAAAACTGATATCGTTGAAGATCTTTGTCCTAAGGTGATGAAGAAGGGTAAATTGCCAAAAGAGAGCTGTTCCACATTATTTTCCACCAAGGAAGATATCGAAGAATATCTTACATTTGTTATTGAAGATAACAGTCGTTTTGTTGTGAAAGTTGATGAAAGATCTGGCGTAGGAATGTACCGAGTAAACATCATGAAAATTTATGAAGAATTGATCCATTCATCTTTAGCATCTATTGTAAGTGATCGTTTTGGATCCCAATGTGGTCGAATTTTTCGATTATTGTTAACCAAAAAATATCTTCATCAAAAACAAATTGAAGAGCTTGCTATGGTTCCTGCTAAAGACGCTAAAGAATGTACATATAATCTGATGACGAATAATTTTATACGACTGTTGCAATACCCAAAGGGATCTGAATATGCTCCTGCCCATACTTATTTTATTTTTAACGTTGACTTGGAAGAAATCGTACGTAGCACGATCGAACGCTGTTATCAGGCCATTTTTAATTGTATTATACGACGCAATCATGAAAACGAAGTGCATAAAATTTTAATAGACAGAAAAACATTCATCGATGCTGTTATAACCAATCTAAGGCTAAACTCAGGTGATCAAGCAGACGTTGAGCCACAAATTGAAGAGCTAAACCAATCTTTTTCAACCCATGATAAAGAACTACTTGAACGGCTCAAAAAACTCTCTCATCGCTTAGAATTATGTGAACTTCAAGTCGATGATACTTTATTCTTGTTTCAAAGTTGGTTATCAATCAGTCTTTATGGTTGAAAAAAAATCGCCAAAAATTAACTATCAAATTGATAATTTGGACTTTAAAATCAATTTTATACTCGTTCTTAATTCAATTCGGATTAAAAAACATCCAAAAACAAAAAGAAGTTTAAATTTCATTTCATTTAATTCAATTTTTTTAAGTAAAATAAGAAAACTGACAGAATTAATAATTGCAAATCCAGTCTGTATTAAGAGGGATTAGTTTCTGGACCGAAAAAACCCTTTCAGCCAAGAGTTATGCAATTTTCCCGTGTCTGGCCTTGTTACATCAAAACAAAATTATTTGCTATCCACTAACTGACAATTCAAGTTCATATGGAAATGATAAAAAATGATAATCAATAATTCAAAAAGTAATTGGAGATGCCGAGTATCGATCTCGGTACCTCTCGCATGCTAAGCGAGCGCTCTACCATCTGAGCTACATCCCCTGACATATAAACTAAAGGTCAAAATCAATATTTGAATTGTTATTTCGACTGCACCAGGTTAAATAAAAACAGGTTTCCATTAAAAGAGTTTTTTGTATTCATTCAATGTATTAGCAAATGATGGTTTTAATATTTTGTTACATTCGTTTAACATCTTCGTTCATTGTCTGGAAAAATAAAAAACACATTTGATTGATTGAAGTCTGGAATTTTTTTAATTAAACGTAAAGTGGAAAGTATTTTAAAGTTGGGTTGAAAAATGAGGATGTTTTTTATACTTAAATGAATATTAGCTAAATGAAAACTTGGTATTAAACGTGGTCAAATTTGATCAAAAACTGGAAAGACTTAATGGATTGATCAAACTTGTTCTGATGTCAAATATAAATGTAAAAGTATCTTTTTTCAGTTAAATATGGATAAATTTTTCTCATGTTGATGATTTCCTAAAATTTATGTGCTTTCCGTTTTTTTTCATTTCGTAAAAGTTTAGTCTGGATGGTTTTTTTGCTGTCTCAATATTGCTTTAACTGTGAAATCTGTCGTCTGGGAGAATCTAAAATGTGTTAGATGAATGGGAACTATGCTGGAGTTAATGTTTCTGCTTTACAGATCGTTTATGATTTATTGGCTTTTGATCTAAATTTATAAATTGCATTAATTTTCAACCTGGACCTGTTCTTCTTCTAGTTGAATCCCACTATCGTTTTCAGAAGATTGGCTAGAATTTTTCACAGATTCACTATTTTCGGAAGGCTCTGAGTTTTGGTTCCAAAAAATAACTCGCTGTTTTATAATTTCGTTGACCAAATCATTCACTTCTTTGTTTCGAATCCGAGATAAAACTTTGGTTTGGCAAAAAAATTCACTCAAATCAGGAATAACACCAGTCTTGTCGAATTGAAGTTTCTCATACTCGAATGCTTGATGAACCATATCATAAAGATCAAAATCTTTGGTTAATTGCGATTCTGGCGTTTCCTGATTTTCGTATTCGTCAAAAAGGTCCTTTAATTCAGCAGCTCGGATATTTGGTAGGAGGGAAGCTAAAAGACAAAAACCAATGGAAACTAATTTTAATCATCGATCAAATGACAAAGTTGACCAAAAAGCAAACATAACGAAGATATATTCATAAGTTTAACTAGTCTTAACTATTCCCTTCTCTGGCGGACATTTTGTAAAAGCACACTATTATATCATTGTCATTGTTTTGATGACATTTTTGATACATAAATTAAGAAACACTGATTTCAAAATGCCGCATAAAACTATTATTAGCTCTTAAAAATTTATGTTATTTAGATTTAGAACTACATGTAGCTCAGCAGTTCAATAGAAAGGTAATATGGGTCTTTAATAAACTACCAGAGATAAGGGTGAAAAATAAACCTTGTACTTACCTAAATGATTGATTGCATCTGTTTCTCGCTTGTGTTTCTCTGTCTCTGTTTTACTGACATTATCATGAGGTGTTATGTCACCCACAATACATTCAGCAAGATCATGAATTAAACATAGCTTGATAATCTTGTTTGTGTCCAAATTAACCAAATTTTCCATAACCAGGAGAGGCATTAAGCTCATTCGATACATATGGCCACTAATGGTCTCAGGTTCATCAATATTTTTGATCACCCATCCTCTTCTCGCAGTCCTTTTGAGTTTACCTACTTCTTCGAGAAATTTCAACTTGCTTGCTTCCATTATTGCACCTTTAAAGTAGATAGAAGATGTTTAAAAGGATATTAACAAATTATCGACACAATTGAAAATAAGATGATTTCTGGTTGAACAGAAGAATTTAAATGAAATTTTAAGAGTGAATTTCCAGTGAGAATTTCAAATCACAAATAACAAAATCAAAACAAATCTGTCGAGCCATCTATCGGCATTTGTTACAAGTCGTTCTTTCACATCAAACATTCACTAATTGTAAGTAGTTTAACTACTAAGCCGATTAATAAAGGATATTGTTTGTGTTGTTAATTAACTTAAATAGGAAAATGCAGCAACAGAAAGAAGAAAGAGAATATTGGTTAAATATTCTATCGTAAAATGAGCTTGTCGTCAAATAGTGTTTCTCATCATATTTTGTCAGTTTACACACATTTAGCTAAACTACTTTATTAATAACTTTTAACAAAGAGGAGTTACAAATTAAAGAAAATTATCACCATAATGATGATTGATGAACATGAATAATTGTAACTGAAGCCAGAGGCTTTAATTTAACCAATTGAGATTGGAAATTTAACTAGATTCATACTTTCCATAAAAGAAAGACAAAAATGACGAGCGCCGATTGCCTTTTCAAGTAATCTGATCTTTACGTCAGTACTGAATTCACATAGAAATGTTACTTAATAAATTTTTAAAATAAATTTTCAATACATTAACATCCGATTCAATTTGTCCAAATAAGCTGATATCTGTAAATTAGCTAAAATAGTGAATGAGAGTATGGTAACTGTTCAAGGTTTTCAATGAAACAATATAAAAATTACATGAACTGAAAAACTTACCATTTATACACTTAATTAATTTTGCACAACATGATTGTACTTTTTAATCGATCAGCCTATAATTCTTTACACTACAATCCCGTGTAATTATAATAATATAGGTAATCAAATAGTGTTATCACCCCATGATAAGATTACAATTTTGTTGACAGTTTCACTTTTGAAGCACATGTAACTTCACAGTTATATGAAACATTAGGAACATAACTTAACGGGCGAAAAAGCACGTAAACAGAAAAATTTGTTGAAAGGATGTTAATTGAAATCAATTCTAACTAATGCCATTAACTAGTTAAATTTTTAATTGGATTTAAATTGATGATTCTGTTTACTTTTTTATTAACTTCTCAATCAGCTGAGTTCTAATACTATGGAAACCACAATAGAGGGCGTTGTAAATAAAATTGCCGTGAGAAAAAATTTAGCGCACGCGTAACGCGTTGAAGCAGTAAAATTTTCAAGTCAAGTTACTCTGAATCGGTTGATGTATTATTTTTTACTTGTATGTTTCAAAAACGAAAACAATTTATTGATTAGTTTATATTTTGTTAAATAATGTGGAGCCGATTAAATTATTTGTTAACCCAGTGAATATAAACAGTGAACAGATGAAGATCAAAAAGTTGATAGACTCTTTTGGCTTTCGAAATCCACCCTGGATTTGAAAGAAACGAGAGGAAGAGGTGACAAACAAGTGCAAACATGAAAAAAATAGAACTCAACTCCTGTATTATATGTTAATACTTTACTTATTTTTAATTTAATTTGTATTCATCTGGCTTTTTATTTTTCCACCTTATCTACATCAATCTCTTCCTCTCCCTATTCATCTTTATTTTCATCGTTTTACTTCACTTTTAACCCAAAACCCTTTATATTTTTGTGTCTACTTTTTTGGTTCTGTTTTATTTCTCATGGTTTTAATATGTGCTCTTTGATCTTAGATTTAAGATTTTATCTTTAATCATTCCTCCTTGTTAAATCTGCCTATGTATCTCTACAATTGGGAGATTGCTGATCTAGTTGACCTGTTATTGTTTATGAATCTGTGCAATTTAATATCAAACAATTGGCGCTTACCAGATACGCATTTATCTCTCTATACTCATTGCTGTTACCGTTGAATATCTTTGAAACACACACATCAAATCACAATTATGGTACCGGTGTCAAATCGAAGTTATCAAGGATATTTAATTTTTGTTAAAAGTCATATTTATAAGCTGATAGCTTGTTTACTACTTTTGTTGATATTTATGCAATACTTAGCTGACTTTATGATAACGACCCAACGGTTGATACAATCGTCCGCCTCTATATCATCATTATCATCAACCATCAAATGGCCTCTAGTTATGTCAGCAATTAATCACAATAATAGTATATTTAATCCGACTTTGAAAGATCGTCGTTTGAGCTCAACATTAAATGAGCAACATCAACTACAACAACAGCAACTACTATTACAACAACATTCACAAATTCAGAATAGTATACAACGATTGAATTCAAATTTTAAATTACCACCATCACCTTCATCTTCATCTTCATCTAATGTCAATGTAAATGCCAGTGCCTCTGAATCAACATTTTCATCAAATAAATTTGATCTACCTGTAACAAACAACTATTTAACCAACGCTAGTCAACTGGAATTGTGTCCTTTAATCCCTCCTAAATTGGGTAAGAGATGAGCTTCAATTGATCAAATAAACTAATGAAAGTAAATTGAAAATGAAGCCAAAATCGAAGAAGGAAAAACAAAACAAAACAAACTATATTATCAAGTGTTACGATGCGTAACCAGACTCACCCCGAGTTTTGTTTAATTTATATTGTATCGATTGAAATTGAGTTGAGCGTGTGTTGTTTATTACCTGACTGTTCGCCTGTCTGCCTGACTTTTACCTGTTTGTTCACCAGTAGGAGTTTACAAGTTAATGGTTAACATCATCAAGAATCACAATCTCTTTTGAATAACCTGTTTAACTCATTTTAACTGTTTTACTTTTCTTTCCATCATCTCGATCATGAAAATGAGATAAGAATTATTCATTGAATTGCACTTGAATGAGAATTATAAAGGAAGCAAAAGATTATGTCCTTCGATGTTGGCTTCTTTCGATTAATTTAACTTTCTAAGTAAACATTTTAAAATAATAAGCAATTAATTTCGTTACAATAACAAAATTCATGAACAAATCATTAATTGCTCCTCGAATATAAACTTCTCATCACTTCTCGTGAGAATGAATTAGCTAATTTATTTGATCAAGCTAACCTTTCTCTTCATTTCTTTCTCTTTCATGACAACGATGACGATATAATTTTTTGGCTCTTCTGGCGTGACACGCTCTCCCTTTCTTCCTCTCTATGCATGACCATTTCGTCCTCACTTTCGCTTTTCTTACGTATTCATTATCATGATTTACCAACCTGATGTATCATCTAAAGTTGGCCGTTTGAAGGTTATGACCGAGATTCTTGATTGGGCACATTTAGAAGAACAATTTCCCGATATTGAGACCGGTGGTTGTTTTCGTCCTAAAAACTGTATAGCACGCCAAAAAGTCGCCATCATAGTACCTTATCGTGATAGAGAGCTTCATTTACGAATTTTGATACACAATCTTCACCCGATGCTTCAACGTCAACAAATTGATTACTGTATCTATATAATAGAGCAGGTAATGAATCCAAAATGAACCTTGAATCCTTTTTTTCGTTACTTTTCCACCTTTTTTTGTTTTATGCTTCTTACCCTACCATTTACCTGATGTTTAACAATCAAATTAATCTACTTTCTCTTTTTCTCCTTCTTCACACATCACACACTTTTTGTTTCACTCCCGGTTGCACCAATGGTTATTGATAATTCCATTAATATTAACAACATGAACAACATGGTATCCTACTTACAATGGTTTAATTATTTCGATCATTATCGCCCCAATTCAACGGCAATTTATCTGCTAATAATTTATTTCTATAACTCAATTTTCACCGGCTTCCATATTTCATCTCATTCCATTAATTTCTCTTTTTACATCTCCATGTAATCATTTCTTCAATGGGAATCATCTTTAATTATCTTGAATGTAACTGCACACTACCATCTTTGATGACGGAATCTTGACGAAATCACATTCATGTGCTAAAAAAACGTTTGTTTTTAAATTTATCCTTGGATGAACTGTAAAACTCCGAAAAACCGCCCACCTTCTGTTGATTAACATTTCCGTTCTTGTAATGTAATTCATCTAATCTTGGAAAATCTTTTATGACTTGGCCAATTTTCATCTTAATCGTTATAATCATGGCAATGATGATGATGATAATGGTAATGGTGATGATAATGATGATAATGAAAATACTGATGATACCAGATGAAAGATACTATGTTCAATAGAGCCAAATTGTTTAACATTGGATTTATGGAAGCGTCCAAGCAAAAAGATTATGATTGCTTTATTTTCCATGATGTTGACTTAGTTCCTGAAGATGATAGAAATCTTTATAGATGTGCTGAACAACCAAGACATATGTCAGTTGCTATCAATACTATGAAGTACAAGTAAGAATTAATTTCTAATCTTCCCCCTGTCATTCAAAAAATTTCAAAAAATTGAACTTCTGACCTCTCCTGACTCATTCAACTTTATAAACAGAAAACGGCACAAAAAAGTAAAAATATCTTGAAAATAAGGGAAAATATGGTTACAAAGAATTCCAAATAATGAAAACACATCGATCAGACTTTGGAATAAACAATGTTCAATTCATGCTTTTTTGTTTACAAAGATTGATGTGTTTTGATTCCAAAGATTCAAGATTATTTCAATCAAATATCGTGTTCAAACAGACACGAAAAATTATCTAGACAATCAAAAAGATATCTCTTTGCAGAGTAAATCTGGCCATTTTCAAACCTTCATATTTCAAAAATATGAATTCAATTTGTACTTCTGTTAAAGTGTGTAAACATACTCCAACATGAAGAATCTTGCTCGTCTTTATTTTCACCAAGAATACTCTTTTGCCCTTCTCTGCTTATAACCGAATTGAAATCAATCAAAATTTGGTATCAGGCAATTCCTTATAGACATCATAATTATAATCCATTCTTTAATTGTTTTCTTAATTGTGCAAATTTATCTAAAAAACTTGATTAGCATCGCAGTTATCTTCATGAGATCCTCTTTTGCTTCACAGAAACAAAATGATTCAAGCTCATTAGTCAACTTTGTAAATTCAACCTTTTTTACTTATACATTCAGCTTTTGAGGACATCGACATTGACCATCCTGTCCTCTTCAACCTCTCACATCTTATAAAACATCATCACATTAATAATAACTAGCATCAGAAGAAAAACTTGATTTAACAGGATTGAGGATTTGCTGATTAGTAATAAGAAGTAAATGATGAGCAAATTCAAAGACAGACTAGTAAACGTAGCACTTTGAAATGGCTTGCCCAAAGGCTTGATCAACAAATGATGTTTGTAATCACATCCCTTCATGCTTTTGCTTGTTTTTTTCTGTGATGAATCTAATCATTCAGTAAAATGAACTAAAAAAGTTTACACCATGAACCGGTCTTATTCCATCGTTTTACTTTCCTTGTTGCTCAATTGCTTATTATCCAATTCAGCGAATAGTCTTTATCATCTTACTGTATTCATATTCCATCATTTATCTCTCTTCCCCTACTCATCTCATGAAAAATAGTTTTTTCTTTCTTTTTCAATTCTTCCGAATTGTAATCGTCCGACAAACCATCAAATTGAAATTTCTTTGCCCTGTCCTTTGCGCTCTTCATCTATTATTCCCCCGATTCATCATGCTCATCATCATCCTCTATTTGATTGTCATATAATGCACATTTGATTCACTCATTCAACTTTCTCTCCTCAGACTTCCTTACAATGGCATCTTTGGTGGTGTAAGCGCTCTCTCTAAGAAACAAATGATTGCTCTCAATGGATTTTCAAATGAATACTGGGGCTGGGGCGGTGAAGATGATGATATGTCTCATCGTATCAGTTATCATGGATTCCGAATTACCCGTTATCCTGAGACAATTGCTCGATACTCCATGTTGAGGCATCCAAAAGAAACACCAAATCCGGACAGGTTATTATCAATCAATCCATTCATTATCACATCAATTTTTTTTCATCATTTATGTTTTACACTTTTTTTCCTCACTTCTTTTCACACAAGAAGCTTTAACTTTCTTTCCTGAGAGATGAAGAGGAAGGCAAACAGAGAAAGATTTCGCCATCATCAGCTAAAAAATGATTCACTAAATACATGAATTTCTTCATTCCTTACAATTTACCCTTGTTCAACCTCTTCTTGATTGGCTATATATCTCCCTTCCCCTCTCTAACCAGCATGAGAAAGAAGATTTAGCCGTTTTTTATCATCAATGGACTTGAAATATTAGCTTCACTATTAAGCTCATTCTTCTTGTGTCTTTGGGCCTTTTATTTGGTAAAAAAGTTCAGACTCCTGAATTGTTAGACCCTTTACCTTTTTTCACTCTGAAATAGTTCACCAACCTTAGGATTGATCAAACATCTCATTGTACCAATGAGTTGAGATTTTGCTCTTTGAACATATTTTCTAACCTTTTTTCCCATTCTCTCTGTTTCAAGCCTGATTGGTAGTTATAATAAGGAATGTATCTTTTTGACAGAGTCTTCATCATCATGTTTCACACACAATCAATACTTTCCAAACTGTGGTTAATCAGTACTATTGAGCTTCAAATCGCATGCATGACGACAACTCCTTCTTTCATCATCAGTTTTGATCTCCTTTCATCGTCATTAGAGATGACCCAAAATTTTCTCTCTCACTATAATTATATTTTCAATTCTGCAATATCGATTCTACATTTTCTCCCCTCTTTCTCTCTTTCTTTCTCTTCCTATTATCATCTTCTATTAACTTCCATTATCTTTTCATTCATGATAATTAATCGTCTTTTTCCAAGTTCAATCAAGATGAGAGTTCCTTCATCGAGAATAGATACTTAAACTGTAACACTCCCAATATGATTAATATCTCTATTCAGCAACCTCAATCTTATATTTAACTATTACCAATTTGCCCAACTCATTAACCAATCCATTCACTTTTTTTCAAAATCATTATTTCATAATTTTCAAGTTTCATTCTTCTTTATTCACTTCATGTACCATCATTCAATTTCAAAATCAAATACTTTTACCAACAAGCACAATTCACTCAGAGACAAAACTCTGAGTTGTATGATATTGACGATCAAACAATAGGTTGGTCAAAGGAATGAAATTGAGTAATTACCAGAACTGATTACTCTGTTGAATGTGAAAAGCGATAAAAAATCTGATAAATGTTTTCACATTTCACTGTTTTATAATTTCCCCCTGAACATACTCTTCTTTTCCTTCCCATCTTCCCATTCATATCACATTCATCCAAATCTCATCTTGATTCATTTTGTTTCTTCTTCCTCTCATTTAATTGCAATCATTTCTTGAATCAAAATCATGTTTCAATGTTGAATAGTGACACATTCAAATACTTCATTTAAACTAACTGTCAAGCTCTGTTTCCTTCAAATGTCTCAATTTTTTTGGCTTTCTTTACCAACATAAAAAAGTTGACTTTAATTTGATTGCTTACTCTCTTCACTTGAAGTACCGTTAATTGTTTCCCATTATTTTTCCTGCCCATTCATTCACAGTCAACTAAATAATAGTTTCAATACAATATTTATTAATATTGTAATACCTTGCTTCTTGAGCTGTGCAAAAAACTCACAACAGTAACCTACCTACTATTTTTTGCGTCCAACTCACCAAACCAAATATTATTATGCCTTTCACTTTCAACTCAGAATGCTAAAAATGTGTCTTTTTTTGCTGTTGTTTCACCGATTCAGCAATTCACTGAATTGTGTGTTTACTCGAACAATTAATGTTTTTATGATTGATTCAATATCTATTAACCAACAATTATTTATCCTGTCCTTGACATTTAAATGGTATTTTACTGGTTTTTATTAATGATAACAAATTGTCCGATAATATTGAACAGAAGCAGCTTCCAAAAACCATATAAACCATTGAATAATGTTATTGTTGCTCATGTTATTGCTCATAATAATATCCAAATATTCAAATAATTCAAAGTACTTTATTGTCTGTTTGGTGTGAAATTAGTCATTCATAATGTTCAACATTTTAATGATTTCATTGATCCATTATTAATGATAACTTATCATTTAATGTGATCAGTTTCTAGTCATTATTTGATCCTCAGATAAAACATGAGAAAAGTTCTTATGTTTTTTATTTCTTGTTTCACGGTTCATGTTTCAATGTCTTCTGAGATTGCATATATTTTTTATTTCACTTTTTTGCCATCATTTGAAATTTTTTCAGCCATGAGAAAACCTTTTCCGTTTTCAGTCTTGAAATAATTTTTTATACCTTTTTCATCATCAATAATATCATTATTCTCTTCCTTTTCATTCAAACTTCATGACTTTGTTACTTATATATATTTTACAATACCATGGCCCTTGAGATGGGCTTTTGCACGCTCACAGAATCAACACAATAGACGGTCTAAAGAGATAAAAAAAAGTCAAACAAGACAAGAAATGATAGAGATGATGATGATGGTTAGGATGATTATGATGAACATGATGAAATGAAATAAAACATCAGCCAAAAACAAGAAGTAAATGTTTGCTGAGATTTTTTCTTGTTTTGTTTTCTGTTTGCTATTTCAATACTTGGCTTTTCTCATCTACTGGACATGAAATATTTATTATCAATGACATGCTCTCTTGATTTGCTAGCGTTGCTACTTTATGTTCAAACAACGTAAACCTCTGAGTTTAAATTATTAATCATTTCAATCTATTTTAGTTCTTATTCACTTTACCTTCTAAACTTTTCGCCTACCTTTCTTACCTTTTTTAATTTATTGATTTATCTTTGTCTTAATTTGGAGAGAAAGTTCATTTTCTAAACTAAAAGTCATAACCATAGTGATCTTGATCAAGTTAAACATTACAATCAATGAATCTCCCTGAATCAATTCCCTTCCTAATGTCGATTTTACAAACACTTTTCTAATTCATTTTCTTTCTCATTCTAGTTTGCTTTTTCCTATTCTTGGAGTTTCATTCTGTTACGGATTTTTACAAGGGTTTAAATTGATTCTTGCCACCACCATCATGATTATTACTGTAAATGAGTCACAATTATAATATTAAATTTGGGTAAAAGGGTGTGTTACTTTCAACATCCTTGTTAAAAGATAAATGAGTGAAGATGGAAACAAGAAAAAGGTTAAAACAAGATTTGATCAAGTCTATATGTTTAAACATGATGGAAGACTAAATCACTTATTTTCTTGTAGTTTATTGTAACTTTATGATAAATTGATTGCTGGTTGATTGTTAGTCTGTTTTAAGTTGATTACAAGTATCTCCACCCTTGATCACCATCATCACCACCAGACAAAAAAAAGTTGATGTCATTCAATGTGGTGACTTAATCGTATTAGTTTTTTGTCTCTGTCTTAACTGATTCATTCCATGGTTCTTTTTTCATCTCTTTCAGATAGTAAGTGCATCGTCATGTTTCCCAGCTTCCTCATCACAGGAAATACTCTTGTTGTCAAAGTTGTTGCCTATCTCCGGTCCTGAAATCTAGGGATAAAAACTCGGAACAGTTGATAGTTATTATAAATGTACAAATATTGCTGATGAAAGTTACAAAATAATGCGAAGAACAAGAAACGATGGAAATAATGGTGATTAGGATGAGGATGAAACAAAAGGAAACATTCTCATTATTCTCTTTCAATCTTTCCCTGTCTTACCAATCTTCCAAGTTAATCTAGGATTTTCAGGGCAAAATTACAAAGAGTCTAATCGAGGACACGCACCAGTAGCGTGACAATCTTATATTGATCTCAATTGACTTTTCTCCTTACATTACTCACTTGTTTATTCATCAATCCTCATCTTGCCCCTTGTTTTTCTCCCTCATTTGTCCTCATCATCTTATTATCCCTTGATTCAATTTCATTTCAACGATTCATCGTTTTCTCATCGAGTTCAGTCTTCCTTTTCTTATTTACTCCTATTTCTTGTTAAATTTTATTCTTCCTCTTTTCGTCTTCAGATCATCTTATGATCGTTTCATTCAACTCTTTTCGCCCTTCCATTCAATACAGCAACTCTTCTTATAACATAATGATAATATTTCTAATTTGATTGGTCAACAATAACATTGTAAATGTTTATTCAGTTTAAACGTTGATTATCAAATGCAAGAATAGCAGTTTAGTGTGTTTAAAAAAGCCTTTAAATTTGTTTGGACAATTAATCTTTAATTGTTCAAATTAGTTGGTTTTTCTGGTCCATTCACAATTTAAGATCATTTATCCTAATTTTTAGCTATTTTTTACCCTTTCATGCTCATTTCCGACAGGTTTATTGTTATGTGCTGATTATGGGTCATACTTGATTAAAATAAGAATATCTTTTGTTAATTTATTGCCAATAACCTTCAATCATTTATTGAATTTCTCTAACTCTTTTCACAAACCCGTCTTTAAAGGTTTATTTTTAAAATATTAAATATTTTGTATCGATTTTGATTCATTGTTCATAACAGACTTGGAATATGGTTGCTGTTAGTTTTGATTATAACCTAGCTGTATTTGAATGAGCATCAACAGCTAAAGTTGATATAATTACCTTTAATTCCTGTTTTGATAACTTTAATATAACCCAACTTATGTGAATTTAATAGCATTAAAAGTCTGGATGGTTAATCTTTCTCTGTGTCTTCCCTTGAATCACATTTTGATGAAAAATACTTTTATTTAATCATTTTAAATCAATTTTAATCTATGTCTACTCTACTTATTCATTGATTTTATTTCTCATCTTTTCTCCATTTTAGATACAAAAAGCTATACTCAGCAAAAAGACGATTCAGGACTGATGGATTAAGCAGCCTTAAATATAAAAAGCTTGATACCATCTTTCAAAAACTTTACACTTGGATACTCGTTGATGCATTACAACCTTAAACTAATTGAAACTATTTAATATCAGCAACCAGAAAAAAAGAGTTAATATATATATATATAAATATATAAAATGTGTACAAATGACTTAAGTCAATATTGACGATTATATTGCATTGTATTTTCATTGAAAAGGAAAAGTAAAAAATTGAATAAGAAAATTTTTTATTATTTCATTAGAAAACTCTTCAGCTTCAATTGAAGCATTCTGTTATAAATCAACCAGTAACTACTAAATTGATTGTGAATTTTTGATCAATAGCTTGAGAAAGGGTGGAGAAATTATTTTCAAGGTATTTCAAAAGATCATTGAGTACATCTCGAAGTAAACATGTCTTTTAGACTGATAAAGAAGTCACAATATATAATTTAGACGCACCTTATTAACACTATTTGGTATTTTAATCAAATTTATCAAAAATTATAGCAATAATTAGATATCTAGCGATTCACAGATAATTTAAAAATACTCTGTTCACTTCTAGCATGTCATTTTTTGAAATACCCTGATGAATGGGCCTGTTATTGATATAAACAAAGCAAGTCTTTGAATGGAAAGAAACTGTTATTAAAAAATATAAGTGTAAGAGCTGAATGGACATGAGGATGTATGGAGGTTGATTGTGATAAATAATATACAAATACATTAATAAGGAAAAGATGATTAATGATTATGTTTAAAGAAGATCAAGATCCAGCTCAAACTTGAGAGGTTTCGCCATGAATTGTGGAAGATCCTCTTCCTCGTCAAATTTAATCGCATCCGTAGGACCAAACATGCTGATAGGAGAAAACGAAAGGTCATCTAAATCTTCTTCAAGCATTGGATAATGATCCTCAAGGATTGATTCATTAAAAATATTAGATTTAGTGCACTTTTCTTTTTCCTTGATACATGATGCAGGCGGCTGTTGCTGTTGCAATTGCTGTGGTTTAACTCCCTTCAATGATTTAACAGACTTCTCCAATGTAACCTTCTTACAAGATGCAGACAAGCCACCAGACTTTAAATCTTTCGCTTTTTTAGGACCTTCCTTGGTTGGACTTGGAACACTAACTCCACTGTTAAAAGCGAGTTTACCAGAGACACCAGAGATATTCTTGAAGCTTCCTTTTACATTGGAAACATTACCAAAAGCCTTACGAGCAGATTGAGTTACACTAGTTTGAGACATAACTTGTAAATGAAAAGATGTAATTTACGATTCCAATTAATAAACTGAACAATAAAACACTGATTGAGAAGACAAGATCAAAGTAAAATGGTCAGAGGTTTAAATGGACACAAGGGCAGTTGAACTTTAAATTTAAAAAGATGTTCGTTACTTTTACCAAGCGCCAAATGTTGTTTTTACAATGAAGAAACTAGTGCCATCTATTACCCTTCAGAGGTTTCATTTGTAAAAGTTTTTACTTATTTACAGCAGATGGCGCTCAAAGTACATAAATTATTTTTGATTAATTTTTGATTACAGTTACAGTTGTGTTTCTGATGCAGCAAGTCAATCAAATTGACTGTTATAAACGATCAATTCTTGTCCTCTAACTGTTAATGAACAGCTTTTTCTTGATAAAATCAAAATAAACCCTTCTATCTTGGATCAATCTAAACTTTCTCATCGATTTCAAGTCTTTCATCAGACTGCTTTTAAACGTAACTTTGACACAAAAAAAATTGAATCGCTTTATTTTATTTTTTAAAGCCAGTCATAATTAACCTTTAAACAATTTAATTGAATAAATTGATTATTTATTTACCAGTAAATACATATTTGATCAAAGTGATACTTTAAATTAGCTGATAAGGTTCATTTAGTTGATTCAAAAAGGTTTGTATAATTTGTTGACAATAAAATGGTGTTAGCTTTTTAATGTAATAAAAAAAGCTATATCCTTAAACTTGAGTCAATCATTTCTCCTTGTCTTTCAATGAAACTCGCAAAACCTCATTACAGGTATCAAATTAAATTTAAGTCCTACAAAAATTACTTCAACAATTATCTCTCACAACCAAATCAATGAGTGTATAAAATGATAAAAGGCAATGTTGTGTGTATATTGATGTTCATGTACGTATATATCATTGATAATACTTGATCTTACCAGATCTTGAAGCTAAAAATCAAAGTGAAACGTCAAAAGCGTTTCCCTTACCTAAACTGTTGTATTATCTTAAATACAAATCTGTTCAACATTAAATCAGTCCATTATGAGGAGATCAATAAAGCATCATGATTAGTTGTTGCCTGGCGGACAATTAGATTACAAGATCTACTGGTAAAGACAAAAACAAATGACAAACATTTGAATCCCTACTAACTGCATCATTACCAATGTTGACCAAGTAAACATTTATAATCAAATCAAACTCCTACAAATGGCTTAGTAATGAATAAAATTGAAAATTGTAAGCCTGATTAATCAAATAAAGAATCGTTGATCAATTCTTGTTCAGCCTTTTTTAAGTCAACAATTTTAAATATAACAGCAAAGCTTAAATTGTCTTGCTAACAATACATATTAAACCATTCAACTGTTTAGTTCCTGACTTTTACCCAATCTCAATTGAAAATGTAGCAACAAATTAGTCCAACTATGATAATCAAGGTATTAAATTAAAATTTATACAATCATAATCACGTATCAATTTCAAGTCTAGTCTAATTTTGATTGAACGCAATTGATCTTCCCTTTGTTTCTCATTGATTTAACTAACCAAATGAAATTGAAATGAACAGTTTGATTGTAAAATATTTCAACAAGCTAGACATAAAACGATCTAAATAATAATAATAAGTCATCATCATGATTATCATGTTGAAATTGATGATGAAAGTGAAGGTGATTGAGTGAGTCAATTGAATGAAAGCAAATTGTATTTTCAATGAAAAACCCGTTCAAAGTAATTTTCTAGCCACTTGACCTGAAATCGAAAGGAATTATTATCATTATTATAAGTTATTTTATTTTTTCGCTTCTTTTTTCATTCATCATCCTCATCATAATCGCTTTACCTTCATCCTAGCTTTAATCATGATAAAGTTGATTCAATTCTGGCAAAAGTAAATATCAAATAAATTGTCTCTTTTATACAAGGTAAAGATGTAACAATCAATATGTAACCATTGTCAATCATTTGCCAATTATGATCAACAACCAATAACAATCAGTAACCTGTCACCAATATTCAATCACATTCAATCACAATTACAACCATTTCTAGGCAATTTTTACATTTACATTTGTTTATTCACTTTTAAATCAGGTTTTCATTTTAGGTTGAGTTTCAGTTTCTGGTTTTTGGTGTTTAATTTTTAATTTTAGTCTTGAATTTAAATTTTTTAATTTCTGACATTGCCTTCAATCTTGTTTTGACAATTTTAAGGCTAATTTTTGTTCAACAATTTTGGGTTTTTTGGTTTTTCTGGTTTCTTCTTTTGGGTTTATGCTTTGTTCATTGGCAATGTTGATATATTTTCAATGGTTGATTTGGCTTGGATGGGAAAAGTTGTACCGATAATTAATTATATATTTATATTTATGATTACGCATTCAGTTTTATTTCAACCTTGATCTGACCATGTTGACCTGAATTCCGATCAATTCAAATTTTTACCTCAATAATTGTAACTAAATTTTTTCACCATTTTTCTTCATCTATTCATTCAGATTCACACAATATTCAACTGAATAACCATCAACATAATATTAACATCTATAATAGCTGATGTTGATGTTGTTTGCTGTTGATGTGGATAAATTGTTGTTTCTAAATTGTTGGACAATTTGAAGGGAAATCAAAACAGGAAGATAAATGATTGTTGGTGTGTTTTTACTTGTGATAAAAATGCGTGCTTTTTGCACAGCAAAGGTACACATTTGTACAGACAAAGGTCTGAACCAAGCAAACAAAACCAGTAACCTGAAAGTCGTTTCTTTTTTTCGAGTCAACAAGTTACAATAAATAATACAGACAAGCAAACAAGTCAGACATCTTTTGCACTTTACCTGCAAACAAATAAACTGAACAAGTTAACAGTAAATAATTATAATAAAAAAATAGTTAATAAAAAACACCATTTAATCATGATTATCGGTGGTTTTAATAACATAAATATAATAATCATAATTTTATACTTGATTATTGTAAATCAAACAAAATATGTTCATCAATGAAAAGGAAAAAAATATTTCACTTTTTCACCCAAAACCAATTTACCTTTTGCTTTTACTTTGACTATTAACTGTTGACTGTTCATTTTAATTTGTATGTTACTTTATAAATCATTGGATACTTTCACTCAATTAGATTAATTATTTTATTGAATCTTGACATTAAAATCAACGTGTGTTGAGATTAACAATGAGATGACATTGACAGTTAATGTTAGCTTTGATAATTTGGGTTTAGCTTTGCAAATTTCATCCTTTTTAGGTTAAGGTCTGCATGTTTGAGGTACAATTTTTAGGCTCTTTTGGGTTTTGGGTGAACATTTTTTGCACCAAATTCTGGTTTCAAATACTTTTAGTTTTCCCTTTTTAATCTTCTTGTAAAACGATTTGGGTTTCGGGTTAACCAGAAAATGAAGTTGACTAGGAAAAGGTGAAAACAGTAAGAAACAAAAAAATGGTTTTTGACCCTTCTCATTATTCAACTGAATCATGATCTGTTTAATTGGCCCTGCGGTCTTAAATCATAACTAAATGTAAATATAGATTGTAAATAAATGTATATTTATTTATAAGTTAAACTCGCAAGATAAATATATTTTTTTGTATCAAAAAGATGGATACAGACACAAACATACACATTGAAGTATTAAATGGCAACCAAACGTTTCAAAATAACGTACACTTGCTTTACTTTATCAACTTACCTGACGCTTTTTTTTTATAAATGCATTAATATTTGTTGAACAACGCGAACTGAAAATTGCCTTGATTTGTTCATTTCGTAGATAAGTATTATTATCGTCACACTTAATGAAGATGTTGATAAATGAAAATGCAAATTGAAAAAAAGGAGAGAAAAGGTGAAACATGTTGATCAAGATTCATCATCGCTACGGTTTATTGTCCATTCATTGTTTAGTTTATTTAATTTACCTTTCTCAATTGATTAACTGTAATTAAAATTACAATTGAAATTAAAATTAAAAGTCATCGATAGAGTTTTCGGGTTAAAAGGAAAAAAAATTAAACGTTAGTTTCAGTGTTACAAGCCATTGAATGAATGGCAATGACCATTGCTGCAGGGAAAACGTTTGATCATATTTATGATGATGCTGTTGTGGATGATGATGATGATGACGATGATGATGGTGATGTAAATAATGTAAATAATTAAGAGATTAATGTTAAAGTCATTGATTGATTAAGCTAAGATTGATGTTGGTTTAATGATACTTCCTGAATACTGTGAATTGAACATTGAAAATGCAAGATTAAAATGAAGGATTTTACTTTAAATTGTACAATTAGATACACAATTAAACAGGTAAAAAATGTGTGTTCAATTGAAACTGATTACATAATTAACTGTATTACTGTTAACCAACCTTTAAAGTTGCTATTAACTGCTGACTTTAACAAATGTTTTCCCATCCAACATTTGCTTTCATAGATTTCCTTTTTTTCTAGTTTCATCTCTTTTCATTGAATCCATTTTTCCAGTAATCACTCGATAACTTGAGTTTAATTTTCATTTTCATGTAATCTGTTCATTTGCAGTTGAACCTGTTTGACCAGGATTGATGAAAAAAACACAAAAATGTAAAAAAATAAGAAATATTCAAACAAAAATGTTTCCAGATTGAAACTTGAATTTGACAAGACAAAAAGGGAAAACTGGTAAATGAGATTTTCACATTTACTGTTCTGTTTTCAACTTTCTAATCAGATGTTGATTAACTTATTCAACCAAAATGTTTGCTTACTCTTAAAGGAACCGGAAACACATTTACATGACCAATTAGTTCGATAAAAATACTGAAACCAGTTTAAGAGCAACCAAAAGCACAATGAACGCACTCAACAACCAGTTACTCAGTTACTGTTGTTTTCCCATTTCATTTCATTTTCACATTCAACTAACCTTTTTTTTTACTAATCTTACTCAATCATTTCAATGAATCTCGATCAATCTGATAATCAGTCAACTAATCAACTTAAATGTTCAAGAATCACTCTTTTAATTAATCTATTAAATGTTAATTTTAAATATGTCCACGAAGGTCAATTTGAAAACACTGCATTAGTGTTACTCCCAACAACAACCAAAAACCTTGTCATTTTGCGTTTGATGCTTAGTTTCACAAATTGAAGTCTAATTAGTTATTTACCTTGTAACAATTCATCAAATTAGTCAAATTAATCATTTACTTTTAAATGTCATCTTCAGACAATCGCAGGACTTCATGTTTAACCTTGTCTACGCCATTTTTTCGACTTTACCACTAAAAGCCAAAAAATTTTTGCAGATGTAGAAACACATTTAATAAACATGTTTAGATTCAATTCTTTGATTTGGACAATTTAATATTGATTAGGTGTTTGTTAAGTCAAAGTTTAGGCACAATAATTGGCAAGGTGCAATAATGAAACTAAATTGAAAGGGAATACTTTTTTGCTAAATGTCGATTACTGTTTACTGACAATTATTGTTAACGTCATATTTAACATTGTACATAATAAGTATTAATAAGTGTCAGAGGCAACAGATTGAGATAATTAATGGTCCTTTACGACGTCGATGCCAATCTCGATCTCGAATCTATGGGTATATAAAGGATCCTCTTAACCCTACTAGAACCATATCATTCATTGTGATTTAATAGAGCAATAGAGTCTCCAAATTGAATTGTAAAAAAGTTATTATACTCTGTTATTTATCAATTAACTCACCAATTTACTTTGTTAAAGCTAGTCATTTCAGCAATAATGAATACTTTTGTTTTAACCGTTTTCCTCCTAGCTACTGTTGGTACCCTTAATGGTTACACTATTCCCGGTCTCGGACAATCATCTTACTCAACTGGATCCTCTGTTAATGGCGTTAATACTCAATCTTTGGCTAAATACGAATCAAGTTCTTCCTCAACTGGCCCCAATGGTGTTCTAATCAAGACCTCTGAAAGTCGAACTTCAGTCAATGGTGGAGCTCCTTTAGTCAGCATTAGTCGAGCCACATCAGCTGATTCATCAAATGCTGGTTTACTCGATGTCTCTGGTGTCTCTGTCCTTTCTAATGGACAATCTGGTTCTTCCTCCTCCCAATCATCACAATCTTCTTCTGTCCAGGGTTCATCAGCAACTCCAGACCTTTCATCAATCATTACCGTCGCTCCTATCACTACAAGCCCACCTATAACTATTGGAGGTTCAACCACCTCTGGTTCATCCCAATCTCAAACCGCAATCTCATCAAACTCTGGCTCTTCTGACTCCACTGGTTCCTCAACTACTGTTGGTAACAACGACAATGACGATGACGATGATGACTTCTCAGTTGAATCTTTTGCTCAACGAAGACCACACCGACATGCTCCTTGCAATGCACTCGCTTCCCTTACTGGCTGTAATGACAAGGTTGTTGTCATTGTTCTTGGTGGTAATGGACCTGAAAGTCGATGGGGACGAATTGCTCGAGGATCATTCAGACGATCACGATTCGATAATGATGAAGAAGATGACGAAGAAAATGAAGAAAGGCGATACCGATTTGGTCGAAGAGGCTCACGACGAAGCAGCTTTGACTCACGATCATCCAACTCAGACTCTTCAGCTACTCGATCTTCATCTTCATCAGAGAACTCAAACAACTCTGTAGACAACCGACGATCATCCTTTGACCGAAGCGAATTCCTTGCCCGAAATGAAGCTTTCAGACGATACCAAGCTGCTCGAGCTGCTCGGCGATCAAGCGAATCTTCATCTTCCGCTAACTCATCCAACAACCGATCAGAAAATAATCGGCGAGTTACTCGAAGCCACAGTTCAAATGAAGATGTCTTTTCTAACGAATCAAAAAACCGACGATCAAGCAACTACGAAAATGAAATCAATGAAATCAACCGAATTAATCGAATTAACCGAATCAACAATATTAACTCAGTTAATGTTCAAAATGATGTTCGATCAGTAGACAACAAATCTGTTGACAACCGATCATCAAACACAAAAAGCTCAACCAATGTATCAAACAGTAACAAAGTTTCGGACGTTCGATCATCAGTAAACAATCAAGCTTCCTCAACAAATGTTTCTAACTCCAACAAATCAGACGTTAAGTCATCATCTAACGTTTCACAGAACTCAAATGTTAAGTCATCAGTCGATAAACAATCTTCAAACAATGTTGTCCGATCTTCTGATACCCGAAGCTCAGTCAAGAACCAAGCTTCATCAATCAATGTTGCCAATAGTAACAATGTTAACCGATCAAGCAATGTCCAGAGCTCAGTAAATAAGCAAGCTTCTTCATCAAACGTTGCAAACTCAAACAACGTTAACCGATCAAGCTCAGTTCAAAACTCAGTGAATAACAAAGCATCAACCAATAACCAATCCTACTCAAACAATGTTTCAAAGGTCTCAGATGTCCGAAGCTCAGTTAATAAAAAGGCCAGTTCATCAAACGTTGCTAACTCCAGCAATGTTAACCGATCAAGTAATGTCTCAAGCTCAGTGAATAAGCAAGCTTCCTCATCAAACGTTGCAAACTCAAACAACGTTAACCGATCAAGCTCAGTTCAAAACTCAGTGAATAACAAAGCATCAAACAATAACCAATCCTACTCAAACAATGTTTCAAAGGTCTCAGATGTCCGAAGCTCAGTTAATAAAAAGGCCAGTTCATCAAACGTTGCTAACTCCAGCAATGTTAACCGATCAAGTGCTGTCTCAAGCTCAGTCAATAAGCAAACTTCTTCATCAAATGTTGCAAACTCAAACAACGTTGCTCGATCAAGCAATGTTCAAAACTCAGTCAACAACTCAGCAACTAATTCAAACAAGGTCGTAAAATCTGATGTCAAGTCATCAGTTAACAACCAAGTTTACTCAAACAATGTTTCCAAGATCTCAGATGCCCGAAGCTCAGTTAATAACCAAGCTTCATCCAACAATCGAGCTTACTCAAACAACGTTAGCCGATCAAGCGATGTCCGAAATTCTGTCAACAACCAAGCTTTCTCAAACAAAGTTTCAAAGGTATCAGATGCTCTAAGCTCAGTTAATAGCAAAGTCAGCTCATCAAACGTTGCTAACTCAAGCAATGTTAACCGATCAAGTAATGTCCAAAGCTCAGTCAATAAGCAAGCTTCTTCATCAAACGTTGCAAACTCAAACAACGTTAACCGATCAAGCAATGTTCAAAGCTCAGTGAATAACCAAGCATTATTATCAAATGTTGCTAATACTCTCAAAGCCATCCGATCAAGCAATGTCTTGAACTCAGTTAACAATCAAGCTTCTTCAGTGAATGTTGCCAACAGTAACACCCGATCAAGCTCTGTAAACAACAAAGCCACCTCAACCAATAATCAAGCCTACTCCAACAATGTTTCAAAGATCTCCGATGTCCGAAATTTAGTCAACAACCAAGCCTACTCATCAAACGTTGCTAATTCAAACAATGTTTCAAAGGTCTCCGATGTCCGAAGCTCAGTTAACAACCAAGCTTCATCATCAAATGTTGCCAACAGTAACAATGTTAGCCGATCAAGTAATGTCCAAAGCTCAGTCAACAACTAAGCCTTTTCTAACAAAGTAGCCAGATCTGCAGACTTCCGTTCATCAGTAGATAACCAATCTTTCAACAAAAATGTTGTCAACTCAAACAGCATTAGCGAATCTAATAGCAATATCCAAAACTCTGTAAATAATGAATTTAGCTCAAACAAATTCGCCCGTTCACTCAGTGACATAAGAAACTCAGAATCCTATCTTAACAGTCACTCCTCTGACATTCGAAACTCAGTTAACAACTTAGCCTCAAGCAAATTTGTCAGTCAGGTTGCCAACAGTAACATCGCCAACTCAGTAAACAAGGCTTTCTCATCAAGTGATGTACGAAACTCCTTGAACGCTGTTAACAATCAATTCAGTTCAAACAGCCTTAATCAATTCTCAGACATCCGAAACAATCACGCTGCAAGCAGCTACCAAAATTCAGTAAACAAACAATCTAGCTTCGATGCTTCACACTCATTCCAGTCAAGTAACTCAGCTCTTAAACAAGTTAATGGGTTAGCTACAACACTTACCAGTACTGCAGGTGACCTTACTTCATCAGTCACTGACTCAGCCTCAGGTCTCGTCAAGACTGTCACTGGTTCATCAGGTAACAGTGGACTAGTTGGCAATGTACTCAATACTGCCACTGGTCTTCTCGGTGGATCAGGATCATCTTCATCTACCTACAGTTCATCATCTAGCTCAGGAAAAGGATTAGTTGGTAATGTACTTAGTACTGCCACTGGTCTTCTCGGAGGTGGATCAGGATCAGGAGCATCTTCCTCATCTTACAGTTCATCATCTAGCTCAGGCAATGGATTGGTCGGTAATGTTCTCAATACCGCCACTGGTATTCTTGGAGGTGCATCAGGATCAGGCTCATCATCTTTCGGTTCATCATCTGGTTCAGGCAATGGACTAGTCGGTAATGTTCTAGGTACTGCCACTGGTCTTCTCGGAGGTGGGTCAGGATCAAGATCATCATCCTCATCCTACAGCTCATCATCTAGCTCAGGCAATGGATTAGTTGGCAATGTACTCAATACTGCCACTGGTCTTCTCGGTGGATCAGGATCAGGCTCATCATCATACAGTTCATCATCTGGTTCAGGCAATGGATTAGTCGGCAATGTTCTCGGTACCGCCACTGGTCTCATCGGAGGTGGATCAGGATCAAGATCATCATCTTCATCATACAGTTCATCATCTAGCTCAGACAATGGCTTAGTTGGTAATGTTCTCGGTGGTATTCTCGGTGGATCAGGATCAGGCTCATCATCTTACAGTTCATCATCTGGTTCAGGCAATGGATTAGTTGGTAATGTTCTCGGCACCGCTACCGGTCTTCTTGGAGGTGGATCAGGATCAGGAGCATCTTCCTCATCTTACAGTTCATCATCTAACTCAGGAAAAGGATTAGTTGGTAATGTTCTAGGTACTGCTACTGGTCTTCTCGGAGGTGGATCAGGATCATCATCTAACGGTGGAATTCTTAGTATCCTCGGTTAAATAATTTAAATATAGTGAGCCCGCTATTCATGTGCATACAAATTTATTAATAAATTCCTTTAAAAATCCCTAAAAACATGCGATCATTCATTTCTTAATACATTTAATGTTGATTTATATTCAATTGTGAGAAAAAATATTTATGTAAAATCTTGAACAATAGGGAAAAACATGGTAAGTGTAACTGGATCCTGATAATTGCACGTGACTATGACGCCGCACTGAAATGAAGCTCAGTGATGATAACAGTTTCTTACGCATCATAATAATTGATTCATTGCATTGAATACATACTGAATCAACCAGAGTGACAATCCTACAAAAATTGATGCAGCAAAATTAATGCTACAAAATTGTGCCTATCAAGAATGAGGTTCCCAGATTGAGTTGAAAAAATCAAGATGAGGGTTGAAGGCAAAAAAAATCATTACTTCTCGATGAAGAGCTGAAGCTAATATACTCATTAATCATGAATTGTATCCTCTTTAGATGGTTCCAGTTTTAATTCTGAAAAATGAGAGTTTGGTGGGATAATAGAGCATGAAATTTAAGGGTTGTCCCTGTTGTTGTTTCTGCAACCAGAAAGTGAGAATCAAAACCAGAGCAAAACATCAACAAAAGAAACTGAGAAGAACAAGAAAAATCAAATCTCAAATCGCCATTCAAACATATTCAACTTTGATTGTCTTGTAAAATCAAATTAAACTTGATTCTAATAGTGTTAATCATTAACAGCAAAAAAAACACAACCAAAAACAACAACAACGCCAATAACAGTAACATCAACAGTGTGGCTTATTTGAACGAGAAAAAATGATTTTTACTATTTTTTTAACAGTTTTGTTTACCTGTTAATCAGTTGCTTCCTCAAGTTAATCAACAGCAAACATGATGACAATTAAATTTAACTGACATTATATTGATACTCTCGACTGAGAGACTTAATTACAATCACTTTATTGACTGACTGTTAAAACAAGGAAGCCAAATGATCAGTCAATTTAACTTTTCATCCTAAATTTCAATTTTATTCAATCACAGCATTTAACTGTCAACTGTTTTTATTTAACATACATTTTCATAAATAAATTAACTAATTGGGTTTCCTTCTATGGGTTAACCTTGATCAGACACACAAATTACAATCAATGAAAGTTAAATTGTTATTTTTTATCAACACACAAACCCCTTTTGTTGTTCAATATTAAATACAAGGTACACAACAAATGGAGTCAACAACAACAATCAGAAAACGGGAAAAATCAGAGAAACTGTTTCAAATCATTTCATTAGCTATTAGCGAGAAAAAAAGCAAATTTGACCTTTTAAATACAATGCCGTTTAGCTTAATTTTGAAAAGTCTATCCTTGACAATCAATAAACTGTAGATAGTTTAGTGAGGTCACAACATTAAATGCTTATTTTTTTGCTTCATTTTTTGGTTAACAACATTTGTAATCTTTCACTTGCATTTTACTGGTGAAGTTAATGTTTATTATGGTTTCACTTTTTTTTTCTTGCTGTTTACCACTTTGATTGTAATGGTGATGGCCATGATAATAATGAAAAGGCTAGAAACACCTTACTCTGACAAAAGATTTAATGCAATTGTTAACAGATTTTGATTGCACTTATATCTGTATTACTATTATTATTATCATTATTACTGTTTACTCAGCCAATTTACTATTAAAACCAAGCCTTACTTTATATTTTTTGCTTACAAAAAACACCAAATCTTACAATATACAGTTTATAAAAATGTTTCATTTGGTTATGCTTTAAATGTACAATTGTAAGGTAACCTTATTAATGATTGAATAAGAAACAATGTTTTATTGAAATGATGATTGAAGACAAAATTAACCTTCAAACTTAAAACTGTTTTTATACTTTGGTTAAATGAAAACAAGATGATCACTTTAATGCTTATTACTGCTAATGAACCTTGATCACTGTTCATTAATCACATTCCTTATTGATTAAAACATATTTTGTATGTACATTAGGATGAAGTATAATACCTGCAAGTCTTGAGCTTCTTAACAAAACCAATCAAATCATTAATAGACTTAAACACTTTGCTTATGAGTTTAAAGAGTAAGCAGCAAAATTTTATTACTAGTGATGTGGACGGTTTTAATAGCATTAGCTTTCAAAAATCCTTAATATTGGGATAAGTTTAGGTTGATTAAAATTACACAAAAAAAGACTAGATGTATCAATTATCAGGAAACGGTGAATAATTAATATCAATCTGCAACAATAAATACAGTAGAGTGAAGGTTCAATAGCAGGAAGATACAACAGGTATAAGATTCAATTAAAAATAGATAATGAAGAGTTTAAAAATAAAAAATATTGCTGATAATAATTGAAATATTTGATAGAGTGTTGGTGGTGTGTGGCTGAAAGAGAGAGAAAGAGAAAGAGAGACAGTAACTGTCATGATGATAATCAAAAGTAATAATCAATAATTTTAGCAATACTAATTAACAAAAATATAAGTCACCAATTTTCATGACTTGAAGATTTTTTCATCTTTAATTTTCAAAGTCGCCATCTATTGTTTCAACTAAAATAATTTCGTGAGATTAGCCAATCTATTATTTTCACGTTTTTTGATGTGACAATTGGCAAAAACCAATGACTTTGATCTGTGAGTTCAACTTTTCACTTTTTACTCTAATTTAGTGTATAAAATTACATGTTATTATCAATTAATTACCATCATGAATGGCTACACTTATTGTTGAGGTAAGTCAAGGGTTGAAAGAGTTTAAAGTTTATGTGTAAAAGGCTACCAGAAGAGGAGGTTAAAATGGAGGGTAAAATTGATGCAAGTGTGAACACTACTGTAACATTATTTGTCTATCACTTCATTATTTTATCAATCATATTAATTTGATTTTGTCTCTCATTTCATCACTATTAAGCTGCTTTTACCTTAATTTTTATATCTCAATTTTTCTCTTTTCTCTCTCTCTCTCCTCTCAGGTTTTCCCATTTTTCAAGTGATACGTCATGAAAAATCCTGGAATCAAATGAAGACGAAAGAGAAGACAAATCAGGACGAAAGAGAAGACAAATAGAGGAAAAGAAAGAGAATGGAACGTTATCGAGGTCAAACGAACGAAGCAAACCTGAACAGAAAGCAAATTGTTAAGATGAAAACAAGCAACGTTAAAGACAGCGTTAGAAAGGGAGAAGATGATAATATTAAGTGAGAGAGAAAAAAATGATGAAAGAGTGAGAGTGAGAGAGAAGAGAGATATTTCTTTAAGGATAAATGTAATAATAATAATAATGTATCGTCGAAGCTTGTTATACTTGATAATAGTTTAAATGTTATCGATGAAGAAGGAGAAACCAGTTTATCATCTTTCTTCTTCTCCTTTTCATCCTCTCATCATCACTACCACCGCCACCACCACCACCAGTTAATTTAACCTCCTTTCTCTCTCTAATACCTTTTTGCTTTCTTTTCAACTTGGTTATTTGATAATGATGATGATGATAATGATGTTTGTTGCTGTTGATTTTTGTTGAATTTGCTTCCTTCTCAATCACTTTACGCATACAAATGTGTATAAAAATATATTTATATATATAAACAAAAGCTTTTTTACTTGAACACAAAAAAGGATCTTCACTCATCAATTGATTATCTTTTCTCTCGATTGCTGCTTCGATTAACACAAACAATTGGCAAAAAAAGCGTCATCATCATCATCATCTTCGACAGTTTTTAAGATTTGTTGACCAGAACAAACAATATGAAAACTCGTATGCGATTAAATGAAAATGTTGCAAGGTTGATAAATCATTTTTGTACTGTTAGCATTTTAAATTTCAAGTTAACTCTTTCAGGGCATTTTCCAGTCAAGATTGAAATGAAGATGATGATGAGGTTGAACAATGTTAATAAAATGGAGTGATAAAATATGCTTGCGGGTGAAAACAACAAGCAATTGATACAATCAGTATATCTAACCAATAGTTAAATTGAAAGAGAAGCGATATTTTTGAATGTCTTTCTTGTTATCAATAATTTTGCCTTCTTCAAGATGATAAATGCAATAGAGAAGAGAGAAGGAAAAAAAGAGAGAAGATAAGACAAGAAGAAGAAGAGGAAAAAGATGAAAAAGTTAATGAAAATGGTGATTTGAAACAACAAGTTGTTTTGCTTTTTGCTCGTTCATACACAAGCCAAGAGCAAGTGTATTACAATTTACTGTTTCCTCATTGATTTTAAACAAATGGGTCAATCACAAATCGATTTGTTTCATAATTTAAAATAAATTATTGTCAATGAGGTGAACAAATCTAGACAATATTGACTAGCAATAGAAACAAAAAAAAGCAAGACTTAAAACAAGTTTACAATGTAAACCCAATTTTAATCTGTTTTGCTGGGAATCACTGTTAATCTAATCAACATCAAGTAATTCATATTATGGCTTGATGAGTGAATTAAACAGCACCATTGAATGTTACCCTTTTTTATAACAATAATGATAAATGATAAAAGATAATAAATAATCAGTGAATCGATTGAATGCGCAAAGATTTATTCATCAATGAACAAAACTGAGCTTTAAATACTGTTGACACTGATATTGTCTTTACTGATGGTTAAAAGATAAAACTGTAAAAAAATGATAATGATAATTATCTGATTAAATATTGCTAGTGATTGAAATTGAAAGAATATGAAAGCAGAGCGATTCAATGAAAGGTCAACAACAGCAAGGAAAAAAAATTAGCTGTTGAAGCAATGGAAGTAAAATGATTGGAAATATCAATGTTTACATCTTTTCAATGGTTCAATATAATGAATAATATGAAAAACTGAAAAATACCATTCAATTGAATTTGACAAACATCACATGATGTTAAAGAGCTGCTAATTAATTTAGTGATTCAGTAAAATAAAAAACAGATATTAATGGTTTCCCAAATAACCTTGAAATCTGATGAATTATCACAAAACTCCTGAGATTTTCATGTTTTCATATCACGTGATATTTGTTTGTCAAATTAAATTGGATAACCCAATAGGTTCAAGTATACATGAGCATGATGAACAAGTTTCAATATGGCAGCAAAAACCTGAGAAACAGCAATGGGAAAAAAACATGGAAAAAGGTTGATAAAAATTGATTGTTTTTGTAAGGTTAGGAATAACGTAAGTGATACAAATAATAATAGCTGAGGTTGATTAGATTATCTAACTTTCTAGATTTATGTTACCAAGATGAACAATTTACTTGGATAGTAAAAGAGTTTACTGAATGATATTGAGATTGAAAATTTAATCGCGTGTTTCAACCGATTCTGTTAATCTAACCTTGACAACCTTTTAATATGTACACAGGTAGTTATTATTTGAGGTTTCACATGTAAACACTGTTAAATGGGTTAACTTTAAAGTGAAATATTTCATTGAGATTGTCTGTGAAATGTTCAACTCTCATCATGCTCTTATCTTGCTTTTTTTTCTGGTGAACTGAATTATTTTACTGTGAATCATGAGCCTGAGTATTTTGGGTTAACATTTCTAAAGATTGTTGTTGATTATATTTGGAGTGAGATTGTGAAAAAAAAGATGGAAAATGTTTGCATCTTTTTGTCATTGTCACTGGATTGTCACAAGTTATAATTGTATTTATAATGTTTGTGTTGTTCAAGCTGTACAGAGTGTCCAGCTATCATGATTCCAATCTTGCAGTTTCAATCTAAATATTCATGAAAATAATCTCTCAAAACACATGCATGTTTGTTATTTAAATTTTATTGATTCTAGACGTGAAACTTGGTTTGCTATGCAAACATTTTTGGGTTAAATTGTTGACTTACAATTGTGATAGTTTCTTGTTTAGACACATTGTTCACTTTGTAAAATGCATTTATTGAAAGTTGATTGTTTCTTAAATATAAAATGCTTTTATCATCTGCAATTGAAATAATTGAAATGCATTATAATTGATATGAACGCCCTGTATGTTTGACTGATTTAAATGTGATTGTAATGGCAATGATTGATTACTGCTTGTTAGATATTTGCTTGCGATATTTATAATCAGCTGTTGGGTTTATGGCTATTGGGTTTAAATTTGAGGAATTTCTAGCTTTTGGAAAACCATTTTCTGTATTTTTTGTCAGTAAATAGCGAAAATTTGAGTAAATAAATTTTTGTGTCTGTTCTTGTTTATCTAAATCAAATCAACATTTATTAATGTTTAAATGGAGAATTGACAAAAGTCAAAATGTCAAGTAAACAATAATAATGATCAACTTAAACATAATGAGAATAGTGTTTTAATTGGAAGATAAGTTTTCCCTTTTATTTCACTTTTTTCCTTCGTTTTGCATCATGCATTGATCATGCTTATTGATTGATTGTATTTTATAAAAATGACTATCTTATTTCAAGTGGAGGTAGAAGTTTCCTTTATTTCTTGAGATTGATTATTGATGAGAAAGCACGATTGTTTCTTTTTATCACAACGCGATTTATGATAATCAACGAAAAAGAAATGACATTAAGACTAAACTGGTCGAATGTATATGCATTGTATATTATTTTATGTTTCAGAAAGAGAAAGGTAATAACTCTAATAAATACATAGGTCATTGTGGAGACACACAATGGAGAGAGAAAGAGAGCAGGAAGAGAAAGAGAGAGATAGTATTTATCCAGTTTTTTTTGTATTTTCATCGCAGACAGAATTTGAAGAAAGAAAAAAAAGAAAGGGGAAGATCTCTTAAACATAGAAGTAATCAGGCAATGGCATTACCATTCAGTGATGATTGGATTGTTGATTATGGTGGTGATGAGAAATAGTTGAATAATGAGTAGAACGGTGTCCTTTCGAAGACTTGTACTCTTGAATTAATTTCTTAATGTGTGTAAGTTTCTCATGTAAATAGGCAGCCCGTCGTTTGGATTCCATGAATTTATAGTCTTTCTTTATGGTATCGTATTCTCTGAAAACTTCTTCCAATGTCCTATTCCACTCCTCAGATCCTTCGGGTAAACTTTTTAATTTAACTTCATAAGCAGAAAATTTTTGAGCGACCACATCAATGGTTTGGTGAAGTCGGCGATACTCTTTGTATTCACGATTAAAATCTTCCTTATATCTCTTGTGTTGATCATCATTGATGATCTCAACATACTTTATGGCATAGTCAGGTAATTCACCGTTGATGGAAGACAAAGACTTTGAGGAAATAGTGGATAGGTTACCGTCGTTACTACCAGTTCCACTATCAGGACTTGAGTTAGGTGTCGAACAGGTAGAACCGTTTACCATGGAACCGCTATTCAATAAATTGGCCACTCCGTTATGAGAATGATGATTGTTGTTGTTGTTGTTACTGCTGCTATTATGATTATTATTATTATGATTGTTATTAACATTATTATTATTGTTATTGATAAAGCCATTTTTTAGTCTTTTTCTATTGACACCGTTACCGGGATTTTGATTGCCACTGCCAGAATTCAGATCACCATTGTAGTCATTTTTTGAAGCACCATTGGAATTACCATGATGATGGTTATTAGAATAACGATTACTATAATGATGACCATTGCTTGTGTGATTACCTTCACTTGAGTTTGCGTTGGAGTAACCATTGGTTAAGCGATGAGCATCATGAGAGGAATGGCCATTTCCGAGACTATTATCATATTGGTCGTATTCGGAGAGATTATTGACTGTTGATCGACCATTTACATAATAATCACTATTGTTATGGCTTGAACGATTTTCATCACTACCACCGTTCTCATTATTCCAACTTTTGGACATTGGAACAATACTATTTTCATTATTGTTGATTGAATCATCAACATTAGAGGCACTATTACTATAATAATTTGGTTCAGGACTTCTTGGTTTCATAGACCACTCACTCATTATATCTGGTAGGTCCGTTTTGTTGTTGTAGCTGTTGGTGTTAGAGTTGTTCATCGTGCTATTATCTTTGTGATTCAAGGCGACATTTGGCGAAAGTCCTCTTTTGGAAGAAGATTGATTATTGGCATTAAGACGTTGCCTTTTATTACTCGAACCAGTATCAGCAGACCTTTTAGTTGTCATTGTTAAAGATGAGTTGTTGATGTTGTTATTGTTACTGTTGTTGTTATTTGATGAAGATGACGTTGAGACGGAACTTGTTGGTGGTGAAGAATCCTGCAAACAGGTTAATGGCGATAATCCATATTTACCCGTTGATGATCTCTGTTGTACAGTTAAAGGATTCCGTTTACGAACTATCTCTCTCTGTTCAGGGGTGTAAAAAGGCCAATCGTCAACCTGAACCTCATGCCAAGCATGAGCTGCCAAATTGTATGCATTCTCTTTTAACTTAGAAATTGTATTGAAAACTTGACTTAAATTCTTCTTATCTTTCTCCTTTATGCCTTCCTTGTTTAGTCTTGCAAGTAGCTCCGGTTTTTTATAAGGCCTTAATGCGAGTAAATGTATAACCCTTTCCCGAAGGGATCTTTTCATAAGCTCTGGATTGCTGGCTAATGTAACCTTTGAACCACCATTGGCATTCCGACTATTATTGGCGTTTATACAATTGTTAGGTAGGCTTGAATTAGTTCCTTTGATGGCCTCTCGGTTCACCGATGAGTTAGATCCACTTGTCGATGATGGCTGTGAGGTTGATGAGGAAGAAGTAGGCATTCCTACACTATTAGCTGAGGACGAAGATAAATGGTTGGCCATGCTGTTTGAGGACATTGATGAAGACGTTGTTGACAAGGAGGAAGATGTCGAGGTGGTAATTGAGGTAAGACCATTTCCAGAAGAAGAGGAAGAAGAGGCGACTGTGGTGGAAGATGTGGATCCATGGTATAAATTATATTTACTAACACCACTATTACCTTTAACTGTAGGTGAGCTAGATTTGTGATGGGTATGGCTGGATAATGCACTTGAATGATGAAGATGGCTACCACCACCTCCACCCGAGTCTCTCGTACCACTATCTCTGGAACCATTAACGATAGATTGACTAAAACCAGAGATCTTCTTCACTTTGCTCCGTCTACCAACAGTTGAGCCGATGCCCTTAATAACCTTTGTACAGTACTTTTTGGATTCATTCTGAGTCTCCGCCATCCTTTCTTTTGTTCTTTCGTAACTATCTTCACTGGCATGAATCTGCATCTTGTATTGTATACTTCCAAGGCTTTCGAGCGTCCGTGAGTCTGGTTGCCTTAAACATTCAAAGCTACCTTGAGGACCACCAGCCTCAACATTTGATAAGTTGAAACTAAAACGACGCTCACCAGATTCTGCAGAATTTTCATTTCCTTCAGAATGTGAATTTGATTTAGAGACAGGAAAACTAAGAACACCACTGCTGGAGTCTGATTTGAATGAAATACTTGGCAAAGCTGTAGAATTAGAGGAAAGGTGGTTTTCGATTGCATTCAGTGCTGAATCAGTTAGTTTGACAAGTATGAACGTTTTATTACTATCACCATTTGAGTAGTATTTATAGTGTCCAGTATCACCCGGTTTGGCCATTGTTGATTGTTGGCTTGATAAAAGAATAAGCAGATAAACAGCAGGGATATATAGTAGAAAGTTCCCGTAAGGACCAGAGGTTATCAAAGAAGGATCTCACCAATGACTTTGTTTCAATCCACTTATGATTATTTTTCTCACTTATATGAATGATAATTAAGTTGATGTAAATGATATGACGATGATGATGAAGATGGTGATGATGAAGATGATGATGAAGATCTGAAGGAACAACACCAGAATATTCTGGTGAGATGTGTAAGTGAAGTGTTTATGATGTTTATGAAACAATGTTTGCGTATGTTTGCTGTGAGTCAAACTTGGGTTAATTTTGATACTCACGGTACAAATCTGATAGGAAAACCCGAATAATAGGAAGTGTGATGGAAACAACAAACAGGGAGAAGGGGAAAAAACAGAGGAAAGTCAGAAAGAATGAGAGAGAGAAAGAGAGATAGATAGAGAGAGAGAGAGAGAAAGTGTGTTCGAGAGAGAGAGGAGAGAGAAGCAAAAAAAGGTTACTAGTTGCTGGGTTTATTCCGATGGTTTTTAAACGGATTTAATGTATAAGTTGAACCGATTATTTTTTTATCATCTATTTAAATTAAGTGAGAAATTGATAAGTAAAAAAATCACAAACAAAAAGCACAAAAAGATGAGGCAAAAATGGAAAGATGGTTAGGGCCAAAGGGTTTCCTCTTGTTTTTGGAAGATAAGTGGATTAAATTACATATACACAAAGGTACACTTAATTGTGTACTCGTATAAGATAAATTAAATAACAATTAGAAACGTAGTTTTAAGAGGAAATTATAAAATGTAAAACAAGATCACTGATCAGCCATTCAACATTTTCGCAAGACTATACATTTCTTTCTGTTTCACCTGAAAAATGAAGATGAAGAAGAAAGAGAGAGAAAGAGGGAAAAAAAACCAAACAAGAAGGGAAAAAGAAAGGAAAAAAGAGAGGAAGAAGGGAAAAGACTGCTCTTTAAAATTCGCGTAAAGCTAATAATGCCATCTAATGAAAGAATAAAAAACTAAAATTGATCATCGATTCAAATTGTTTCCATTCTCATAATAATTAAAAGGGAAAAAACCGTCAACGTAGACATTGACGCAATTGAAACCTGTTATCTGTTTAATTAATAATACTATTTATAATATGCATACATACGCAACTAATATGTTTTAATTGTAATAAAACTGTCTATTTTTCAATTTTTCAATGGCAAGGTTTCATATTTTTGTCAACATTTGTCACATTTAAGCAAACATGTTGAACCTGGTAAACCAAGTCCAAACTTCAAATTTTAAGCTGAAATCCGTTGAAATGTAGCTCTTTTTGTTTGAAAAAAACACGTGAAGGCGAATTATCATAATCAGAGGATTAAAAATGAGTCAATGGTTTCGGGCTAACCAAAAATTCAAGCTTTTCTTGACATGAATCACTTTTTACACCAATGATAAAGTGACTAAATTGCTATTTCCCAAAACCAGATTGATGACTAATTAAACCCAAAATTCAAACAATTACTCGAGGTTAGATTTAGACTACAGAAATGAATTGCTTGAAAAAAATCTAAGACAATTTTTGACCTTTTAAGGCAAGAAATGAGTGGATTGAACTACCAGGCCAATGAGCTATTCAGTTGTCAGAGAGACTGCTGAATATACATTTCTGTCAAAATCAGAGTAACCAAATACAGTCACTGAAAACTATTAATAGTATTATTGGCATTTATTATATCATCTGCGCAGGTAATCAGTTAAATGAGCTATCGACTTTAAAGCTTTAAGATAAAACGTTAATCAGTCGAGCTAAAATATTGAGTGCTCATAAGATTGTTAATTATTTCAACAAATTTAATCAGATAACCCGAAAAATGTTTACATGCGCAAATCATCAAATCATATTGAAATCTAAAGGCCAATAACTTTAGAATCATTGCTTTCAATGAATTTCTTGTTTTTCTTGTACTTTCTTACGAGTCAATATACGATCAAGGTAAAAGAGTGACCTTTAAATCCTGCATAGTGAAAACATTCTATGAAATGAAACTGAATAAAAAATCAATCAGAAAAGGCAATCTCAGACAATTGTATTCATTAAATTGTCACAATCTCGACAGTGAGTATTCATGCTAATAGATGGAGCAAATGGAATCAAAACTTAATCATAAACATTAGACTTGAAATAGCTTATCTTCACTATTTTCACTGAATTTACAGTCAGTTTAGCTTGTAATGTTAATTTGTATTGTTAATTATTTGTGATAAATGAGATTCATATTTTTGACTTCGTCTTATCAAAGTGACTAAATTTTTAAATTATCAGTAAATTTTTTATAATCTTCTTAGTTGCTGAGCATTTGTTGTTTGCAAAGAGGGTAAATCTTTGTAAAGTCGGAGGATGGTCCAAAAATTTTTAGTCCCTTTATCTCGATGGCTGACTATCTCAAATGATTTCGTTATCACAATCAGAGATTACTTCAATTGTAACAATGGAACTAGACAAATTATCTCACCAAAGAAAGAGAGAAAGAAAGGGAAATTGATGGTGGCGACTTTGGTGCTAATTATGTTCAACTAAATTTATTTAAGCTGCAGTCTCGACGAGTGAATTACTCTTTGTCAAAGAGTCTTTGATCAATACTCGTGTTTTGTGTTTTAGCAATTATAAAGTTTACTTTTTAAATTGTTTTTATAATGGGAACTGGTTTCGGTGGCATTTTTCAACAGCAACAGCAGCAAGCATCATCAAGTTCACAATCGCAATCGCAGCCACAACCACAACCACAGCTACAACCTCAACCTCAACCACCACAACAAGTGTCTACATCATTAAACAGTGGAAACAACGAAATAACAAACTATCAAACGTTCAACAGTGACAAATACGATTTAGGTTATAGTGAATCGGACTATCCCATCAAGGACGATGAAACACCTACATATTGTACCAGTAAACATCCAAGAATTAACTTTTTCTTCTTTGCGTCCTTCTATTTTGTATTTATTATGTTCGGATCCATCGTTTTCTTGATCATCGAGCAACCAAGGGAAATCGAGTCCAGAGAGAAGCTCATCACGCTCCAAGAATCTTTTATAACAAAATATCCTCAAGTCGAAGGTAAGAGACTCATTTTTTGAGACTCGTTATTTTTGCGTGTTGCCATGAAAAAAGTTCACATAGTCAGTGTTTCGTTTAGTTTTTACAATAGTAGATGGCACTTATAAAAAATTAACTTATCCGTGAAACTAGTGTAACATGCTCTTCCATGTTGAATTTTTTGCGAAAAAATAGCTCTGATTTTCTTTAGTAATCATCAGTAAAAATACCGTTGCTGGTTTCAATGCCTTTGTTTTTGCGAAACAGAGAAACTAGTGTAACATGCTCTTCCATGTTGAATTTTTTGCGAAAAAATAGCTCTGATTTTCTTTAGTAATCATCAGTAAAAATACCGACCTTTTTCACAGCAATGTGATTTTGTAATGTTCACTTGACATACCGGTCAACCCTTTGTCTTCTTTTACCGCCGGATTTTTATGTCTTTCCTTTTCTCTCTTTTTTATCTTTGTTAATAGTGGAGGATATAAAAAACTTGATCAAGGTTTTGTTGAAAGCTCAGCAAGATGGTTATTTTGTCCCAATTGTTGGATCCGATTTAATTCTTAGTGAAGAGCCGACCAACCCGGTTAGTGAAGAAGCAAAAAGTTCAGAGGCAGTAATCCTCAACAATCATCACAACCACCAGATGAATTACCAATAACTGAACCAATAACGGAACCAACAACTGTACCAACAACACCAATAATTAAGATCAAACGACTCAACGAAAAATTTGCAATTGACAAGTCAACAACTTCTTCAGTTAATTTGTCTCAAACCAACGAGGCTCTAGTTTCATACGAAATTGCCAATGACCATGAAAATGTGACATCAAACAGGTCAACTTTGAAACTACAAATGATGAAACCGATAACCAATTGGAGATTCAGTTCTTCCCTTCTATTCGTAACTTCACTGGTTACAACTGTTGGCTACGGTAATTTGACTCCTCTCACGGTAACTGGAAAGATAACTTGTATCGTATTTTGTATCATCGGGGTGCCTGCAACATTAACCTTTTTCTCGACACTGGTCACTATTTTTGTTCGAGGTCCTGTTAAAACCGTGGAAGCCTGGATCATCGGCGTAATTATAAAGCTACACCAATCAGCCTCCGTTTTCGTGGTTCGCATACTCCACCTGATAATTATAACAACATTCCTGCTTTGTGTCTGTCTTTTCCTACCGGCTTACTTTTTCTACATAAATGAAGACGATTGGACATACCTGGAATCATTTTACTGTTGCTTCATCTCGTTAACCACAATTGGTTTAGGTGATTTTGTTCCAGGTATTGAAGGACCCATGGCTGATCTTCTCTATCCATTCATCATTGTTGTTTATCTGTTTTTCGGTCTCTCCATGATAATGGTATGGCTTGCTTTGATTCACCGGATTCCTCAATTGAATCTATCAGACGCTCTTGTTGCCGATGATAAGGAAGAAGATAAGTTGGCAGAGGAAGAGAACAATAAAAATCGAGAGAGGCTGCGAATTCTTACCAATCAATTGATATTACAGCATAAACTTAAAGAGATCAAATCAATGCGACTTCAAGAATCACTCCCCCAAATTAAAATAAATCAATCTTTGGTACCTTGAGAGTTAAAACATCTCATAATTCGCAACTTACACCAATCTAACATCGATTAACAACAACCAGTTGGGAAAAAGATTAAAAGCTAACTAAATCACAGCCAAATTGTCCTGAGATTAAAAATGTTATATAAACACGAGGAAAGCCTTTCATGGCAACATTTCCTTTTTTTATTCCTATTCCTCCTTTTCATTCCTCACGATTTTTTACCCTATTTTTCCGTCCAATGGCATCAGAATTGTTCGCCTTCCCCTATTCACCCTCTATATGTCCTCTTTTTTGTCTATTCCTCCTTATTTTTTATCAAACTTTCTTTTTTACTCTCAACAAATCTTCCCATTTGTTAATTTTTCCCGCTTTTCTTTCAAAAACCAACAAATTGAAACTACAGTGAGAAAAACTTGAGTCCATTCAACTATGTCATCTATGCAAATTAAAACCGGGTTGATTTGAGAATGAAAAGAATTGCTCAGATTTATTTGATTTATTCTTCTTAAATAGATTTAAACAAAAATGCTTAATCAATCATTATATTGACATTTTATAAAAACACAAAAAAAACTTGCATATATTCATTTCTCAACCCAAAAGTGAAATACTTGCAGAAATAAACTCATCTACTTAAACAATAACAATTTGTGCATTTCCATGCAAAACACTGTGATTTTAATAAAATATAAGAGTAAAAATGAAGCCTTAATAAAATTAATTGTAACAAAACTAAAAATTATCTCTATTTTATTGCCATCACACGGAACCAGAATGAGGATCAAAAAGACAAAATGCAAAACGATCAACAGAAGGGACAAAATCAGGGGTCGAAGCTATCAAAAGATTGAACATGAATAAAGAAGATGATTACGATGAAGATCGCTTTGATTTAGAGGTGCTAAAAGGTCAAGGAGATGGTAGAAAGAGAAAGTCGACAGAAAATCGAATACAATTGAAGACGAGGAAATGAAGATAGAGAAAGCTTGAAACAAAATAAAGATATTGTGATATTTACAAATTAGTAGGAAACAGGGAGTGAAGTTGACAAAGTTGACAAAGTCTTGGGGTAAGGGAAGGAGCAGAGGGAAGATGAAGAGATAAAGAGAAGATTGTAAAGACAGGCAAGGAAGATAGCGACTGTCGAAATATGGAGAGACAATTGAAGAGGCAACAAAAAAGGGAAGATAATTGTGATGAAATGAGTGGCTCTACCATTTAACACGTTTCTTGCATATGATGATGATTATAATGTTGATGATGATGATTGTGATGATGATGATGTGTGTGTCAGTAAATTGACTATAAATGGGCTGTAAATGGGCTGTAAATTATCGGACATGAAAGGTCACTTTTGTCGTCTTGTTTACCAGCTTGTGTTTTACAAGATGTTCAGGGTTTGTTGTTTTTGCAAATTATGATCCACTTTTTTGCTTATATTTTTTTACCAACCTTTTTCACAAATGTTTCATTAGTTAATTGTGATTATGAGATGAACCTTTGATGCTGGATTAGCTTTAATTGGTACAATTTGTAGATTACCTTCACAAGGCAACAGATTGTTTTTGTTGCTGCTTCAATCTGATTTACTTTTACACAGAGATGATTATGCCTCATGATTATTGTATTATGATAATTGTTTTTTACCACAAGGTGAAGTAATAATCAGTCGATTAGTTGAGACATTTTTCATTGCAGTTCCTTAATTGCTGACAGTTATTTGACAAGTAAAACAACGGTTTAATTGAAAGTTACATTTGTGTTTAAATTTAGTAGGTTGAAGCTAAATCACAATAAAAACATCACCATTTATATATTAAACTTTATTGATATTGAAGCAACCTTTTGTTTAGTCTCTTTATTATTTTTATTTATATTGTTATTACATCTACTATCAGTTTGTGGTGTAATTAATCTGTGAGGTTGATTAGTGAAGAAAGCTAATTATCAAAGGATGAAAATGAATCTTGAGCTAATACATTTGATATGAATGTGATTTGAATCAAGGAAGAGTTTAGTAGCTTGTTCATCTTGAATTGATTGTTGACAGGTAAAATTGAAACTTTAAATATCTTACAAAGTCAATTGTCTAAGTGATTGGGAAAGTTAAGGTTTATTGGAACAATTATTGTAATTGTTTCATCAAATCTTACCAATATATTAGTTGGCAAGTCGATAATGTTTTTTCCAGTGAATACAATTATGATTGTTTGATCATGAATCAAAATCCAATATTCAATGATCATTGGAATCAATGATTTCTATTGCTAATTGACCTGATATTGATTAGGTCAATTATCCCTAATTGGTAGCAAAGTCTTTGTAACACTTAAAGATAGCAGGAAAACTGAAAGGTGCGTCAATTAATAATTAAAATTTCCCATTAATATCTGTTGATTGTGATTATGGTTAGGTTGGTATTAAAGCTTGCTGATTCAATAATAAAACAATTTGAAACAGTAAGTGTTGCTTGAGTTCATCAGTAAATCATATTATCTCAACAACCTTGGCTTACCTCTAAATGTTTTCAGATATTGTTCAAATAATTACACTTTTGTTTGCTCAGTGCATGAATCTTTAACTTTTATATTGATTACAATTAAATGGTTCAATTAAATGAGATGCATCTTGCCATTTTCATATTAAGCTTTGCTAACATCTCTGATTAATTTAGTTTAAGAAAAAAAATAGAGATGGCATTAATAGTCTTAATAGTCTGAGTTTTTATTTATTATATTATCTGTTGCATTATCTGATGTTAGCGGTTTTTAGCGTATTGTTTGGATCCTTTGATTTTTATTGAGTTTTATCATTTTGATTTTAACTTATCTTTATTGATAATATAGTTTTTTGACGCTTCAAATGTTCTTAAATATGGACTGTGGTTATTTGGATGGATATCGCTTTAAGATACTTTTCAGCCATCTTTACAAACTTGTTATCATCTGATTGACCCAGCAACTTAACCCGCCTTTTTTATGTTCACTGTCCATCGAATCTTAATCTGTGATTATGTGTGTTTCTGGTAGATAACGAGATAACTTTTAGAGGATCAAGTTCTATTCCTTCTCCAGATGAAGTCATTGAAGATAAAATTCGAAGGATGAGCCCAGAGCCCTGACTTCCAGGCTTGTTAGTCATTATCAAGTCATTACCTTTAATTACTCCAATACACTGTTTGATTCAACTTATCTAGAATGTAAAAGTTTTTTCTAGATTCCATCTCTGTGACAAACTTACCGATTTAGTGAGTCAGAATGATGTTATTGCCCTTAACTGCTCTGATGCCCAATCATCTTCCTTATCTGATCTTCCTGATGACTAAAACCGTTGAATTTTCCTGCCCTCTACAATGAACAATACTGAAATGTAAAATGGTTCATGGTCTTCTAAGCTTCCTAGATAATTGGAAAACTAGCAAATTTATTTGATCGTAAATCATCAATCAGAAGTCGCCAACAGTCAATCAATCCTAATTCAATGGAAAGTAATTTTACCCTGCACAAAGACGCAACGAAATTGAATCGTCCAGCATGAATGATGCAAAAATATTAGATGTTGATTGCATTACAAGAAGATGAAATTATTATTGAATATGTAAACAGAGACTAATTGGTATTTGATGGCATTAACTACTCTCTATTTACAGCATCAACCTAACACTTAAACTTGATAATCAATTATAATAATCAGAATACACAAGAGATGTCGCTACGGAAACAAAGTTGACAAAATTTTTCAACTTTCAAATAAAATTCAACAGCGAACCTCAACTAGACCAGCGACAACATGGAGGACCAAGCAGGAAACGCTAACATGGATTCGAAAGAAGCGAAATGGCTACGAATTCAATTGAACTTTTCACAGGCCTAGGATAATATTAATCGACAAAAGACACCTAACTTCGTACTTTACGATTGATTGTACCTTTTTTCAACCTGTCAGTAATTATTATACATGTAACACATGGTCCTGACCACCAAGCTCTACAATAAGTTTTCGCGTCCACTCTTCATATAAATTGATTTCCACTTGGATTATCGGTATCCTCATTCACTCAGATTATTAATCATATAAATATTTCTTTCCTGTCTGTAAACTGATTTTTATCATCAACAAGTAAGGATGCTCAGACATGTTCAAAAAAGCAAACTGAATGGTGAATCAAACTGTACTAGCTTAGAAGTTCATCAAGGATACATCTGAGTAGCATAATCAGTGTTTCATTAATAACTCATTACCAGCAATTTTTTTATTACTTCTCTTAATGCCCATATTACAGTAAAGCTCGTTTGTTTGAGACAGTAAGAGTGAATGAGTAGGGCACCAGAGCGATTGAAATGAGACAATTAATTTTTGTTTTCTCAAAAACCATAAAACTCTTTGTTTACTGAAAATATTTTGAGACATTGAGAGCTAATGAAGAAAACATTTGATCAAATGAATGAGACACCTAGAGTTAGTTCCTTACTGAATCCATATCTTCATATTTTGTTCATTTTTAAAAAATTTGAAATGTTGAAAATCAATTTCAATGAGTTTTAAGTGCCTCATTCAATCGCTCTTCCTGTCTCAAACAAACGAGCACTACTGTAATAATGATCAACACTTGTTGCTTCATTTATAACTCAATATCTTATCTTGATAAAATTTTCTTCGTTTCTTTTTTATATTAATTTCTTCTATTCTTTTCTAACCTAAACTATCTAATCGTAAATCTTTCATTAACATTTTGCCATATTAGTCGTCGTTTACTTTGTGCTAACTTAAAAGAGACAACTTATTTAGTGAAAAATGATCTCATTGTTCCTCTGCTAATTGCGTAAATTTATCAGAATTTCAATTTTTCTCATCTCGTGTTTTGAATTTGAACTTTTTACAATTTATCTCCTGAGTCAACTATTTTAATGACCATCTTCATCTTACTCTGTTTATGTGACTTTGAATGAGCCTTGAATAGCTCAAGCAAGTGATCGAAATGGCGAGAAATGTGTTTTCATTTGGAGGAAACAATCAAATTGAATGAAAATGATTACGAGTCAGCAAACGATTAAAATATTTTGCAAACAACTCAATCAGTTTTCCTATTGGCAAACATCAATTCATCAAGTTACTTCAAAAACAAAATAAATCATGTTTCCCCTGAAAAACGGTAAGCATTTCATGTTCACTGATCTCAAAAGCTAGAAATGAATATTCCTTGAATCCTAATTTACCAAATTAACAGCTAATGGACAATAATCAATGACTGTTAATCTCTTTTAATAAACTCAATCAAGTTAAATCAATCCCTGAATAATCCGTTAAGTAAAGCCAATCATTAGCTGTCTTCATGTTCATTGTTGTTAAAGTGATTTGTTGAAGATTTGCTTCAGCTTAATCATCTCAACTACTGTTGGAGTGAAAATCAAAATATTATGATATAATTGCTTGAAGTAAATGACAAAAAAAGAGGAAAAGATGATGATGATGCAGGGTAAGATGATTTTAAGATATAATAATTTACCTCTTGAGGTTTACAATTAAGATTTCAATCTTTATTAAGCTTGAGTAGTTTTAATTATTCTACCTTTCATATAAATACTTAAACTTAAACTGTAAAGTCAAAAATGAAAACATTTGTTACCAATGAGAAAATATAAAGCTGTTGATTGTTAACTTAAAACATTCAACTAATTGTGATTGTGACCTCTACAGTCTCTTCACTAAAGCAAGGCAGCTTTGAGACAAATATTTACTTTATGATTAACTGATTTATCTCCAGCAATTTAACACTCGTTCAGAATGTATTTCACTTTAAATTAATATATTTTGGACATTAACTGTTTCACAAAATACAACAATTGATATTGAAGGTTGAAAATGGGTTCAATACAATTGGCTTTTCACTTGTTATCCTCGTTAATTGTAAATTGGGCAATCAAAAGATTGTTAAATTGCAAGTTTAATCTTGTTTACTGAGTTAGAGATAATGAGTAATTAAAGAAGCTTCATTTTTCACTTTCAGCTGAGGAAATTATTGTTATCATTATTTGCTTTAGCCATTTTCATGTCTTCTTTGGTTTCAAATGTTTTGTTCAATTCAATTGCCAAAATAGTGTTTATCGGAATCATTTGAATTTTTCATTTGCCCTTTATCCATAAATTACCTGCATTTGTTTCACTAATCAATTCAATTTTCTTTATTTTTTCTTTTCTCCATTTCATCTTTTCTAATTTTTCAACTCTTACCAATGGTTTATTGTTGATTGTCTTTAAAACAGTGGTAAACGAACAACAATAATATAGATTTTGTTGGCTAGAAAATGCTTCAAAATCAACCCAAAATTGTTACTATTAAATGTTATAAACATGAACGCCACAAGAAGTGTTTCAATTCAATAGTGAATTATTTACTTTTATTGTTGCTCATTTTAATGGCTCTCATTGATCAAGTTAATGGTAAGCTATTCAATTTATATTTTTCCTATTCTTGTCTTTATATCTTTAAGTTAATCGATTAATTGGTTTCTTTTTTTTAGGTAAATTAAATTGTATGGTGTGTGGAGGACATCTAGATTCGTGTACATTGATTGATAGATGTACAGGCAATTGTAGTGATATAACATCAATTAATTATCCATCTCATTATCCAAATAATTATCGTTGTCGTTGGGAAATACGAGCTGATGAAGGTTATTACATTAATTTAACAATCAATGATTTTGATGTTCCGGGTTCAGAGACACCAGGTGAAGGTGACAAAGAGAGTTGTCTCTTTGACCACGTTTCTTTTTTCGATTCTCGCTTTAATCGATTAATTGGACGTTATTGTAATTCATTATTGCCTGGACGGTATCTGGTTTCACCTTGGAATAGATTAAGGATCGATTTCAATACTGATATCAAAGGAGCTGGAAGAGGATTCAATTTTACTATAAACATTGAGAAGTTTACTATTGACACCGAACTTGTGCCTTTCCTATCAGCTCCACCTTTAGCTTGTCCAGTTGATTGGCAGTTTTATAAGGGTCACTGTTATCGAGCCTACAAGGAATATGAATCCCTTCAATGGTACAAAGCGGAAGAAAAGTGCTCCGATGTTGGTAAAGGTCGAGATGGACATTTGGTGTCTATATTGGATGCAAAAGAGATGAGAGTTGTTCATCATTTTTTAACTTCTGTTTGGCATGCTGAGCCTCATCAATCATTTTACATTGGACTCATAGATGTTTCCAAAGAAGGTGTCTACCGTTGGTCCGACAACAATCCAATGTCTTACACAGACTGGGCCAAGGGAAGTGGATTTCAAGGTGTAGGTGATGTTACAACCGCCCCTCAACCAGATGGTGGTGCATATGAAGATTGTACAATATTGAAATTTGCTTCAATCCATTCAACTGATGGTTGGCATGATGTACCCTGTTCATTGGGGAAAAATTCATTTCCAAATTTACCGTCAAAATTGTTTGAAGATGTAGTTGATAGTTACATTTGTAAAATGGATGCTTCTGCAGCTTCTTTCAATGTCCCGCCAACACGAGAGGCTTTATATGATGACGTAATTGTACCCAAGGAAAAGATCATCAGAGATTTAGCTGTCAAAGAAAAGTACTTTGTTTGTGCCAATTTGGAGGTAATTTCAATTCTTCAACTATGTGATGGGTCAGCAACGTGTCGTGACGGGACAGACGAATTGGATGAGTGTCCATCATCTGTTGGATCTAATCAAAAATGTCTTCCTTTTCAATTTAGATGCAATAACCGTAGATGTATCTCTATAGCGTTAACCTGTGATTTTGTCGATGATTGTGGTGATGGATCGGATGAGAAAAATTGTTACATCCGAGCCTGTAAACCAAGTGAATTTAAATGTGCTTCTGGTCAATGTATTCCAATATCTCAACGATGTGATTTGTTATTTGATTGTAAAGATGGTTCAGACGAGAACCCATCCATGTGCACATCAAGTGGTTACTGTCCTTCGACCACTTTCCAATGTTATTATGGTACTTGTATTCCTCTCTATGCTGTTTGTGATCATCACCGCGATTGTCCTGGAAAATTTCACGAAGATGAACAAGAATCATCTTGTTATATGATGTTCAATCGCTCTTCAGTCATTTCTTCATTAACGTCTTCACCACCATTATCACCTTATCACCACTTTTTTCATTCATCGTCCAGAGGATTGACTTGTGCCTCTGGTCAACAAATTGACCAAAAATTTAAGTGTATATATGAATTTGATCAATTTGGTTATCAAGTTGGCTGTCGAGATGTGACACATCTCAGAGATTGTGAAAAGTTTGAGTGTTCTATCGATTATATTAAATGTCCAAACTCTTATTGTATCCCACCACGGTACATTTGTGATGGTAAAAGAGACTGTGTTGGCGGTGAAGATGAAACTCGATGTGGTAGTTTTGTTTGTCCTGGTCAATACAAATGCATCAATCACCCATCTTGTATTTTACTTCATCAACTCTGTGATGGCATTCGTCACTGTCCTGGTGGTGATGATGAATGGTTTTGTAATTTAACTTGTCCAGCATCATGTTCATGTATTGGTTTATACGCAAACTGTACTTGGTCCAACCTGACCAGTTTACCAAGAAATTTAACACTTGATATTCGAAAGCTTGATCTTACTGGGAATCTTCTAGGTCCTGCTATGGATTCTTTTGAAATTGATTTTAGTCCTTATTATCATCTTGTTGAATTGATTCTTCAATCCAATGGCATCAAAATATTGCGTCGTCGCCAGTTTGTTGACTTGAAAGACTTACTCGTTCTCGACCTAAGATACAACAGAATCGTGGTTATTGAATCAGCTGCTTTTGCCGGTCTAGTCAGAGTCAATTCACTTCTTTTGGAGGGAAATACTAATTTATCAGAGATTGAACCAAGAGCTTTCATTGGTTTATCCGAGCTGAAAATACTCAATATAAGTGGTTCTCATGTTCGCACTCTTCACGCTAATGTTTTCATGGGACTTACCAATCTACAGAATCTGGAATTTCGTGCCAATCGTTTGGAAGTTGTTGAATCAGGATGTTTCACTGGTTTAACATCAGTCACCATTCTTGATCTTCAAGGAAATGATATTAAAGTTTTTAAAAAAGACATGTTCAATGGCTTGGAATCATTGCGTTATCTCTACACCAATTCATTTAAATTTTGTTGTCTTGTCGCCGATAAGCCATTTAACATCCCTTTTGAACGTTGTCTACCTTTGCCAGATGAAATCTCTGATTGTGAAGATTTGATGTCATCTCCTATTCAACGTTATTTCTTGTGGATCCTAGGTTCAGTCGCTCTCATTTGCAATCTTTCAGTTATTGTTTGGCGATTTCGTTCTCGCTTAGGTTCAAATAAAGTTTCGTCTTCTTTGATACTTTCACTTGGTTGTGCTGATGTTCTTATGGGTCTTTACATGTTAATCATTGCGTCAGTCGATGTATACTACAGGTAAGTCTAAACTTATTGTAAATTTTTGCACTATATCATAGTAATTCTGTATTTTCATTATTTTCAGAGGCCGTTATATTGAAGTGTCTGATGTTTGGAGGACAAGTTATTTATGTAAATTTTGCGGATTTTTATCGACAGTTTCCAGTGAAGCTTCTGTATTCACTCTCGTTTTCATCGCAATCGATCGACTCATTTGTATATGTTTTCCTTTTTCAAAGTACCGACTCACTTTAAGGTTTACTTATAAGTAAGTTTAAAGTTAATTGAAACTAATGTTCACTCATTATAAATATTAGGCGACCATTGAGATTAAATTTTATGAGCTCGTTTGTTGATCAAATGAAACTGAATTTTTAACATTAAAAAATTGCTTTCTATTCAATCAAAAGAATCTTTTTAAACTTTTCAATTAATCTTTCATTAATTTTCCTATCTTATTTTCCAGATTAATTTTCAGTTCATGGACTCTAGCACTTGCCATTAGTACTTTACCTCTTCTAGTGAATCGTTATTTTCAAGATCAATTTTATGCACGATCTGGTGTTTGTCTGGCTCTTCACATTACCAATCAAAAGGCTGCTGGTTGGGAATATTCATTTGCTGTATTTGTCATTCTCAATTTACTGGCATTCATCTTGATTTTATCCTGTTATATATATATGTACAAAATCATTTTGGAATCATCAAGACGTTTAAGTCAAGTTAAATCTCGTCAAGTTCGTGAACGCCAAGTTGGCCGGCAAATGGCACTAATTGTTGGATCTAATTTTCTTTGCTGGTTTCCAATAATCGTAATGGGATTGTTAGCTATCAACGGTTATCGTTTACCAGCAACAGTATATTCATGGACAGCCGTTTTCATTCTTCCCCTAAATTCAGCAACAAACCCATTGGTTTATACATTGGCTTACTTTCGACCTGCTTTGTTTGGTAATCAACGACGTGATTCATTGACCAATCGGTTGCTTACCTCTAAAAATACTAACTCAATCAATCAGCAAAAAGTCATAAGACCACTAAAGTCGCCTTACGGTTATATGAGTTTAACAAATTTCTTAAGAGAAATGAATAACACCGAAGCTCGTTTCCTTCTTGAAATTAGTTGTTCTCTTTCTGAACAAATTAAGGAAATTCATGAAAAAGGTTATGCCCTTGGTGGAATCGATCTCGATATTATCTTTGTTTCATCAACTGTAAGTACACTCATTGCTAAAAAAATGTGATCTCATTTTAAATTGTGTCTTTAATATGTTTCTTATCTTTCCATCTACATCAGGTTGATTCAAAATATTTGCGGGTTTATCTTCCTGAATACAATGCTTATAAAGTGACAAGTACATCGGAAACTGATGATTATGCTCTTGATATCGAAGAGTTTGGACTTTTGGTTAAAAGAATGTTGAGAATTTACCATTTCAGACGGAATCTTTCTTTTACTGGAAATAATTCTTAATCCAATCAATTCAATATTTTTTAATATAATTTGTTTATTAACTAGTTAATTCAACATTCATAACATTTCTTGTAAATAATTTCTCTCTATCTTTGACCATTTGCAAATTATATTTGCTTCACCCATTTTAACTTCAACATGTTGAATTAACCGGTGCATTACAACTCCTAAGACCATTAAGATAAGGTTTCATTCGTTCACCGACTCGACCGTGTGCACCAACCATACAAAAAACAGCAGCTTTCCCTACAGCACTCCAATTATCTTCCAAAGATAAGGAAAAACTAAAAGAAAAAAGCCAAATAAATATATAAAAATAAGTTATTAATATGACTTTTTTCATAATGTTGGTAAAATCAATCTGCCATTTATAAAAGCAAATGATGATGTGTGTGACTGTAAATCGGACATGAAAGGTCACTTTTGCCGTCTTGTTTACCAGCTTGTGCTTTACAAGATGTTTAGGGTTTGTTGTTTTTGCAAATTATGATCCACTTTTTTTGCTCATATTTTTTTACCAACCTTTTTCACAAATGTTTCAATAGTTAATTGTGATTATGAGATGAACCTTTGATGCTGGATTAGCTTTAATTGGTACAATTTGTAGATTACCTTCACAAGGCAACAGATTGTTTTTGTTGCTGCTTCAATCTGATTTACTTTTACACAGAGATGATTATGCCTCATGATTATTGTATTATGATAATTGTTTTTTACCACAAGGTGAAGTAAAAATCAGTCGATTAGTTGAGACATTTTTCATTGCAGCTCCTTAATTGCTGACAGTTATTTGACAAGTAAAACAACGGTTTAATTGAAAGTTACATTTGTGTTTAAATTTAGTAAGTTGAAACTGAATCACAATAAAAACATCACCATTTATATATTAAACTTTATTGATATTGAAGCAACCTTTTGTTTAGTCTCTTTATTATTTTTATTTATTATCTGTTGGATTATCTGATGTTAGCGGTTTTTAGCGTATTGTTTGGATCCTTTGATTTTTATTGAGTTTTATCATTTCGATTCTAGTTTATCGTGATTGATAATATAGTTTTTTGACGCTTCAAATGTTCTTAAATATGGACTGTGGTTATTTGGATGGATATCGCTTTAAGATACTTTTCAGCCATCTTTACAAACTTGTTATCATCTGATTGACCCAGCAACTTAACCCGCCTTTTTATGTTCATTGTCCATCGAATCTTAATCTGTGATTATGTGTGTTTCTGGTAGATAACGAGATAACTTTTAGAGGATCAAGTTCTATTCCTTCTCCAGATGAAGTCATTGAAGATAAAATTCGTAGGATGAGTCCAGAGCCCTGACTTCCAGGCTTGTTAGTCATTATCAAGTCATTACCTTTAATTACTCCAATATACTGCTCGATTCAACTTATCTAGAAATCTAGCAATTTATTTGGTCGTAAACCATCAATAACAATAAGTCGCCTACAGTCACTCCTAATTCAATGGAAAGTAATTTTACCCTGCACAAAAAAGACGAAACGAAATTGAATCAGCATGAATGATGCAAGAATAATATTAGATTTTGATTGCATTACAAAAAGACGAAATTATTGTTGAATATGTAAACAGAGACTAATTGGTATTTGATAACATTAACTTTTCTCTATTAACAACATCAACTTAACACTTAAACTTGATAATCAACTATAATAATCAGAATACACAAGAGATGTCGCTACGGAAACAAAGTTGACAAAATTTTTGCAACTTTCAAATAAAATTTAACACCGAACCTCAAATAGACCAGCGACAAACTGAAGGACCAAGCAGGAAACGCTAACATGGATTCGAAAGAAGCGAAATGGCTCCGAATTCAATTGAACTTTTCTCAGGCCTAAGATAATATCTCATCGACAAAAGACACCTAACTTCGTACTTTACGATTGATTGTACCTTTTTTCAACCTGTCAGTAATTATTATACATGTAACACATGGTCCTGACACCAAGCTCTACAGTAACTTTTCGTGTCCACTCTTCATATAAATTGATTCCCACTTGGATTATCGGTATTCTCATTCCTGTAACAAGGTGAAATATCGATAGAAAATTAAAAATTATCTTTATGGGATGATTATTGGTATAAATATTTCTTTCCTGTCTGTAAACTGATTTTTATCATCAACAAGTAAGGATGCTCAGACATGTTCAAAAAAGCAAACGCAATTGTGAATCAAACATTACTAGCTTAGGAGTTCATCAAGGATACATCTGAGTAGCATAATCAGTGTTTCATTAATGACTCATTACCAGCAATTTTTTATTACTCCTCTTAATATCCATATTAATAATGATCAACACTTGTTGCTTCATTTGTATCTCAATAAAATCTGAAAACGTCTCTGAGAAAAAATTAACTAAAAAATGAAGTAACCTTGATCCAGAATGGAACCTATCAGCACATCTAAACTGTAAATTAGTATCCATTGATTATCATTTCAAGGATAAACTTGAAACTTTCTGATTTATTAGATCACTTAACCATTTAAAACTAAATGAAACCAAATTGGATGATTATTCAAAACAAAACTTGTCTAACCATAACAAGAAAGGTAACTCGAGTTTATTTACTAAACAATTTATACAAATTCCAGTGCAGACTGAATTACAATGAGACGACATGAATAAATGACTATCATGGATATAATTGTATTGAAACAATTGCTGTATATTTTGAATGGTATTGAGTTTGAACTGAAAGATGCTGAGCAATAATAGTCAAGGTAAAACACACAAGTTAAATGTAATGATTATTATTTTGGCTTTCATTACATCTTTCCGGAATTATTACCCTTTCAGGTGTAATCAAGAAAAAAATGGTGAACACTGAAATCGAAAGTAACTAAAATGAATTTCTCATGAAGTGATGAACGAGTGAATTTTGATTACCAGTTAATGTAGTAAATATTAATTTTGTTTTTCATCGCCATTATAACCGTCATCGACATTTACATCTTTACAGCTTTCCTTTTTGCTTTATGTTTACCAGTTACCAAAGCAACCTTATCTTATCTTGATAAAATTTTCTTCGTTTCTTTTTTATATTAATTTCTTCTATTCTTTTCTAACCTAAATTGTCTAATCGTTAAATCTTTCATCAACATTTTGCCCTATTAGTCGTCGTTTACTTTGTGCTTTTCTTGTTGACTTGAAAGAGACAGCACATTTTAGTGAAAAATGATCTCATTGTTCATCTGCTAATTGCGTAAATTTATCAACATTTCAATTTTTCTCATCTCTTGTTTTGAATTTCAATTTTTACAATTTATCTCCTGAGTCTCTGTTGTTGTCTGTTTCCGTTTTTTGCTCTTCTTTCTCATCGGTAAAAATTATCCAAGTTTGTGCATGTGTTTGTTTGCATTTGTTTGGACTCATTTTACTTGCATCTGATCAAATCAATTTCAAGTTTCATTCCATTTCAATTCTTGGTTTATCAACAAACTTAATCAACACTTGTAACCTTTATCGTTACCATTACCATCAGTTATTATATTACTTTGTGCAGATCCAATCTACAAATTTCAAATCATCTACAAGTGTAATCGTTACTTAACCAGTTGATGAATTATAGCTAGCTTGTGATTTAAAACAACTTTTGCATGAATTGCAAGTGAACCAGAACTGTCTCAGTTTTTTTCTTTCTTCACAACAATCGATATTAAAAAAGATGCAGCTGATGAACCATTTATCGAATCGTCTTTACCTGGTACTGGTAATATTTATAATATCAGTTTCAGGTCAGGACAAGCCAAAAAAAGTCTCTGGTAAAGACCAATCTAACAAACAATCACCAATACCCGATCCTTGTCCATCTATGTGTACATGCGTCAGTGATATTCGTGTAATCGACACACTTGAAAATCCTCAAATGGTTACCTGTTCTTATAAAAATTTAGCAACTTTTCCAGATTTTTCAGCGATACTGGATAACATGACAACTCTTGATTTGAGTTACAATAAGTTTGCTAAAATTAACCTGGTGGATAACCTAACCGATCTAAGGACCTTCAATTTATCTAATAACATTATTGAAAGCATCGAACCTCAAGCTTTTGAACAGCTACCAAATTTGCAAATTATTGATTTATCTCTTAACAAATTATCTAGTTTACCTGATATGGTCTTCGCGAAACTAAGCCAACTTAAAGAAATTGACCTTTCAGACAACGGCCTGACCAGTCTTCAAGAAAATATTTTTGATGATCAACAATGGCTCGAAGTTTTACATCTGAGAGCAAATAATCTTAAATCATTGCCAGAAGTCTTATTCCGTAACAATGAACGTCTTCGAGTCCTTGATTTATCTCACAACGAGTTATACAGCTTACCAGACACCATATTTCAATCAACTTTAGCACTAACAACTCTTGATTTATCTGAGAATCAATTTAGTGTCGTCCCATCTGAAGACTTAGCTCGTGCAAAAAATCTCGAAGAACTAGATATTTCGGCCAATATGATGAAAAAGCTGGATCATGATTCTTTCACTAATCTCAATCACCTCAAAGTCTTACGGATCAACAATATGAAACAATTAACTGAGATCGACGATTACACTTTCTCCTATTTGTGTTACTTGAAAAAAATTGAGATAAAATTTAATCCCAGACTGTCCATGTTAGCCCACTCTGCTTTCTATGGTTTGAATTTTAATTCAAGTTGCTTCAATTTGGAGGAAGTTAATCTGTATGGTAACCAATTGTCTGAGATGAAAGAGCATGTTCTTCCAGTTTGCAAGATTCCCATAGTTGATCTACGAGATAATCAATGGAAATGTGATTGCCATTTCAAATGGGTAAAGTCATGCAAGCAAGACGATCCTATTCATCGACAAATAAGGTAAGTTGAGCTTTTGCATTTGCCCCAAGTCTTTAATGAATTAATTAGATGTAAGCAATCGCAAATTGAATAAGATTTTATTATTAATGGTGATGAGGTTGAAGTAACACAATCAAAATAATCAAATTGCCAATTTCATGCTGTAAAGTGAAAATTTTTGAGTTGGTTAAACATCAGGCAAAAAATTCAACTTTCATTGTCAAAATGAAACAATAAATCTGTAGTATCATTGTATACTTACATTTCCTGAATGAAAGAAATCACAATGATAATACTTTATTTTATAAAATGAAAAAAGTGTATATTAAAATGAAGGTCTGAATTTTCATTTTTTGTCTCTAGTGTGCGTTTACATCTAATTAACATTACCATAACCATTATTAATATTACTTCTCTCATTAAATACTAATCGAGAAGAATTAACATTCTGTTCATTAGCCAGATCTTTAGCTCTACCAAACACCTTTTTTATTTGTTCAACGAAAGCTGCATTAATTTTTATTCTATTTGAGCAAGTTTTAATTAAATTCTTTATTCTCTTCCTTCACTATAGATGTCTGAGTCCGTTAAAAATTGCCAATATTGAAATTTCTGATATCGACGAGGCAGAATTTACCTGTCCAATTGAAGGAAATGGCTTCAGTCGTGAGATCCGTCTATTCCGATTGTTTGTGGTACTTTTTGGTGTACTAACACTCGTTTTCATGGGTTTCATGGTAGTTTATTACCTTCACAAAGCCAAAGTAATTGGATCTTTTGGACACAAGTATCAACGAATGGGCTCAATTCACTACGTCAAAACTCAAACAAATGAAGGACAAGAGTAACTTATGACGATCATACCTGAGCTTTTCTATTTTATGAATTCCACATGATAAAGTACCTATCGGAATATCTGTTCAGATCTTCTCACAGACTTTCTAAGTTAAATTTAAACTGGCTGTCTTGATTTGCCATTAGAGAGATTATGAAAATTATTGGTTAAATATCATGGAGAAAGAAATGTGCCATAAGCCAGAAAAAAAGCGAATTCAAGTCCCAGCCTTTCAATGTTTTTAACTATTCCATTTTACCTCTAAACGTGATTACCACCAGTGTCAATCAAATAAGTCAGCGATTGACTGACCTTATCCCATTCATTTTTTGAGGGCAACTATTAATTGTAAAGATTTTCATTGTTATCATCACTCCAGTCATCAACATCAATATCATTGACATCACCATTGCTAGTCTCATTTTTTTATATTCATTATTCATTTAAAATCAACATGAGTTTGCAATTGTGTTTTACAACAATGTAACTGAGTTATATATTTCCCTTCCAATCCATTCTCGCAACATTTTTAGTCACTTGTAATTGAGCTTTGTTTTTCAAGTATTTTGCCAGATTTCTCATGATTTCAGTCTCTTCTATCTGTGTATGCTTTTATCTACCCACTGAAATTGCTAAATCAATTTATACACACTGATTGTTTCATGATTGGTTCAAATTCAATCTACAAAGACCAAATCATCAAATCATTTTCAAATATTTTCTCACCCTTAAACCTTAAACCTTTATAATAGTGATACTAATTGTTTCTAAGCAGTTTGTTGTCAACAAATAAAGTGTATTATAATCAGATCTCCAGCTTTATGAAAGTTATTTAATCAATTGCAAACAAGATAATCACTATGGATGGTAGATCAGATCAACACAAAAGCAATGATCCCAATGAAAATGTCTTATTATCTCTTCTAATATACCAAAAATTGAAGAGCTATTAAAAAATAATATCATAAATCGTTTGAATAATCAACTTTTTTTAATAAAAATATTTAATCGGATTCAGGAAGAGATGATAGTTTATTGTCAATGACTCGTGATTTGATTATGTGTAACTAATGGATCAACGAATAAATCTACCGATTAATGTTCATTTTAAATTGATGAAACAAATAGGCAGCGATTCATATGACAAAAATATCAGATATTACCATTGATAGATTGATTTTTGTTCAGCTATTAAACAGAAATCAATGAAATTGTAAGTAAATAACTTGCTTATCTCAATGAGACTCAACGCTCGTTTGAACTTTCAATAGCGTCTAATGGTTGCCCATGATCGAAAGTTATCAAAGGTTTACCCAGAGATAAAAATATTGAATGATAAAAGATTAACTATGGACTTTTCGGGGTTGTCTAAAAAGCTTTAAAGCAGTCAAAAAATTATTCATGGATTAATTAGTGTTGCTCATTAACAATTTCAATGATCTTGATGATCTAATATTCTCATTCTCTGCTTTCACTTGAGTTTCTGGCAAAAAGGAGGGGGAAGAGAGATAAATAAGCTGGTGGCAAGCAAAAACAATATCAGAGGATATAATTTTTGTTTTCCTTTGTTCAAGCCAACCGTTTTAAAACTGGTAACAATTTTATCCTTTAATTAATTACCTAACTGGCGCTTAATCTGTTCTGTCTTAAGTAATCCAATTTATAAACCGACCACAAGTGAAAAGGAAACAATGTTTTCACAGCTGTTGCTGCCATTAACAATCTTTTGTGTCTCCATCGGTCTTCAACGGGTATGTAATCATTGATTTTCAATATTTTCACTCGCCTAAGCGCTATTGTGGCTATTTTTAGCCATTCAAGATCTCTGTAGACAAGATTTCAAATATATTTCTATCGATTTCAAACTCTTTCGTTCAATTGCAGGTCAATTGTGCTAACTTATGGCCTCAACCACAAATCTTAAATCAAGATGCCACTTTTTACACTCTGGACCCTTCATCATTTAAGCTGATTTTAGCCAAAGAGCGTGTTGGATGTGAAATATTAGAGAAAGCGATTGAACGTTACAGTAAGCTGCTCTTCCTCTCAGATTGTTCACGGCTTAATACTGATTGTGATGGTAAAAAGCTGCCAACTGAACCAGTTGAAGATATCACAAATGATCCAAATTATGGTGGACAATTGTTCAATTTAAGCATTGATACCAACTCTTGTGAAAAATTCATTACCTCTGAAAGTTTTGAGATTTATACTTTAAGGGTGAGAACAGCTGACTATCCTGAGGATGCTGCCCTGTTCGCTCCATTTTGGGGCATCTTACGAGGTTTGGAAACATTCAGTCAGCTGGTTACAAGGTACAAAGGCAATTGGATAATTAATTCAACCTTTATTGTTGACTATCCAAGATTCACATTTCGAGGTGTTCTTTTGGATACTTCTCGTCATTATATTCCCGTTCATCTTCTCCTTCAAAATCTCGATGCCATGGCCTACAATAAAATGAATGTCTTCCATTGGCATATAGTAGATGATCAATCGTTTCCCTTTGTAAGCTCAACTTTCCCTAAACTAAGTGCTGCTGGTGCTTTTCGACCAACTCATATTTATACCCCAGAAGACGTAAGCACTGTTCTTGAGTATGCTCGAGTCAGAGGTATCCGAGTTATTGCTGAATTTGATACTCCTGGTCACACTTTAGCTTGGGGTAAAGGTATTCCTGGATTATTGACTCAGTGTTATAAAGCAGGTAAACCTGTTAAGGGTTCTTATGGTCCTATTGATCCATCTCAAAATAGCACTTACACTTTTCTAAAATCTCTTTTCGCTGAGATCGCCAAAACTTTCCCTGACGACTTTGTTCATCTTGGTGGAGATGAAGTCGATTTCTCATGTTGGCAATCTAATCCTGATATCAATTCATTCATGGAATCACAGGGTATTACTGGAGACTATGCAGCCTTGGAAAGCTTTTATTTACAAAAGCTTGTTAATATTATGGATACTTTAAAGAAAAATTATATTGTATGGCAAGAAGTCTTTGATAATGGAGTTAAGTTACGCTCTGATGCTGTTGTCCATGTCTGGAAAAGTGGAGATTATCAATCAGAATTATCAAAAGTCGTTGCTGGCGGGTATCGAACCATTCTATCATCTCCTTGGTACCTTAATTATATTTCATATGGATCAGATTGGCAGACTTATTACAAGGTAGAACCACTTCATTTCAATGTAACTTCACATGGTGAATATGATTTAGTTATTGGTGGCGAAGCTTGTATGTGGGGTGAATGGGTTGATGGCAATAATGTTATCTCAAGAACATGGTAAGCAATTTAATTTTATTTACTGATTGGATCTTCGTTTAATCAACAGAAATGAAATTTGGACAGTTAGCTTCAATCTATTATCAATTATTTTATTCATCCTCCAGGGTTCGAGCTTCAGCAGTAGCAGAGAGACTTTGGAGTGCCAAAGATGTGACTTCGATTACATCAGCGATACCACGATTGGATGACCAGAGATGTCGAATGCTTAAACGAGGAATACGGGTTGGACCTGTTCAAGGACCAGGCTCATGCGAATGTGACATTTGCGTTTAATTTTTTTCTCCAACTTGCAATATACTCAATTTGATACAAGAAAATTGTTATTTTAACGCTATTTCATTGAAATTTTTCAATAAATAATTTATAAACGATTTCAATAACCATGATCATTGACTAATAATAACATACGAATATAAATAGTCGATTTTCAGTAAAACGATATCAAGAATTAAAAATATATTTTATCCTGCAAGTAATTTGTCAGTAACTGTCATACTTTTTGTAATTAAACAATAGAAATCTTAATCATAAATCACAGCAGTTTAGAAAAGTTGAAACTGTTAAAAACTCATTGATTTAGCAGGTTGAGAAGTAAAGTCAGGCTTTAAAAATGTATCGTTTGAGTGCGTTTGTAGGCCACAAAATGAAATTTCAGTGAATGATGCTTTCTGACACTTCGTTGCTTGTTTTCAACCCAACATTCAAAGTCTGTGCAGTGTATGAGTCACAATGAGAAGTGACAATTTACAGGAGACTAAAGCAAACATTAATGACAAAGATTTGATTGTTTTGATAGACAATATTGGTATTGAATTATGAAATAACAGCATTTAAAGAATTGATTTAATAACTATTCAATCAGAAGCTGCACAAACGTCCTTGTAATAGATATAAAATCATTTCTAAAAGATGACATAAATGACAATAGCTTTGATAATGATACTAAATTGACTGTTCAAAATCAAAATACGGAAAAAATTCATACTTTCGATTCTCTTAATTCTCCTTTTACTTTATTTTGTCATTTACTCAAAGCCCAGGCCGGAATTTTGTTTCTGCTGAATTTATTCATTTTCTTGTTCAACCAGATACTCTAAGTTCAACTTCAATTGTTGATTTACTAATTGCTACGGTAGCGAGCGTGTTTACTGTTTATTGCTAAGAAGTTTATGTTATTGTCCAAAGCAAAATAAAAGAAGTAAATTTTTGTAATTTTATTGAAAATTTTCTGACTTTTACTAAAATCTTTGTAAAATTATGAGTTAATCAAGTAAAATCAAAACAACTAACTTTGATTTTGCTTAATTTAACTTCAAAAACTTTTATACCAGCCGATAGATGTCGGCATGTGAATGCTTATTCAATAAAAATTGAAACTGACTTTTACAACAGTTTGTTTGTTTGATTGTTGCTTTGAAATTTAATTTCCCTGTAAACTCGACTTAATTAAGATAAAAGTTTGAGAGCAATTTTTAGGGCCACCCGACTTAATTTATCTATCTAGTTGGTCTAATAATGGGAGATTTGATCTCTAAACACGGACTTTCATCTTCCACACTGACGATTAAAATAACTTGATATAAAAACAAAAAGGCAAGTCAAGATGATGATCAAAGATCATAATTAATTGTTGCCCTAATCAATGGTTTACTTTTTTCTAATCTATCATTTCATATTTTCCAGGTTCTTCAACACCCGTCGATAAGCCTAAATTTGGAAACGGATGAGAAGTGAAATCATAAAAATATATCTTGTAAATAAAGACTGGCGGTGCAGGCTAAAGTGCTTAACTATCGACACTTTTTACCGATATGGATAAACGAAACAATCAAGGTTTCTATCAAATCGAACAGAAGTCAAGAATGGTTATTTAATCAAGAAAATAATTAACAGTCCAAAGACGTGTGTAATGTGTAAATGTTTAGAGAAACGGTGAATTGATTATGGACAAGAGTTTCAGCTGATAACCTTTGAATGTTATACAAGGATAAAAGGATAGAAATGGTTTCTTAAGATTTTACACATTCATGGATTCAAGTTCATTGTAATTATACCTGAATTCAAGTCAAGTCATATTATTTGATTTAATATCATGAGGTCGTTGTACCATTTGACCTAGATTTAAATGTATCGCTGGAGAGAAACATTTTTCTACCTCTCTTCATCAACATGATCATCAACTTCACCAGTTTTCTTTCTCTTCTTTACTTGTTACTCTCCGCACTTTGATAACTTCGAGTGAAGTTATTTTTGAAGGTTGCACCAATTCAGGTCATTCATTGAACTTATCTTGGGAAGCGAAGAGGTAAACTCTAAAAAATTGTTTCTTAAGATGATGAAGACATGTTAAACATGAAAAGAAGGAGAAGAAGAAGAGGTAAGAAAATGAAAAATACTGAGTGACTTGTTACGATCCATTGAGCCTGTCTAATATGAAGTTTTTTTTCTTCCCTCTTCATCACAATCATCATCATCATCATAATTTTCCTCCTCTCTTCACTAATCTATTATTCTTTTCATCGTTTATCATTATTATTAATATTTCGCTTCCATTCTAAAGTAATATTTTACTCTTCTATTCAAGCAAAGATCTGGAGTTATATTAACTGTATGGTTAAATCAGTTAAGTCAATTATCACGCTGTAAAGCATAATTATGGATGTGTGTCTATCCACCAATGAATAAATTTATTGCTCAGCTAAATCAAATGTTGAGGTAATTTTTTAATACTACAATCATATTTAAAAACTGGATTCCAATTGAAGACCCAAGTCTTGATGTCAGGCCTTCAGTATCCTAGGCCTAAACCAGAAGTTGCGGAGTAAACAAACCATTCCAATTAATTTATATATTAAAACAATACAAATTAATCTGTTAATTGTTTATACTAGTTTCTCAGCATGGATACAGTTTCAGGTTTGATCCAGGCTCTCTGATGATCCACAATTTGTATACAGGCCAAGAGTTAAAAATAATTTGGCATCTTCCTTTGGTATACCAAACACTAGCTTATTAAATTCAACAAACTTTAATTTGAACACATAGAAATTTGTTACTGATCATGAAGATGTATTCTCGTTGAACCCTTTATCAGTTGAATCATAGCTTGAAACGTAGAAACTTAATTACAATCAAGAAAAGTCACAGTCAACTGTTACCGAGTCAAACACCTAGCCTACGACCAGCTGTTTATGTATTTCCTTTCTAGAGTCTAACCTTCCGAGATGCTCTTAAGTAATTATAAAGTTAAATATTCAACAATTACATTCATAAATATTTTTGTGCTTTTATTTAATAGCTAAATCTGTAAATTAGCATCTTTAAACAGTATTTCATCTTCACTGGCTTTACCTTGATCTTGAAGTTTACTTGGTAATGTTTACCTTTTTATATTTCCACAATCTGATAATGAAAGTTTTTAAATAATAATATTCACCACCAACAATGGAATCAATTGAATCTGGATGTCAACAATCAAATGAACCTTTGGAGAATCTAAAGCAACCCAAGAAGCCACTCATTGACACGGAGTTCGTCAATTATCGATATGGATTGTTGAGAATAGCTCAAGCGGTAAGATAACTTAACATGGTGATTCTAGTCTAATCAACTTTATGTACTGTGCGTGAGTTTAACATATGAATTTAGCTCCATTTTCACGTAAATCTCTCACTCTCTTTCCCTATCTGTCGTAAGCTCATCTTTATCATCAAAAAACACCATTTTTATCTCTCCAACTTCCTAGTTTCCCGTCAGTGATCTGCTATGCAACTTGTTTCCCTCTTACTTCCCGGCCCACCGTGATTATAATGATGTTGGTAATGGAAATCCAAGTTTCAGTGTTGGTTAGGCTTAGGAACAGGTACAAAAAGTGTCCCTCAACCAGTTACCGTGCGACATGAGGAATCAGTAAACCATAGAGACAAAATTAAAATGGCAAGGATAAGAGGACCAACAAGGTTGTTGTCCGATTAATTGAACAAAGCACCTTTTACATTATTTTTGCCCATTTTTCACTCTATTTTGACACACAAATTGATTTTCACTTTCATTTTGAACCCTTTTATCTGAATATCGCCCCAATAAAAGCGCTGAATTGGCCAAATCGCTTTTGTTTTGCGTTCTGTTTACATTTTTGAGCTGAACTTTGGGTCCGGAAATTCATTAATCCTTAAGATTACTTGATTGTAGCCATATTGCTGTTTTTAATGAGCAAATCAGTTATAGCAATTGATTTGCTTCCAATAATTTTTTGATTATATATTTATCTAGTTTTCCAGTAGATATTGTAATGATGAATTACGAGTTTTTTTGCTGATTTTGATGGATGAAACCTCAAACAAGATTTAACGAGAACAATCAAGATTACTTATAATGGATCCACTGAAGATTAAACGAGAATTGATTCCTCTTAATTGTAATAAGCTAATGACACGTTAAAAGCCAAGTCTTGAGATATAAACCCGAAGCCAAAGAGCAACTCACATATCTTGTATTTACAATGAAACAGATTAGATTAATCATAATAATGACCATTGTTAACACCCTTAACTCGAGGTTTGTATCATAATCAGATTAACAATCAAATGAGGATACCATAGAAACCTGAATTAGTTGACCTGATAAGATTAATTAACATAACAAATAGCGATATCTTAACATGTTTGAAAGTTGTCGTATTATGATCATTGATCATTGATCGTTGACCAGACCCATTAATCCCTATCATCTGTACACTTAACTGTAAACTGACAATTGAAACAACATTAGCGTCCTAATCTATTATCAAATCAGTGATTAAAGATCAAAATGCAAGTCAAATGAAACTTGCCCAAAGACTAGCCACGGCCTGACAATCGACTTGATTAAAGCTCAAAATTTATAATCACTTGAATCTACAATTGAGCCTGTTTCTGTGGAGTTGAAATTGGAATCAACATGATTAATCAGTTGAGGTGCCTCCATGTTAATCATGTTCCTCTTCACCAGAATCACCGTTATATTTTGAAACACTCAACATTTATGTATAAAACCTGTTAAACCTGTAAAGTTAATTGTTTGAAACTGAATTTTTTCTGGTTAAAGGCCTAGTTTTAATGTCGATTATTTGCAATTTTGTATGTTTCCAAACATCAATAACATCTTAACCCATTTAATAGTTTTATGTATTAACTAACAATTTAGCTTTTTAATTAATCTAATACACTAATCAGCCTTGAGCTGATGAAGCAAAAAATCATTATTTTTAACTAATTACACTATGGTTCAATCAGAGATGGAATAGTAATGAATGTTTCATTTTGTTTGCCTAATGTTTTGATTTTGTCTTTAATCAACTTGAAAACCAATTTAAAAAACATTTTCACATAAATAGTAACAATTTAGGAACATGTTCATAATTTCAAATTGAGCGCTTTAACTTTGAAATTTAAGCTAACGGCTTTTAGTGGATAAAGGCTTTTACTTTGCTTTTCTTTGTTTACATTTATTTACTAATTAATCTTTTCTTGCCTGTTTGATTCATTTTTTGTTGTTTAACTGTTTAATTAACAGCTTTAATTAGCTTATACTTTCATCAAAAGATACTGTTAATCAGGCTGATTAACACTGTTAATTAGCTAAATGTCTTTTCACCTCAAACTTGTAAAGCCTTATACTGAAAGGAATACTTTCGACTCTTCATATCAAATCATCTTTATTCTTCAAACTAATTGTGATTAACCAGGATGTTAACTTAATTTTTAATTGTCACCTGGACTTATTACGGCTTTAATTTGGACGTGCAACAATAAAAAACACCACCAAATGTTCAAAGGTGCCATTTTACTTGAAAGTATACAAACTAGATTATTTCAAAAATGATGCTTAACCGGTCATTTAATAATAATCAATAACCAGCCTTTACTCAGTTACCATTTTGTTGATTGAATCTGAATAGCAATTAAAAAGATGTAATGAAAGACTTCATTAGATCGAAATTAATTATTGATTTAAATAATATACAAAATGTTAACAAAATATGGTTGCAAGGTATGTTTACAAAGTATCATTAAAATGTAACAACCCAAAATGAAAGCTTTTAACGGTTACTGCTTTTGGACACAATTTTATATTTATAGCTTGCTTTCACAATGCCTAGTCAACAATTTAAACTGATTAACTTTCTAATTTAATCAATTTTCTTTCTCCTTTATTCAGGTTGTTGCTGTCCTTTGGCTGGTGATTGTTTATGCACGAGAATCAACAATCAATGAAATTGCAATGGACTCATGTTGGCTTTTATCCTGTTCAACCTACTCTGGCCAATCCATCCGAATCATGTTAATCATGTTAACACTTTACTCTTTATCATCAATATTATTATTCTGTTTCCGTCTTCAAGAACCTTTAGAGTATTGTATCAATGTACCGTTAACAGTGAGTCAAACTTGATCAATATGATATTTCCTGTAATATTGCTATCATTTTATCATAATTATCCGTTTTTCCAGTTCCTACTTAATGACTAAATATTTAACTTTTAATTTACCGATCCTTTCATCTCCCATTAGCACTTCAATCATCAGACAAAATGGTTTATTTACATCAATTTAATCAATTGAATAAGGTGAACCAAAACTTCAAAATCATTCAGATGTCAACACCTTCAGATTATTTTTTCCAACTTTGAATTTCCGTTCAATCGTTGAAAACTTGATAATATTTATTTACAATTAACCATACAATCAAATCTTCTTTTCTCCATATATTCACAGCTTTGCGTGTTTGAATCAATTGGTGCTGTCTTTTTCGCCCTCATAAGCATACTCATAATATTCATCAACTGTTATCCTTTGGGACTTTTACTATCAGTGAGTATTAGTCGTAATTGATCACTTTGACCATTGACCAGTTGCAATTTCAAACCATTTCATTATTATGTTTTCATAATCCCAATGATCAAGATTACCAGCTGATATTGTAAAAGTTGAAAAATTTTCTCAATTGGTTTCTCATCGAAAAGGAAAAGGCATTAATCCCGAAATGAGGTCGTTAAAAAGCTTCTATGTGACTGTTGTTGCTATTTGATTTGGCAAAAAAAGGATAACGATAATAATGATGGCGATGATAAAGGCTCAGATTCAATGGATTGAATGTTTCAAAAAAGAAGATAAAGAAAGAAACAAAATAACTGAATATTGCGTGAGAACTGATAAAATGAATAAGGATCATCGGAATAGACTAGGAAAGTTGCAGATAGAGGCAGAAGGGTGAAGAAAGATTCAGATTGAAATGATGAAACTGATGATAAAGATTGAGGCAATGATTTTTGAGGACAAGATGATGAGAGGATTGGTAGGATTGTAAACATGGGCCGTCAAGCGGATCCGGGATCGATGAAACTTGACTCAATGCTTTAACCTAAATATAAATAAATTGCGATTCTTTACAGTATATCTTCATCTATCCTCATCTTATTTACCTGGCCCTAGGCCATTTTTGTAAAGTAATCATCATCATCACCATCAACTACATCATCTCTTTTTTTTAATCACCATTGAAACCTGTTAAATGGGAGAGCAGAAAGAGCTAAGAAAAGATTATTGTCTTCATCTTCTTCTTTGAATCTCTCTTCTCCGTTTTTTTGCCATCATATAAACCAATGCGTGCGAAGAACAGGCAAAGACGAATTGACCTCGATTCACTGGGATAACCACTAATATTAGCTGATGTTGATGGTGAACATGATGAAGATTCAGTCATAAAAAAACAATCCGGCAAAGGTAGATGATGATAGTGAAAGAGATCCGGATGACAAGTGAACCAAGTTATACTCTGTTCACAATTTTATGAACTAGTCGTTAACTAACATATTTATATCTTTTTGTCACCGAAACACCAGTTTCATCATCATCTTTACCTCTATCTTTAGTACTCAACTGTCACCGTCGATGACATTTAGCACATCGTTCTGACTATTTGGTTGACTCTTTTTGTTTACCTTTTTCAAACTAGCACAGAGTCTGTTCATCTTTCATCATCTGAATCCATCATGGTTCTTATTGCTCTCATTATCTTACTTAATTTCTTAGTTAATTGATGATCCAAAATTATAACTAATTACTTAAATGGCGTTCAAAATATCGATCGAAATAATTATTGGTGATTTATAGTGTTTACCCTTCGGTTTTGGGTAAAGTCAACCGATCAAGTCTTACTCTTAGGTTAATGTTAAGCTTTACTGATTTCCCTTTTAATCAAACTGATCAGACATTTTTTTCTTGAATTTTTGTTCACTTCAATGATCCAGTTTTTAATTAGGTTCATGTTTAATTTAAATAATTCAAAGTTAAATAATTATGTTAACTGATTACTGATTAATGGAGTGAACAATTTGCTCTCTCTCCATCCTTTTCTTATTATTAGCTACTGGAAGCAAAAGAGTCGATTGAATGAGAAATGATTTTTACCTTGTTTAGTCTTGAACTAGTTTATTAACGATGATTATCATTGATAATCATGATTATTTTAATCATGACCATCTCTTATCATAACAATATCATTCACATTGAGATTCACTTCTATTTTCACGCCGTGATTAAATCATAATTCAGTAAAATGTATAAAAATCCAAATATAAATGTTAACGTTATTTAGGTTTACCTTGATCAACTCACAGAAGAGGAAAGATGAAAAAAGGATCAATTTTCCCTTCTTTTTGCTCCTTTTTTCTCATCTTCTCATACTCTTTATCATTATTTCATGTGACCTGAAAAAGGTCATATTTCGCATTGGGAAACGATCGATAACATAAAATGAATTTGAAAATGCAAATTTAAATCAATCCATTTTTGTTTCCCATTACAATCATGTAAGCAAGGGAACAGGTTAACTTACAAAATATAGTGATATAACTTTAAATCATGGTAAATTAAACCGCTAACTTTATCATCTTCTTCCTCATCCTTTTCATCATTACAGATATTTGGCTTGGCTGGGTCATTTGCATTTGGTTACGATGCTAAGTTATCCTATTTTTGGTTTCATAGTGACATATGCATAACTAAAGTCTGGTGAATCCCTTTTACGAACCAAAATGTTTCAAATTGCTGACCAATATTGGTTAATTTTCATTCTATCCATTCTGATTGTTTACCTGATTGTTTACCAGAAATGTAAAAACATAACTTTCCAGATTAACCAACTCAACCTAAATCTGGCTGCAATCGAAGGGGTTTATTATCAAGATTTCTGATTAAAATTACTTACTTTGGAATTAAAATAAATGATCAATAAATGCTGAATAAATTATTTAAAAGCTGATTTTTAGCTTAATATTGTATTTTTTTATTTTTTGTTGAATTTTGAGAAGATTTTAAATTATGCGCTTTAATTCTGTTACTAGAGTAACGCTACAGATTTACAGTTTTAATTTTTTAAGCGTGTTTTGGTCAGGAAAATATTAATGATTTATTGATGTAACAGTAATTTAGATTCACTGTTTTAAGAGATTTAATTGTAACTAGGTTTAAGGATATTCAGTTATCATCATTGAATGGAAAAAAAGATGAAAAATTAACATTAAAAACTGGTTTCTTCATATTTTTAGGTTTGTACTGGTGGTAGTTAAATCTGTGGTAAGTCATATCATGATTATCAACCGTTTGACCATGAAATCGGATGATCACTTAAAGATGGCCAAGGTCATTGAGATTAAAGTTCACAGTTAATTGACAGAGGTTTGCTGATAAAAAGTTCATTGGCCTTACAGTTCCATACTAATCATCATCATCTTTGCCTCTCTCTTCCATGAAACCTGTCTCTGTTTGTTGAATAGCTGAGAGTTGATGAAAACCTGACAATAAGCATGTTGATGACATGGCAATGAAAATAAAAGACTCTCTAGTGCAATTCCGAGCTTATAATTGATGAAAACCTGAATAAGGCCAAAATAAGGCAAGATGAGGATCTAGGCGGAAGCTTTTCAATTCTTACTCAACAGTGAGGACCCTCAAATGATGATAGAAAGCTTTGTAATTTTGTGAATATTTAATCTAATGTAAATAAAACTAAAAAGCAAATTTCACTGAGGTCAAGAGGAACCAAAATTTTAAAATCTTAAGCCCAAGAAAACAAAAAAACGGTCAATTTAGGCGATTGACCTTTCAATCTGTTCAACCTGCAAAGTCTAAAAAACGCAGGCAAATTTTTCAAAATCATTATTCTAGTCTTGCTATCATATTTTTCATTCAAATCAATAATTTATCATGACCTAATCATTCATTTCAAGCAATTTTGATACTCATTTCAGCTTAATTTAAAAAGGAAAGATTCTTAAAGTGAAAAGCTAAAATGCAAATTGTCCATTCATTCATAAACATCAACAACGATTAACCAGTTTACCGTTAAAAGTGAAACAATACTTATCATTATCATCACCATCACCATCATTTTCATCATCATCATCATCATGCTTGTTGATTAACTTACATTTTTAATCTCACTTATTAACATCAACCTGTTTGGTCTTGGTAAACCAGAAAGCAAAACAAAACAAAACCAAAATAAAAACCAAAAACCTGATTTCATTTCTGGTAAATTAATCTTCAAATGTTTAACGGACAGTTATGACCACGATTGATTTAAGGGTCAGTTAATGACTAAATCAGAGACTTAATGAGCAATAAGTGGTCATTGATTAGTGAACTTAACAGTGACAATACGGACAATATGAAGTAGCAAAATTATGTCTAAACATTATTGTCTATTAAAACTACTGTATTAACTTGAAAAATGATTTACAGAATAGATTTGAAATAAGATTAGATTAAGATGATTGTAAATTGAAATAATTATAATCACAGTTAGCAGGTTAACACCATGATTTTTATCATCGCCTTGTTAAATCGTTATCTTATTTTTCCGTTTTATTTTACATTCATTATCGTCTTAGGTTGATCAATTTATCCTCTGATGTTCACTTGTTCAGTTCAACCTATTTCTTGGGTTCACCTTTAAGATAAACCTCAGCAATTGATGAATAGCTGTTTTTTGTTTTCTGGTAAACATTCACATTTAGGTAGATATAATTCAAGGGATGGTGTTTAACTGAACTGGAAATCCGGTTTCTCATTTAAATACTGATGCAACTTAAACATGGTCAAGACAAGGTGTTCAAGATGTGAAAGATGAACTCAAGTTGATCTTTTGTTGAAACATTCATTCAAATGTCCGTATGTTGACGGATGATAATAATAAAATGGGAATTTCAATGAGATAATATTATGATCATCTTATTAGGAGTTGACCTGGTTGGTGAAAGAAACAAAAAAAACAGCAAAAATGGTCAAATTTTGAGCTTCTATTATTCAATCCTTATCATTACATCAGTTTAAGCTTGGTCATTTGGCTCATTAGCAAGACAAAAAAAGGTAACGCAATTTTGATCAAATCAGGTTCAAAAGAAAAGATTTGTCAAGTGAAATCCTCTGAATTGTATTATATTCAGTCTTTACCGATCTTAGAATCTAATTGAATTCAATGTTTTAATGTTACTAGATGTTATTAAATGAATATTGGTTGAACAAGAAATGAGATGAACGTAAAGGATAAGTCAAGGATGATAAATACAGTTTGAAGGGATCTGAAGAGTAACCTGTTGTACCATTGGCATGAAACGGATTGTTAACGTTGAAACCTTAGTATCGCCTTTACTAGAGACTTTACAGCGTTCATTAACCTTTTACCTTATCATCATCATCTTCATTCTTGTTCAACATCTTGCAATGTTATTTTCCTTCATCATCATTATCCTCATCTGGAGGATCTTACAGTTGACTTGATAGTAAACAAAGGCCTAACCTTTTCTACTTTTTTTCATTCTTCTTCTTCTTCTCATTTTTTTGGCCTCTTCAAGTTTTCTTGAGAAATGGACTTTAATGACCTTTCATAAAATCAAAATTTTCATCGTGAGTTTTCCAATGGAGAAGAAGAAGAAGGAGAAGATGATGATGATGATGATGATGATTATGATGATAGTGATGAAGAATAAAAAGATATTCATATTTGATTTGTTAGGTTACATAGAATTGGCTCTGATTATCCAAAACTCAGTTTTCATGATGATGATAACAAAATTATTGCCGAACCTATTTGGCCTTATTTTCAATCATATTCACATTTATTCCTCATTTAAATCAACAAATGTTATCTTCATTTAATATAAGGTCAATAAACGTTATTTGCCTATTTATTCATCAACTTTTATTATCATCATAATTCAAAATGCGGCATTAATCTTTTAAAAATTGCGCTCAAAAAAATCTGTGCTAATTTAACACTTTATTTTTCAATGTCAGCTGATTTTAAAATCACTTTTGTCTATTTTTAATCTTTTGTCTGGATAACTATTATTGATTAATGTGTTAAAAGTACGGATAACTATAATTGTTACAGTTAATAATCGAATTACTACTTTTACTTTTTGTCGTTTATGTAATTTATATTGCATTTTTAAATTAAAAACTGTTGCTATCTTGTTAATACTTTTGTGACTTTACTTTTCACATGGTAAGGTTTAAAAATTTATTAATCTAATGCATTTTATTTCATGATGAGATTATGATAAAAGTTTTAAGAACTGTAAGATTATCTCAACCATGGAATTTAAGAATCTGTTTGAACTGAATCAAAGGTGAACTTGTGTATTATACAAGTTTCGATGGGTATGGAGGTTATTACTCTGTCTGGGATTACTATTACTCTGTGCTTTCTTTCAATGTGAGTATTTTATGCTTGTTGATTTCAACAAAAGTTATACTGAAAACTGGTTCATCTAATGCTTTTTTTCACATATTATTCAACAATCTTCACAGACGTTTTCAAAGTTCAAATGGTGACGGAAAAAAGAGGTGAATACAAGGGGAAAGAAGAGCATGCAAAGTTTCCAATGTAACTCTAAATGAATCAGCCGAAAGACAAGTTTTCTGGAAAATGATGTGAACCATTGACAAAGGGAACAACAATCTGTTTATTAACATGAACCCGAAACTCTGAGAGATTTTGTATTATAACAAGTTTCTTTGGATGGAACAAAGAAAGAGGAGAATTTTTTTCTCCAAGAAATATCTCGCAACGTTTATCCTGACGAGACCTGAAAGGTTAAAGAGGACACTCCTGGTATCTATCCACACACTAACTATCATGTGTACATCAGTAATATAATTTGGAGAGTCTGACAACCTTAAGGACAATTTATCTTGAAGAACGATAATATTTTTGCGTTTTTTCTCATTGAAAATCCTAAGAAATGAATCTTACTTTTTCAACACATCATCTTCATTATTATTATTTGAAAGGTGCTAGCTTTATTCTGACTGCTCCACATGTATGGTTAATACATGCATTCTTCATGTGAGTTGTAATAACCTCTGAATATTTAATATTTTTCTTTCCTCTTCTGAAGCTCTTATGTATTTAAATTTTTCAGGTAACTTGAGGCTAAACAGAAAAATATGCAACTTGAAATGGGCCAAAGAAAAGAATGGTATTGTCATTGGTATTTTCAACCATCTCTTCTACCATCCTAGGTTACCATTGAACTAACGATAATATTAATGAGAGTAATAATGCAATGTCACCGAACTTGTCTGAAGGATTTCCGTTTCACTGAAAAAGAAAGGTAAAAAGCATGTTACAAGAAGTGAACAAAGTGAATCTCAAGTGCAAAACTTTTTTTTGCACAGGTTAATTGAATCACTTCCATGGAGGAATAACCACTCTCGCTGTCACTCAAATCTCTTTCTCTCTCTTTCCTCTTCTTTCTTTAAAGCTCTCTCTCTCCCTTTCTGTGTGTGTAGAGTCATGATGATAAGGAAAAGGCCATTGAACTATCTGAAAAACCAGTGGCACTTGTTATACACCTTAAAATGTTTAAAGCTCACTTTTTGTTTATCTGTTTGCATATGAAATTTTAGATGAAAACAGGGAAGGCGGAAGATAGAGCAAGACTTGAATTTTTTAGTTCACTTGGCATCGAGACTTGATCCTAGGTCATATTGGCTTTAATACAGTAATGCTATTTTAATAATAGCAACGCTATTAATAATGGTCATGGCTTGCGGTTATTTGTCTTAAGGGAACCAGAAAAGTCTCAAGAACCCAAAAGAGAAAGAAGCTTAAGAGAAAAGGCTTTCTTTCTAAAAATGATGAGATGTTGAAGACCACCTTTGTTGTTGTGGACAAGCCCGAATCTCCGAATCAATGAGGATGATTGATCGTCATCATTGCCGTCATTTTACGTTGTTTTCTTATTCAAGCCCACTATTTATCATTTTGAACCAAAGTGAAGACGAAAAAAAATATGATAAGATTTTTTCATTTCTTTCTCTCTCTCTTTCACTCTCTTGAAACGGCTCCATCGTCATTGGCCGTTAACAATAAACAATAGGATCTCAATGTGACCTGGTTGTACAATTGTTAAGGTAAAAATGCATTTCATTTTAGCTTTTTGTTTGTAGTTGAGCCAGTAAACAAGTAACAATTGAAGATGAATCACCTTCCAATGAGTATAAATTAAATAGGATATTGAATAGCAAACAATTAAATCCATATTATTGGCCTTGTTAGATTAGGCCTCGTTGTCACTTTTCACTTCTATTTCGGTTTGCGTAAGCACAATTGTATCAGGTTCAGTCTCGACCTTTACCTAATCTTATTTATTAATGTCATCAACCATTGATTGATGTGCCTCTAGATGGTGAGTCTTGCCAAAACGGATCAATTGAGGTCAAATCGATTTATTTTGAGCCGAAAAGGTTTAAAAATATTTCCAAGCAATCATGACATTTTATTATTTTTCATTTTTTCAATCTCTTACCTAACCTTTACTGTTATTGTGTACACTTTGCATACCCAGTGTTACTACGACTGAATTTAATAGCTGTTTCGATAATATGATTTTACTAATTTTTATCGAGGTTTGAGCATTTATCTTGAAACTCAATTACATGGGATTAAACAATGAGATGGTGTTAATGAAAAAGGAAGAAATAATTTACATAAATTGTTAAACTTGAGGGCAATTAAGTAGCCTTGTTTAACGGCTAATATGTTGATTCTGAACTCATTTGTTAAATGGAGATAATCTTTGATCGATGATCAGGAATGCAGTTAGTCGAGCTTCATGTTTGCCTTGGATTGAGGTTTATTTTCTTGAGAATAAAAGGCAACTCAATCTTGAAAAAACCTGGTTCTTCTTGAATAGGCTCCATGAAAACATGGTTCAAGTGAGCAGACAAAGTGAGAATATAAAGAAGGAAAGAGAATGAGGAAAAGACCAGGAAGTAATCTCCTCTGGTTAACTTGGATCTGGCTTTAGACTCTTTAGCTTTTCTCGCTTCAAGAAAGATCACATCTTTCAAGTTCTCAATCATACATTACATGCAACTTGGTTTAATGTTGGCTTTGTAAGAAACTGTAACCAAAGCAAAACCAACCTAAGCTTTTGACTTTTACATCAATCGAAAGTTGATATTGAAGTTTAATTTAATAGTAAAAAATAGTTGAAAAATCACAGTTAAACAAGTGTATATTGATTTTTGGCTTAAATGAATCAAAAGTAATGAAAAGGGAAAGTAAGATTTTTGTTTATTCATCAAAAAATTAAATTATGAATTCGATCCATTGAATTTATGAGCTACAGTAAAAGTAAAGGTCCAATAACCATGAAAGCCATTGAAAAACTAGATTTCCATTGAATCAGCCAAAATTAAAGATTCACCCAACAAGTTACATAATCAGTAAGCTTAGAGTTAATTTTGTACTAATCTTTGCCTTGAACTTGAAATGGCTAAATGTAATTGAAGCTAGCAACAGCAGGAATCTTTCCAATCGCCATTTAAACACACTGAAAATACCATGTAGAGGGTAATATATCAGGTGTTTGGTGATAATAAGACAAAAAAGTAAATGAAAGAAGTCAAAATCCCATGACGAAATGGAAATGTTATTGATGCAACAATGAACAGATTATTTTCAAACAGAAACATTGAATATTTTATAAATGCAAAGAGGAAGCTTGTGAAGTACAGGGATAATGTTGAAAATTATAAAGATAACACTATTTTTCACACCTCAGAATCAGTTGTATCATGAAGATCACAAGTGAGCGGTAGTTGTAAAGATGATAGTAGATCAGTAATTTAGTTTCATGTAAATTTCAAAGAGAAATTTTCTCATCTATTCCAAAAGTCTTTTCATCTTTGAGAGACTAGTGGAAGTTTGCGACTTTTCATGATTATTTACGAATTAAATTCCGTCCCTTAACTATAACTGTCATTTGAACATTTCAAAATTGGACTTGGTAAGATTTACCAGAAATGAAATCAGGTTATTTTGGTTTTGTTTTGTTTTGCTTTCTGGTTTACCAAGACCAAACAGGTTGATGTTTAATAAGTGAGATTAAAAATGTAAGTTAATCAACAAGCATGATGATGATGATGATGAAAATGATGATGGTGATGGTGATGATAATGATAAGTATTGTTTCACTTTTAACGGTAAACTGGTTAATCGTTGTTGATGTTTATGAATGAATGGACAATTTGCATTTTAGCTTTTCACTTTAAGAATCTTTCCTTTTTAAATTAAGCTGAAATGAACATCAAAATTGCTTGGAATGAATGATTAGGTCATGATAAATTATTGATTTGAATGAAAAAGATGATAAAAAGACTAGAATAATGATTTTGAAAAATTTGCCTTCGTTTTTTAGACTTTGCAGGTTGAACAGATTGAAAGGTCAATCGCCTAAATTGACCGTTTTTTTTTGTTTTCTTGGACAAGATTTTAAAATTTTGTTCCTCTTGACCTCAGTGAAATTTACTTTTTAGTTTTATTTACATTAGATTAAAATATTCACAAAATTACAGCGCATTAAATGTCAAAGTTATGAAATATAAAACAGACCAGTTCATTGTTTGGTTACATTATTGACAGTAAATTTGGAAATGTTTAAATGATTGCATGAGATTATGTATTTACATTTGGCGATGTATTGATATTATTTTATTTGATTGATTCATTGAGAATGAGTTCAACTAAGCTTGTTTGGTGTAATATTTGTTTGGTTAAACGAGAGATTGAGTTGAATTTATTACCAGAGAAACAATAAGTTGATTTGATGTCAGATTAAGGTTCAACTTGTTTCAATTAACTGTTTGATGAAACATTTTTTTGCTTCCAGTTTTCAATTGTTTCCTTGCTTCATACACAATCAGATTGACCAATAGAGGATCAAGCTTAATTGATTGTTAGCTAATCTAGAGGTTAAAGTATTTTCACAAATCAGATTTCAGTCTATTCTGGAAGAGTTTCAAGGGTTGACTGGAAACATTAACATCCAAAGGGAAATAGGAACAAACAGTTAACCTCATAGTTTGTATCGCTTGGTTTGCTATTGTTGCTTCCCGTTGTGTGAATAAGATGATGATCATGATGATGATAATGGTGAACATCATCGTGTATTATCAATGAAAGCAAGAGAGCAAGGGTAAGCAAGAGAGAGACTGAATCGTCAAGAGGAACTGAAATGATGCGTAAAACGATAAATTGGATCAACTACAATTTCAAGGTTAAGCAGCTATGGACAAACTTTATGGGAGAAAAGAAGACACAAGAATGATGATGATGAAGATGCTATTAAGGTCAACATTGGTAGTAAAAAGAGGAACATGATGATGACAGGGGATTGAGTGAGCAGTGAACCAGGGAATCAACTGGGATAGCTAGATCTACAGGATGATCAAGAGGAGACTAATGAGGAGAGCAAATATTTGTTAAGAAATGTGGAGACAAACAACGTCTTGGAACAGGAAGCAGATGAACAAGATGATGATGATGAAGATGGTGTAGATGATCAGGTTGAAAGATGCTACGGTTTTTACAGGTCTAGGCTCAACTCACTGCCTTTTATCATTAATTTTCAACCTTCTCTCCGTCTTTACACTGCCAAAAGAAAAGCTTCTTCAGATCTTCATCTTGCCACATTTTGACCTTAATTGTATTCAGGTTTTGTTCATCGGAATTGCACTAGAGAGTCTTTTATTTTCATTGCCATGTCATCAACATGCTTATTGTCAGGTTTTCATCAACTCTCAGCTATTCAACAAACAGAGACAGGTTTTATGGAAGAGAGAGGCAAAGATGATGATGATTAGTATGGAACTGTAAAGGCCAATGAACTTTTTATCAGCAAACCTCTGTCAATTAACTGTGAACCTTAATCTCAATGACCCTGGTCATTCTGCTGGTAACCTTTAATGGTAAGTGATATGAAACAGAGTTAAGCTTGATCAGGTTCAGCTTATACATTTAATTTTATTTCATTTCTCATAAGAAAATATCTGTTAACAATTAACTAATCTAATGATTAGTAGTTTGAACATTATCCGACTCTTAATCCACTGGTTAATCTGGTTTTAAACTAATAAGAAACATATATGATGGGAAATGGTTCAATGAGAGATTCTGGTTTTCAATATTTCCAATTCAACTGGTTAAGGTTTTTGTACCAAAATAGAAGCAGCTTTTAAGCTAATTTAAGCTCAACTTTATTGCGAGTTAAATTACAGTTGTAATCAATAGAACACTATTTTGATACAAAATTTGGTCCAAAAATAGCTGTAACCAGGTAGAGTTATTTCAATGTTTAGGATTAACAATTCAAGGTGGGGTGTGATTCGGTGGCTGCGTTTTTCAACCAAATAAATACCTAAACTGATAGTGAAGTTTTTTGTATCATTTTCAGTGTTGAAAGCTTAGTGTTGTCACTTTTATGATTAAGTTGGGAAAACAGAATTATCTTCGCCCATTTTTTGATTGCACCAAGGATTGTGATAATAAGGATGATGAAGATGATAGAGATGATGAAAATTAGATTCCCACATTAGGTAAAGAGCGGTGCTTTCTCCTTGATGACCTAAATAGTGAAGTAAAAAAACCGGACAGATTCATCAAACTCTTTCTTTTCATCTTTCTAATCTTCTTTTTCATCATCTTCTTCTTCTTCTTCTTCTTCTTGATTACTCTTCCCTGAATTTTGTTCACAAATAGTATGAAAAAAAGAAACTGTTATAATACATGTTTAATCAACACACCAAAACATGAAAATAATAAAATAAAGTGACCGTTCAGAGCCTCATCTAACATTAACATTAGACTTTTTCTTAGCCTTCTAACTTCACAATGCAACGGTAAATATAATAATAAATGTTAATTTTAATGATCCTGATGCTGATCATCATCATTATAATAGTATAATATGAAATAAAAATAGGTAACCCAGGATTGGTTGGGTAAGACAAAGATGAGGTAAAAGGTAGGAATGATGAAGACAATGAAAGAGCCACAAGATATTTCCATCTCCGGTCATGTTGGTTTTTTTACGGGTTAAATCGAGGAACCGGTTTAACCGGAGGAGATTGAAAACCCTGTTAGATGAGGATCAAGTTGAACAAAAAGGGATGAAAAAATGATGAGAGAGTAAGAAGAAGATTCTCAATAGATTATCCTTTGTTCGTAAAATGATAAATTTCAAGCTTGGTTAGTCCATTAAATATCAAGCAAAACCTCTTTTTTGTGAATCAATGAACAAGATGGACAAGAAATGAAATTGGAAAGAAAGAGCAATAAACAAGATCGCTATCGATTTGACTGATTTAATCAAATTAGAGCAAATCTTAGTTCACTTCCTTTGCATATAAGTTTGAACATTACAGGTGAATAACATAAGCATCGAAGCGTTTTCCATTAAAACCTGTAAAATAAATGTAACGGTTTAAGAAATGTTTATTTCTCGATAAGATTTCAAAGAGTTTGTGTGCTAAATCACCGTTAAAAAAAATCTTTTCGTAATTACACTGAAGTCGCCTGCGCTGACACCATTATAAGGTCCAATAATACGGTCGAAAATTTCATAAATCTGTTGAATGATTCATAAAACAATAATTAAACACTGACACAATAAAACCAGAGAAGCTTACTTTGAAAAGCTCATTGTTGAAATTGGTGAATCGTCTCTTCAATAAAATCTGTAGGAAATATCTATGGAGCTTGCTGAGCTAAAAAAAGTAATGATTAATTGTGAAAGTGGGTGTTTTTACTTGATAAACCCAAATCTTACATCTTGAATAGGATCACCATTAAAATATAAAGCAGCTCCAAGCAAAGCGATGACAAGAAATCCCATAGAGCATAGAATGTATCGAATCAATATTGACTCGTTCGGAACAATTATACCAAAAAATATACCCAGATCACATACGATCGAGGCGAGGATGATGTAATAGAGGATGAGATACTTTAATGAACGAGACAAGGCATCAGTTTCATTACCCAAACTAATTGTCCGATTGACCAAATAACTAACATCGCGATTTAAATTAGAAGCAGTTACTTTAGCAATATATCCTTTTTTAACCAGTGACTTGTAGCGTATCAACATTAGAAGCGATATCAAAATGAAATAACAGCCGATAGAAGCGCTACAATTAAACAAATAAACCATAGGAAATGTTAAACTGATTGACCATAGAGATGAAGTAATTGTGAATTCATAATTATGATAATATAAAGGATTAGAAAGCAAAGGACCGTTTATCAAAAGGGTTATCATGAAAACACCCCAGACTAGGAAACGGGAAAAAAAGACACTGATGATGTGAGTGAGAGTACGAAAGGTTGCAAATGAAGAAGCAGTCAATTCATCTTGAAGCGAATTAAAATTGTCCAATCGACATTGATGAAAGTCGTATAACATGAATAATGATCCTGACCTTTCAGCCCAACGGAACCATTCGAAGAGACTATAAATATAAGCCAGCCAAATGCTTATGAATAACGAAGCATAAGGTAGGACATTTGTACCAAACAGCGGATCGCCTAAAATTAAATGATACCAGGAATTGTTGGTTGAAGCTAAAGTCAATCCTCTTATAATGTTGATAACAGCAGTCAAACGAATAGCCCAACTAATATAATCAAAGTTACTCCTTGACTTTGTTTGCTTTGATTGGACAAATCCATAGTGAAGACAGCGAAACCATTTGGTGCGCTTTTCAAATACACTTAAAGCTTCGATTGTTGACTGAAGAGGTTCATCCTTTGGATATCCAACAATATTGTAGATAATTTGTTTCAATAATAACAAGACTTTCATCGCCTAAATCTCAATCTCAACTAGATGGATTGTCGGATCAAATTAAAATATGTGAGTCTTACAAATGAAAATGATCAACTTTAGTTCAATTTTAGGAAGTCCAAGTAAATATTTTTGCTTTAATCAATATTATTTTCGATGGCATTTTAATGTTCAATTTTCATTCCATTTATAACATGATTTTGAACAATTACGTTTTATTGATTTTATAATTTAGTAAAAATATTCAGAACTTTAAAGATTAAACTATCATGAAACAGACTATTCTTAAAATCTCAATGTTGCAAAGAATAAGATATTTCAGCTTTTTGCATTATTTTTCTGGTATTTAAAGTTAACTGTGATTTCAATGAAAAAGTTAATGATAGTTACAAAAAAAGAAACATTAGTAATGATTTGAACGATTTTTGCAATTCACCTTTGATTGTCAATCAATGTAACAGTGTAATAGTTGAGTTGTGCATTTGCAATAAGATTTACTAGTTTTCTCGTTTTATTGTCATTTTCTCCTAAAAAATTATTGCGTTTAACAGTTAGTTCTCAGTAAGTTGGACTGTAAAAGGAATGATCAGATAGAAGATTTGATTGCAATGTTAGTTAAGAATGTTTATTTGTAATCAATCCGATATTTAATTTGTGAGTAAACTGAATTAAAATAATCTGAATGTCTTGATATTATCATTTCAATGAGGTTATTTCACTCTAAACTCACACAATTGATACAAAGTCAAAGTAATCATAGATTAACTTTCCGGTCTTTGGTCATTTGCCTCAATCAGATGCATGAGAAGGATGAAAAATATCACAGGCAGAGAGAAGAGAGCAGAGAGAAGAGAGAAGAGAAAGAGAGAGAGAGAGAGAAAGAGAGAAGGAAGAGATGAGAAAGAAGTGATAAAAAGATGATGAATGAAAAAACGGAGAGGAAAAAGATTTGAGTGAATTTTGGGCAAACAAAAAATAACGTAACTAACCTATTCTCTGAGCGATAAACAAGAAGGAAGAACGAGTAAAAGAAAGAAAAATAGACACAAGAAGAGGATGAAAACGATGATGATGAGGGCAAATTAAAACAGGTAATGAAAAGAGAAGAGAGAGAGAGAGGAGAGAAAGAAAGATGAAAGATGAAAAAGGATCTCTTCCTCTTCTATGTTTGTGGCCTTACAAGGTTCTTGTTGAATCTCCTTTGGCTAAGAAAAATGTGACTCCCGCACAACCTGAGAATCAGGTTGTGACGATGAAATAGAAAGAGAAAGAGAGAGAAGAGAGGAAGATCAAGTGTGTGTGTGTGTTGAGTGAGAAAGGCCAGAGTGAGCCAGGTAGAACGGCAAGAGTTAGAGTTTAAATGTTATTCAATCTGAATCTAGTGTTGAGTCTTGATGCTGTGACATATCGTCGAGGATCGCTTCTCTTTCTTATAGTTCACCGACTTTTCTCTCACATTTACCTGTTTCTTACCTTCTTCACCTCCTCCTCCTCATCATCCTCTTCATCATCTTTATCGTCATCGTCATCATTCCATTGCCGTTCAATCTCATTCTTTTTTGTTATTTCCAAATGTTAACTTGACATCTTTCCTTCAGTACCAAAAAATCAAAACAACCAAGTTAACCATTGCTTCTGTGTGTTCATCTCGATCAATTATTACTTTTTTTGATTGCTCATCAAATGTATTGCTATCCACAATCAAGTCTATTATTAAGTTCAACTTCTAATCAATATTTCATTTTCATTAAATGGATTATATTATTCAATGTTAAATAATTATTTTTACAATTAGTTAAATCACTATAATTGTCTATCTGTTGCTTTATTTTGTTTTTGTTATTGTTTGTTTTTACACAAGAAATTTATTGTTATTACAAATCCTTTTCTTCTATTTTTTGGTGTTAAAATTATGTGAATGACCTGATAATCAAAATCTTAACTACTTGATTAATCAGTAATCCATTCAACTTTAAACTTGTAACATTTATCATCATCAAAAGCGTTGTTCGACTACTGTGAACCATCAACAACTCATAACAATAATAATATTAATTTACTTCACCAATGGACTGACAAGAATTAAAGTCCATTAGATTTGTAATTAACCCAGAAAAAAAGGATTTAACTGTCAATATCAACAAATTAATATCAACTGTAAAGAGCAAATTAAACATAAAAAAAGGCTCAACATCGATAAAACATTTCGGTTACATTATTATCTGGCTGTAGCAACTTTGATCACTCATCCGTTATTTCATTTTGTGTTTTCTAATTGTTGTTAAGCTAACCTGTTGCTGATTACAGTATTATCATTATTACAGCGTTGCTTATGCCAACGGCGTGTCAACGCTCACAAATATACGGCCAACGACCCTGAGTAACTTCACCAAACGTCCCATTGTGTTGACTTTGTTTTAAAAATTACAATTATCCAGAGCCTTATACCAGAAAATATCAAACAAAATTGAACCCTTTCATTTTGTCCATGAGATTTAACCATTGTAATTATTGCGATCAATTTTTTAAACACATTGTTTAACATTTTTCTTCATCTCTTTTAATCAACAATTTAACCTTTTTCATAACACAATATGTTGTCATCAAATGGAGCCAATGGAGGTCTTCAAAAACCACTGCGATTACGACGAGTTAATCATTCAGATGAGGTTGTCTCGGGATTCAGTAAACTCCTTAAAACTGAATCTATGACAGATGTTACTCTAATATGTTCAGGAGGACAAACAATTAGAGCTCATCGTGTTATTTTATCAACTTTTTCACCCTATTTTAGGGCCATCTTTGAATCACAACCCTTCTCCAATAATCCTTGTCAGTATCCAGTTATAGTAATTAAGGATTTGGCTCTTAGTGAATTAAGAACCATTGTTGAGTTTATTTACAAGGGTGAGGTTTCAGTGTCAAGGGATAAGTTATCTGCTGTACTTCAAGCTGCCAAAGAGCTTGAAGTCTCTGGTTTATCTGATCTTAAAGTTGATGGTAACTCGTCTTCATCTACATCATCTTCGTCTTCAGCATCACCTTCAACAACATCCAATAATCATCATACAATCAGTGGAATAAACGGTGACATTGAACTGCAGTCTATTCGTAATCACATCTCATCAATGAATAATGGTGGTTCCATTTGGAAACGATCTCATGAGGATCATTCATCAAACCATGGATCGGTTAATTCACTGTTCAACTTGGGTTACGAGACTCAGATGAAAAAATCCCGAGTAACTTTAGAAGGAGCCGATGGAATTGGAATATCGGTTTCAAATGCCTTAATGGGTGATAATGGTTCTTCAATGGTTAATCATGATTCAGTTAGAGGTTTACTTCACCAACCAAATCGAATATCCCAAGAGCTTCAAAATATGAGATCGCTGCACAATTTATCGTCACTCAATAAACAAAGGTAAGTTGTAAAATATGAGTTGCCATTTCAGAGACTTCAATAGACTTTAATATTATCCGTAGTTAAATTCGTACTGCTTAGAATTGCTCTTTGCCTATGAAAAGATAATTATTACTTTCAGGTTATTTCATTCATTAATTAGAAAATGTTGAACCTGTAAGAGTGAAATAGATAACATACATTCATTTCTTGAACCATAATAACCCAGTTTCAAGTTGGATTGCATTCCAATCACAGAAGTTGAATAATTTTCTTAAATGCAAATGATAGGGTGAACTGGATACAGTTAGGTTCACAATTAAGTTGTGTAAAAGGGTAGCAATTATTACAAAAGTCATATATTATTGAACTAAATCAACCTTGAAAATGAAGGAGGTAAGAAGGGAAACGGAAGTATTGAAAATTTATATTAGACTTACTGTTAGAAGATTCATTCGATCCAGAGATAAGAGCTAATTAATAAGAGCGTAAAATAAGGAATCATCAGTATAATTATAATTTGCCTTAGTACAAGAGGTTGATTTGCAGGAGAAGCAGTTTTTTTCGGGTCAAGAGATTTTAGCCTTTTCTTCAAACTTCTTTCAGTCCCGAAATGTTTGAGCTGAAAAAACGGGGTTGAGTGCAATTCATTCATGGTTTAGTCTCATCGTTTGAAACTTTCATGTTTTTTATTGCTTGCTAAAGGTTTAGATCATGAATTTTCTGGTAGCTTTTTAGACTGACGCAATAGTTTTGAAGTAGGTATTGTTTCGACTGTTATTGCTTCTCCTGGAAATGTTATCTTACCACCATATAAGAATCACCTCCGGGCTAGTTTCCGTACTGGTGAACCAGAACAATACAGCTTTGCAATATTGAATATTGTTTACAAGAATATCGAAGAGATCCGTGTTTTGAAACATTTCCTTTACTATATGATATCTTGTTTGTCAACGACTCGTCAAGAGAAGTTAAAATCTCATAACCACTTTGTTAACAGATGAGATATTAAGAGAAGATATTTGAAGTTGAAACTTGAATTTAGCAAAATTTTCTCCTTTTTTCTTTACAACTATCAGACAGCTTCTTTGGTTTCATCCTGAAGAAGTTTTTTTGATATGGTTTAACAGTAACACGAAAAATTTAACAGGTAATAGCTATTTCGGGCCTCGCTAACTTTTTTGGCCAGATCATTAAAACAGCTTTTTTTATTATCATTGCCATTATATTTTCTTCATTTATCTCAATTCCAGTTCCAGTTCTTTTCTTCATCATTATCCCATTCCACTCTTTCTATTTTTTATTCTTGATTATTTCTCCAAGCTTAATAAGATAGATATCAGTATCTTTCCATGATTCTCCAAATCCATCCACATCTTATTTCGTGTCTTTGCATTTTCCCGTTGATAACATTTAATCTCATCAAACATTTCATATCTTGTCAAAGTTTGATGAAAGATGATTCTGTTGGATGTGAATAAAAGAAAAACTGTAAAATTGAAGCTTAAAGTATCGTAAAGGATAAATGTGTAAAATTTTTACCCAACAAATTCAGTTGATGGTTAGAGATTTAACTTTGGATAAGGAAGGTGACATGAAATTTGATGTTTCCTGTTAAATGTGTTGGTAGAAAATCTGGAAACAGTGAAAAAAGATGGCGGCCTTTTTCATGGGCGATGTTGATATATTATGGGTTACACTCTCCAAAAAAGCTTTAAAACCGGTTTTCGGGTTTCTTTGACCTTTTACATTCTTCTACTCTTCAATCCCCACCAAATCTAACACCACCATCCTTTTACTGGTATTTCATGTTCACTCTATTTTCTTTGATGGAATAGATTCGTACAGCAAATTGTCAGATGAGAATAAAGCACAATGAGGGATAAAAGAAGACATTTATAAACTTGGTCCAAGTTTTGATTCCATTAATTCAGCCTTAAATCGAAATATATGACATTTTGATGGAAAGAAGCAAGTCAAGATTGACCCAATTTTACAAAATATAAAAACATAAATCAGAAACTAAATTAAATTAGAAAAAAAACAAATTCTAAAAAGTGGGTTTAGAAAGTTACTTTGCATGAGTCAATCTCTCATTTGTTTTCCCACTAAAAAGCTGTAAAACCCGGGAAAAGTCACATGTTTCGATCATATGGTCCGAGTTGCCAATGGCAACACAGTCGAGCTCACAAGTTGTCAGATTTAACATTTACCTTTATTTAGTGAATTTTTTGAGTATTTGATTAACAAAAACCGTTCTTTGATCATCTTTGGATTATTCTTGTGGATTATATTGTTAAATGTTTATCTCTATGTCATCAATTGTGATTTCAGAATAGTTTCTTGTTAAAAATGATACAATCGAAGTAAATACAATCTTTTCGATTTGATTTGACTAACTTTTGCACATGGAAAGACGAGTTTTGCTTTAGAATTAACGTTAAGCTTGAGGCAGGATTAGGCTTAAAGATTTTTTGCTTATGAATTCACAACTTTTGCTTTACAATTAACAATTTTTGCGAAAGAAATCAATTTTCTATGGGTTTTTTAGCTATACATGGAAGAATATACGCTGTCTTGACTCATTTTTTATTTCTTGAGCTGATTATTACTGAATTAACAGTATACACACTAACCTTGTGTGTTTGCGTCCAATTCATCGCCAAATTTAGCGTCTACATCCTTCGATATGGTCAGCTATTATCAGTGTAAGTTGACTCTAAACCTTGAATGTTAATAGCAATGCAAAAATTGTTTTCTCTAAAGCAAAAAATGTCAACTATAAGTGACTTTTTGGCGTTAATCCTTTGCTTGTTTTAAAATCTTGTTAATTCTAAAGCAAAACTCATTTTTCCATTTGCAAAAGTAAGTCAAATCAAATCGAAAAGATTGTATAATTTATTTTCAGTCTCTATTAAAACTTTTATTATGCCAATTTTCATGCGATTAGGTTTATTAGAATAACAGTTTTTGTTCAGTTGATTGCTACAATCACTATTTCAGACGCTGTAGTTGGCTTTAATGTCTAAAGTTATTGGTAATTATGATAAACATGCAAAAATTTAGTAATCACATTTACCAGTGAATGTATATTAAATCCGGATGTGTATTGAAGTGGATCGGTGTATCTTTTGCCATTGTGACCATTTTACGGCAACTAAATTATTAAGATTATTTTAAAATCAAATTTGCCCTTATTCTAATTTTGCTTTTAAATCGTTTGATTGGTTTGGTAATTGTGACCAGTTTTGATTATGTTCAGACTTTAAAACCCTTTCATTAATAGACTGATATTGTTTGGTTATTTTTCTTTTCATGATTTACCATTCAGAAGTCTCTGATTTTTTGCCAGTACTAGTTATTTCGTTTTATTCATTCCTATTTTTTTCTCTTTTCAGACATTTAACTGTTGAACAGCTTTTGCAACAAAAGCAGCAACATATTCAACAAAGACAATTGCTTCAACAAAAGATTAGAGTTCAGCAACAACAACAACAAATCAAACAACAATTGTTGCAGCAGCAACAACAGTTGATTCAGAAAAATGTCTCACCCAAGAGTTTACTTCAACGATTTGCCGGTTCACCTCAAAGCAATGGAAGTAGCTTTAACCAATTTCAGGAAAAGATAAAGGCTCAAATGGCTGCCCGAAATGGAAATAGCTCGAGTGATCAAAACAAAGAGGAAACTGAAGATGACAACAAAAGCAAATCAGAAGGTAACCCTAATGGAGCAGAAAGTAGAAACCAAGCTGAATCAACTGAAGATGAGACTGTTGATGTTGATGGAAACACAGCTGATGAAGCTGAAGATTTAACCAATGCTAATGATGGCGATGAAAATGGCTTGAAAGAAGGCAGCGATGAAAGTAAAGAAACTGATGAAGAGCAAAGATCCAGAGGTCGTCGCAAGAAAACAATTCCTCGTAAAACTGTTGCCTCTGATGATATGGTTGATTCAGATACAGCGGAGAACGCTCAGGGAGACGAAGATGGGGAAGATGGAAGGAAAAAAGAGGAAAATTATACAAATGGTGGAGGTTTAGATGAAGATGATGATAGTCCAGTTATATTGAAGACTACAATTGACGATGCTAGTGATTACATTGACGAGGATGATTTAAATGAGGAAAACGATGATTATGAAACAAATGGAGGTATTGATAGAGATGTTATATTCCAAAGGCAACAACAACTTAGATTACAACAATTACAACAACAACAAAAGTATCAACAACAAATGCAATTCCAATTACTTCAAGAACAACAAGAGGCCAAACTGCTTGAACTTCATCAACAATTACAACAAGCAACAACCAATGATACAATTGTACCAGATCAAGATGACTCTGCACCAGAATTGAGTTTAGATTGGCAAGAAGGTTTCACAGATGAAAGTTTTCCTTTGATCACCGATCTAAGAACAGGACCCGCAGCTAATACAGTCATAACAAATGGAAATGGACATGATAAGAACGTAAATAACGGTTCTACTACAAATAACGGCAAACAAGCAATGCCTGACTTCCTTCAACCTCGCGGACCTGGTAGACCCAGAAAGGGTAACAAATCAAACGATATCAGTCCATGTCCAGAATGTAATAAGGTATTTGTCCGACCTGATGTACTTAAGCTTCATTTCCGTAGTGTTCATCTCAATGAAAGACATCCTTGTAATATGTGTCCCAAAATATTCAAATGGCCGGGTGATTTATCTAAACACAAAAGAACCAAACATCCTGAAGCAATGGCAGCCCTTAATAATCAAAAAAACCAATCTAGTAATAGTTAACCTCTAAAGCTATCAACATAAAAGAACAAATTGTTAATTTAATTTTGCGTTGAAATTTTTATTAATCCACTCACTCACCTCGTCTCTCCATCGCATCTTTCCCATCATTTTTTTTTCATCTTCATTCACTTACTTCATCATCATTGGCACCAAATTACGGGCTTCACTTCAAAGAATAATATTTTTATCATTGTTATTTTGTCTTTTCCAAAGCTACACTTCAAAGCTTATACATAAGTCTTCCATGCGAAGACCATCGCTTAATTACCTCAAAAGATCTATTCTCTAAATAACATTCCAGGTTTTCTTGAAAACGTTAATATATATCTATTTTATAGAATACATAATTATTATTTCTACCAGAGTTTTACAAGGAATCCATAAAATTATCAAACTTATACATAAATATAATATATTTTTAATTTATGATAAAAAATTGAAATTACCCCGAAGATACAATATCAACCTGTAACTGCTAAACTCCTAGTGAAAAACAAACATTAAAACAATCATTGCCTTATCATCAAATTTGAATAATTGATTTCATTGAATTAATTTTCCCGGATCAGCTAATACGCAATACATTTCAGAAAAGTAGCGATTCGCTCGACCAATTGGCATTTCCAACCAAAATAATAAATATCCCCGAGTTCAGTTCCGCTAGTCTAAAAGCTGCTGTTATTTTTGGATATGGAGGTCACCCTGAAAGGCTGAATAAAAAAGGAAATATTTGTGACTAAAATTTGAATTTTTTTCTTCATCAATGTAATATTTAACATCGAAAACTGATAATTTATGATTCTGAAAATAAATTGATTAATCTGTGGTTATGTTCAGACGGTGACAAGTGGTTTGCCTGTGAGCAAAGACTGTGATGAAAAAATAAAGGAGAAGTGATCTTCAAGGATAACTGGTTTAAAGTTACAGCTAATTTTGCTATTCAGTTTCGATTTATTTCCTTATTCAATTCATCCATGCTTTCATCATTTCTTTTTATCACTCACCTGTCTACAAAATTAATTTGAAACTGTCTTCATACTTCTGTTTACCCTTTTATCAGGTATTTCAACTTCTTCTTCTCAATCTTTTTAAAAACTCGCTAATTCTCTGTCTATCTCTTTCTCATTCAGATACAGAAACTTAAAAAGAGTTATTATGATTGTTACCCATTTTGCCATCGACAGCAAACCGATCATTATGGTGAAAAATCATGAGCTTACAATCCTTTCAATAAACGGTTTCATCACTGCCAGATAATGTTTGTTTTCATCTGATAATATTTATCTTGATTTTGAATATGTTTAAATGATGAACCTTATATCGTCTAGTAAATCAGAAATTGTTTTTTTGTATAAAAATCTCAATAAATTAAATGTGATTCCTCGATTGTTATCATCATTGTCAAAAGCTTGTTTCAATAAGTTTCTTCTCAAAACTTCAAAAGATAACATGTTAACAGTGGACGGTGCGATTTCAACTTTTCAATCAAGTTTACAGACATTTTATGAGCTTTTCATTGGATTTGTGGCTGTTCTGAGTGATTTAAAAGATGGCAAGAAGGTTATAACATCTACACAAACCCAGCCATCATCTTCATCGGCAAATGTGACCCGATCATTGTCAACTTTTCCACCTTATAATGAAGACGACGGTCTGACAGAAGAGCCTTTCAATGCTAACAATGAAAAGGGCCGAGCTGTTGGAATAATCAGAAACACATTCGCTTGTTGGCATTTCATTACCAATCTGCTTTATTTAACCAAAAGAGCTGTTGCTGTGAAAGTTCGCATTGAAAATCCTAAAAATATTACCATCAATCCAATGAGAATTAAAAGATTGGTCGTCAAGTTTCATAATAAATTCATAAAATAACCATTATTCTGATGTCCATCGGAAGTTCACTGAAAGGAAGCTTATCATTACCAATTTATATTGTATTATAAATTATGGATCCATTCACAAATCAATTACTTATAAGTTGGAAGTTAATTGCATTGCAATGTAAGCTCTTATAATAACTCAACTGTCTCAATCAGATAACATTGAATTGTATCCAAATGAGCGTCTTTGATTGGGAAATAATCGTCTGCAAAAAGTAATCAATTTATAATATTTACGTCATGTTAATAGCTCAATCAAAGATGACAATTAAAGGCTTCAGCCCACATGACTTTCAATTCAAGGGGAATTCATTTGCATCAATAATTATGACATTCATTAGCGCGATGAGTTAAATCAACACAAGACAACAATCAGAGTCGATTTAGATTAGACAATTGTTCACATATTGCTATCCATAATAAATAATTAGAGAAATCATTTTTCTAACGTAGCACTAAAAATGTAAAATGATTTAGTTCCAACTGTAGTCGAATCTTTTGAAATTGATTGAAGATCAAATCAGCTAACCTTTTCAATTCATTTAATCAATGCTCAGTAGAAAAGAAATTCAAAAGACAAGTTTAATCAATTTTACATCAAGGACAAATAACAGTTTAGTTTAATTCTCAATGGTCAGTAATTGTATTTCAGTTGATCTCTCAAACATTTAATAAAATTGGCAAACGAAATGGTTCAATTTAAAAGCAGTTAAAAAACAGTTTGACTTCAAAGTGGTTACATTTTTCAAGACTAAATGTTTAAAATCTGTTCATTGTTATTAAAAACTACCAAAGTTGAACGGAATTGAAATACAAAAACAAACCTTCGCCATGTTTTATTGATTAAAACTGGCGCAGCCGTCACTTTACAATTGAAAGATTCCTTATCAAATCTGTTTGGTTGTTACCCATATCAAACTTAAATGTAAGGCCTGACTGTTGGACATACGAGTTGCAAGACAAAATCTATTAATATTTACTAAAACGGTAACTAAATATCAATGTTAATTAAAGCAATCGAATGATTATCCAATATGGATGCTTAATAAAACAATAACTATTGCCCTGTAAATCGTTAACATGGACTGAAGATGAAAATAAATCAATGGAGAACAATGTTTGGTGCGATGAAAACTGACAAATTAAAAATCAGTCATAGTAAAATAATTAAAAGTCAATCAAATACAGTAGCAAAAGTATAGCAATCAAATAACAATAACTTGATGGATCTATCAAGTGTGAGCGTCATTGAAAAGGTTGATTTTAATGTTAATTTTGAATTCAATTGAATTGTTAGTTGTATTGCTTTACTTTTTTCACGGAAAACTGAATAAAGTCGGAAAAATTAAGAAAATAAAGTAAATTTTACGTTGATTTATTAAGGGATACTTGGAAGGTAACGGTAATAGGTGAGGTAAAGGGGACCACCGGAGTCAGTCTTTGACTCGCACGGTGGTTGGAAACTGATAAGAGGAGAGTCGAAGAGTTAATATGATTTAACAACTAAAAACTAATCCTTTTTATACTTTTTAGCTCTCTCTCTATCTATTAGGTTTGCTCTCTTTATTGATTACAATGTTGTTATTAATAATTATTGTCAACCATTATCACTGGTCAACGTACATAGTTTCATCAGCTATTCAGTATGTTTTATAATTAATATTAAAAATTGATTTATTGATTTTCTTTCTGTTACACTCTAATCAAGCACTTTTACAATAATAGGCAAGTCCCAATAAAATCCTTGGATTTCCAGAGACTACTCACTAAAATTGATTAACTTTACTCTAACTAAACATGTTTGCATTCAAAATGGAAGGCGAACCCCAGCAATCATTTACCTTATTAGATCAAATTAAATACTGAGCGTTTTTCTTAATTATCTTCCTTTTGGTGATCACCACTCACGCAAGATTGATGCTGCAAGCGTCTGACTTGAAATACGAGCTTTCGCGTTTTGAAAAACTATGATTTTGACAGCTTAAGGTCATTCAAGGTGTCTCCATTGTTTACCTCTGAACATTGGTTTATTGGAACACACCTTTGGTACATGATCATAACGCATGCTGACCAAAGGATAAGCGTGTTTTCGCCGTTCCTGAGAAATCCAGCTTAGCATAATCAGTCCAAAAATTTAAGCCCACAGGTTACAGTAAAATGACGCATTGTTCGCAAAAACTCACTGAAAAATGCCTTTTCTTTCTCACCTGGATCACCTTTTTAAATTGGGCATTTAACTATTCATTCAACAAACAATATTTAATAGTTTGTAAGTTGTAGCAAAAGATGGCGCAGTTGAAAATATACTCGAAACTTTTTTGATTTCAAACTTATTTACTTATTTTATTTATTACTTTCTTATTGCCAATATTTCATTGAAATGTATCAAAAATTGGCTCGAAATTTAATGATAAAACTGGAATAAACTTGCCACCTTCAATTAGTACATATTTGATTTACAAATTTACAGGTTGAATTACTTTGAGTCACGAAATGACTAAAACTTTGTTCGAGGCAAATACAAGATAATTCGGATTGTAAATAATGAGCTAAATGATTAAAAGATTTCTTATGTATCGATCTTGAGTTTAATTGCTTAAGTCTCCATAAGAACTTAGTAGATGACAGATCTTATAACGATGATTGTGTAAAAACCACAGAAACCCATGAATCTCAGGTAATTGTATCACTTTTTGGGTTCATTGATCGTTGACCCAACAAAATGATAATGAAAAAGGGCAGAAAATGATGAATCATTATTGATGATAATAATTATGGATTGGCAAAGGCAACAAATATCAAATAATGTTAGAAAGATAAACAATTTGAATAGAATTAAGAAACCATCAATTTGATTAAAGCTTAATTTTAATTTACCATTTCATGTCAAACTTAATTCAACAGCTAAAATTGAACGAGTCAAAATTATTGAGTATTCAAACCCAGCATCACTCAATTGTATACAAAAATTAACTTTCCTTAATGCAATTCATATCCACAGCTTTCATTGTACATTGAAAGTCTGATGAAATTATTCCAATAATTTCATCGAAACTGGTTGTGTTTTCATGATCATCAATTGCTATTTCAATTCTGATTTTAGAGATTTAAAGGTTTCCAGAAATAATAGCAATCAGAGTTATTCAACGATCGTTATATCTTTGTATTCATTTGATCAATTTTTGAACTTTTTTCTTACCGTTCAATTGACTAAATGATCATGATGTGAAAGAAAGATATTGATTTCTGACTGTTTTTACTTATTCCTTGATTTCTGTTTAATGGAAACAATGAAGTTTTATTCATTTTCCGATAGATCCTTCCAAGTGTCTTGTCTTTCTGAGTTATTCAATATCATATATCAGTTGAAATTCAGAACATTTGCCTTTACATTCGTAAATATCTGAGCAATTAATCTGTTCATTGTTTAATAATTCACCATCCGTTGTGACTGGGAATTGATTGCACTGATCTCACTGATTATCAGACCTTCATTATCACTTATTGTGAGTTTAGTTTCCGGATTCCAGGTTTTGTACTGATTTTTCCATCTTCAGTTTCAATTGTGTAATTCAAGCTTCAAGAATGACTTAAGGCAAGTGATCTTCTTTCATGGCTTTGGAAGTCTCTTTTGTTTCCAAGAATCTCAATTCAATCCATCGGCTAAAGAACCACATTATATTTGGCAATATTTGAAAAAAGTTTTTCGTTTTATGAGCTTCGTTTTTCTGTTATTATAAATGTATTTTTTCGATGAATTAATTATGTAAAACATTATCCAAAAATATCGCCTAATCTGGACTGAACATTTTCTCATTTATCAGGTCACACTCAATTCGAATCATCCTCATTGAAAACATCGATATCTCATGATTACCACATTCAAATTAATTCTGATCAGTATCCAGGTGCTTCCTATTAATAATCCACATTGCTTTATTCGCCATCAGTACTCATATCCTTATTGAGCAGAAACTTCTGGATCACACAAATTTCATGCTGAGACTCATGTAGCTTTATGTAATCATGTAAATTTGAAAGCTAAAAAACAAAATTATGTAAATCCTTTTCTCTGTTCTTTTAGATTTCCAATGATATCAATTTCAATAATATGCAGCATCTAGCGCAATCGATATCACGGTGCAGGTGATCGAAACACTTTTTTGAGTTACCGAGAAACCGGATTCTCTTCAGAAACTAATGGCTCCAAGTTCATCCTATGACTAATATCTTTTCATCCTAAACTGATTCTCTGAATGACAATTAGAACCCATTTTTGAACATCAATTTTCAAATCGCTAGCTATTATTGAGTTGGTCAAGTTATCAATAGACTTTGAAATCTTTGAAAAAACTGACCTTTGAAAGGTTTTCAGATAAATAATCTTTACATTTATTTTCACATTGCTTTACTGAATCATAAAATCAATCAGATTATATTGAAATCATTTTTTTATATCTTATTTATCTTCCAAAGGTAGTCAACCTCTTTTAACAACATTTGCCTGACCTAACAACTTTCAATTTATGGTGAAGAAAGAGGAAGAAGAGAGTGAATGATGATGAATACAGTTTGAAGGGAAACAAAAGTAACCTGTTGTACCATTGGCATGAAACGGATTGTTAACGTTGAAACCTTAGTATCGCCTTTACTAGAGACTTTACAGCGTTCATTAACCTTTTACCTTATCATCATCATCTTCATTCTTGTTCAACATCTTGCAATGTTATTTTCCTTCATCATCATTATCATCATCTGGAGGATCTTACAGTTGACTTGATAGTAAACAAAGGCCTAACCTTTTCTACTTTTTTTCATTCTTCTTCTTCTTCTCATTTTTTTGGCCTCTTCAAGTTTTCTTGAGAAATGGACTTTAATGACCTTTCATAAAATCAAAATTTTCATCGTGAGTTTTCCAATGGAGAAGAAGAAGAAGATGATGATGATGATGATGATGATAGTGATGAAGAATAAAAAAGATATTCATATTTGATCTGTTAGGTTACATAGAATTGACTGTGATTATCCAAAACTCAGTTTTCATGATGATGATAAAAAAATTATTGCCGAACCTATTTGGCCTTATTTTCAATCATATTCACATTTATTCCTCATTTAAATCAACAAATGTTATCTTCATTTAATATAAGGTCAACAAACGTTATTTGCCTATTTATTCATCATCTTTTATTATCATAATTCATCAAAATGCGCCATTAATCTTTTAAAAATTGCGCTCAAAAAAATCTGTGCTAATTTAACACTTTATTTTTCAATGTCAGCTGATTTTATAATCA